TATAACCATGAAATTTTTTATTAAAATTTCATTGCTAATTATTATTACGAGTCTATAAATTTAAATTTAGAAAAAAATAGTCAAATAATTTATATACAATAAAATATAATATCATTTAGAAAAAGTATACAAATACTAAAATTACACTTATAATTATTCTATGAAAGCTAATTAATCCACTACTATTCCTAATATTTTAAAAAAAATTTAGTCCACTCTTATCTAATTTTTTTAATGTGGCGTAATTCAATGATTCATCATGTGCAAAAATTTATACCAATTATATTATATATATTATATTTTAAATCATATATTATGGTAAATAATTTAAAGTAATTATTACAAAATCTCATAAATTTATAGTAAGCAAAGGAGTTATAATCTATATCCAATGCATGACGTAGTATTTACACTAATAATTTCATTATTATTTATTATACTAATATGTCAATTATTAAAATGTAAACTATTAAACATGTTATAAATTTTTTTTAATGTAGAATTATATACCTTACGATAAATCTATCATAAATTCTTTGATGATGAAATTGATCTACCGTCTAAGACATTATACATATAGTAGATTATGCTACTATCACATCGTAGATTATGTTACTATCATAGAGAATTCAAAGAATATAATTTTCTTCTTTCATATATTTTTTGAAGAGACTTCTTTTATGTTTTTTCAAGTATAACATTCATGTCTTTGACCCGATCATACACTTGTTCACTAGGTAAAGATATTGGAGTTGTTTGATCTTTTTGACATCCATTAAAGGCCTTTTTTTAGTCTATAGATGATTGTATTGTAAACATTTACGATGATAATATTCTGGTCGCACTAAACACCGATAAAATAAATTAATAAGTTATTAAACTAATGTAGTATAGTTAACTCATGTCGAATATCACAAGAACATAGATATAGGAACGTACTCATTATCAAACAATATTCTTCTAAAAATAGTAAATAAAAATAAATGAGGGAATTGGTAATAATAATAAAACAAAAGAGGAAAAAATAAATTAAAACAATATAAAAAAATTAAAGTAAAGTAGAATAACAAAAATTTAAATAACTAAAATTTATAAAAAAAAAATGAGTGTTTTTAATTAAATTTGAAACTTGTGGTAATAAAGTGAAATATAAAAAATTGCTTAAAATCAAAGAGTGCAGTAATTAATTAAATTCAAAATTTTGAAAGAGATAAATATAAAATTAAGTTGAGAATTATATGTGAAACTAAGTAATAGAAAGAAAAAACAAGCAGTAAAAAAATATAATGGATCCAAAAACTATAATTTGTGCATGAGTGAAATTGGAGAAATGGTAAGTGAATAAAGTGAAGTTGTGAACCAAAAAAAAAAGACGAACTGAAAAAAAAGAGCAAATTAAATACTGAAATTAAATTAATTTGTAAAACAAGTAGAGAATAGAAATTAAATTGAGTACAAAATAAGTATAACAAGTAGAACAATATAAATATGAAAAAATTCAATAGAACTTACAAATTAATTAAAATAACACAAATTAAAAAAGAGTTACACTATATACAACTAAACTCAACAAAAATTAAAAACTAAACTAAACTTTGGAAACGAAATGGAAGAAAAAAAGGGGACAAAATAAAATAATAGTTCTCACCAAACATTGTGTTTTTTATGCTCTCATCGTACCTTTATTTATAACACTGATTGGAGCAATTCTTATTCTTTTTTGATTTGTGTTGATCAAGTGTTAATTTACATTTACTTATTAAATTTCACAGCTTTTAATTTAGCTTAATCAAATTTTTGTAACAATTAATTTGATTGATTCAAAATTTTTATTTGTAAAAGTGAGTTGTACAAACAAATTAGATTTTTAAGAAGAATGAAACTCAACTATATATGAGGTTTGCTATGAATGTGAGTCTTTATTTCCATCAATTTGGTCCATCCTACATTCATTACTTTTCTTTTACAAAAAAAGAAGATAAATATGCACTGTAAACATATGAATGTGTGTTTTGATGTTAAAACTATATGAAATGCAACAAATTAAGAAAAATTGAATTATGTCATTGAAAACATGTTAAATATATGGTTTATGAAAAAAATAATTAGTTTAAAAAATATTCTTATATAAAAAAATAAAAAGTAAAATGACAAAAATCAATTAATGATCAATATAAAAAGTCTTATTTTTATCTTTGGTGATTTGTTATTTCTTCATATATATATATAGGACATGTATGATGTCCTTTAATACTAACCACCTAAGTTTTCATATACTAAAAGGTCGTTAACGATACAAAATAATAAAACACATAATATAAAATTTTTCTTAAGTTATGCATCAAAGACATTAATTCTTTTTTCCCACACTAATTTGATCTTTTCTACTAATGAAGTAATAAGGTACATATCTATGTTATTTCCTCGTTATCTTGATCCTAATATCATTATGAATAATATAATTTATTTTTATTTTATGCATAACTAATAGCCTGATTGTCTTGTTTTGTTTATCATTAGATATGACTAAAAGTTGACCAATATATTCTTAACACAATGTATTATGTGTTGTATATTATGAGTATGAATTGAAAATCTATGTTGGGAGAAATAATAAAGTTTGCAAAGTGTCTCTATTATTAAGGTTTCTTCTTTTTTTCTTTAATTTGAAAACTTATTTGTGTATTTTTGATAAATTCTCTATATTTATTTTATTTTAGTGGAGTTTAATTGATTGACTTAGGTACACTTAATTTTCACTTCTCTCATTTATTTGTATCTCTTTAAAAATTGTTATTATCATTATTTCTCGTTAATTTTCGTTAAGAATAATAATAAAGCAACTAAGACTCTTTACCAGCTCGCCTCAAAATGAGGGGTAAGGTGAGTTGGTAGTTTTAGTCCACCAACTCATTTTTGTTCGTCGTTTCTAATTTGTTAGTTTGCCCGTCCATTATTTGACGGGACGAGTTGAGAGATATAACCCATCCTGATTATAATGATTCAGTCGGTCTATATTAATTTTTATGTACTAAAAATAAAATAGGACAAAATAAGACCAACTTAATCATCATTCATAATTTCTAATTCAAATAAGAAAATTATTATTAATATACTCTTTTTATACTTTTGATAGTCTATTAATCTTATTTTCCTTAAAAGCCCAAAACACACACAATGAAATACTATATTATCTATTAATCTTGTTTTCCAATAAGTCCAAACAGAAACAAATACTAAATTGTCTATTAATTTTTCTCTTCCATGTAACCCAAAAAACACTAACAAATAAAAAAATTATAGAAGATGAATTGATAATGGATATTTTTTAATTAATTTAATTAATTATTTTTTAATTCATTTTACATGACAAATTAATCATTATTCTTATTTATTTAAGTTTAATTATAAAATTATCCAAATAAGATACGCTATGTATCCACAGCGTTACTTTGTTAAAATGACGACGGAATGTTAAGATCGGAAGAAGGAAGAAAATATTAACTTAACTTTATTTTAAGAGTAATTTATGGCATTTCTAAAGTCGTGAATAATAATCAGAATAATATATTTTTAAAAATTATTAAATTAAAGTTTAATACTGTAAGTTATAGTTATAGATTTAACTTCGATCCTAAGAATTTTTTTTATTAAAAAGTCATTCTAATTTTATTATTTATTCATTTAAAACTGTTATCGCATCTTCAAATTATTTTATAATTTTAAATATTTGTACATAAAATATAATAAGAAAAAACATCTAACTGCACTTTTTCAAATCAATAAAAACAAAATTATTAGTATTTTTATTTAACTTTTATAATTAAAAATGAAAAATCTTGTCAATACTTTTTATTCGTTATTTATTGTAATGTATATTTATTTAACATTTATTTTAAAAATGGTTCGATAATTGTTTTATTGTAATTTAAAAATTATTATCATAATTTTCATTGTCTAACATTATATAATATATATATACTTTAAAATTAAGCATCAAAGGAGGAAGTAGGAGAAAAATCTGCGAATCCTGTTCCCATCTCTTAACTCCAACGCCATTGCGGTTCAGGTCACAGTCCCTTCGATTCCTCCTGCAACACTGTGTATGCGCATCATCTTTTCTCTAATTGTTTCTTCCTGTTCATGGATCAATGCATGTTCTTTTGTTTCTTGAAACAAATGAAGTCTAAATTTTCATTCTTTTGGAAAATTAGCGAACGGGTATTCTAAATTCTTCTCTTTCCTGAAATCAGTTTCTGGTAACACCCTGCTATTTTCTGCGCCTAGGGAAATTAGAGGAACAAGATCTGTTATTTATTTATTTTTTCCATGTCATGGTTCAGTGAAGTTGTAAATTTTAATTTTGCATCAAAGTTGTCTGATCCGGAAATCCAAGGATCCAAACTCTTAGTTCATTGAAGATTTCCCAATCTCAATTGGCAGCATGTTATGTATGATAGGAAAGTAAATTGTGACGATCTTATCAGATTTAGAACCACTTGCTGTAACCATAGTTTAAGCATGTGATGTTTATGAGTGCAATTAAGTTAAACTATGCTTCTTCAGGTCCACTATTCCTAGAGTAATTTGAATTTATTTATTTTTGGATATTTCAGTGTTTTTTCAAAAGAAATCCTCATTTTTTTCCTATCTTACTTGCTATCAAAATAGAGTAAAAACTCAATATATACAATATGAAGTTAATTTGATTTTTTTTTTCACTTCCCTACTATAGAAATTGTTCAGTGCAAGGATAGATTATGTATCTGTTGAATCAATGACTAATCTCAGGTTCCACCTGTAAAAAGTCTGCATTTTTCCTGTCGATGTTCTGAGTATTTCTTTCCTAGCTTCGTATTCTTAATTTTTTCTGCTTGGCCTAAGAAAAGTGATTATTTTATACGTGAATTTTAGTTATTTGTGTTGGATTTGATCTCTATTAAGCTGATGCTAACGTATTTGTTTGGTCTTGTTCTTGTCATGTGCAGCATAGCCTAGAAATGGAGGGGACTGTTTTTACTCCTGCACTGAAAGAACTTGAGCATGTAAAATCAGAGCAAGGAGAAATTCTGAGCAAGCCTTTCTTGGAAGCGTGCAAGCACATTTTGCCAGTAATAGGTGTGCTCATTACCTTATTATTAGCACAAAAAATAAAGTAATAATAGATGCTATTTTGGATTTTGAACATTTCCCAGAGTGTTTCCTCCATATATATTTTGTCCTTTTTAACGGATAGGGACAAACCAATTATCATTTTATTTTATGATATATGTTGTATTAAATAGTATTATATTTGATAAATTTTTAATAAATTATCACTTCTTTGAGCCAGGTAAGATGCATAATGTGAGTTTTTCCATGATGGACTTCTGTTGATCCTGTTATATTAGCATTCGTCCAGAGATTTTTTTTTTTTCATCGATAAATTTTGGAAAATGTTTTGATTTTTAATTTTGTTTTTTTGGTCACTCAAGTATCTATATCTTCATTTCTAGATCCATGACTATCAATATGCAGAAGTAATTTTTATTTGCAGTCTTAACTCTTCAACTGCAACATATTCAGCAAAATAAATACTGAACAATGCATCGTGATTAGTGCTTGTTTAAGCATAAACGAATACCTGTGTCATGCTTAAAATAACTAACACTTTTCATGCAACAGATAAGTTTGGAGCTGCTATGGCCCTTGTTAAATCTGACATAGGTGGCAACATATCGGTATGTTTTTGTCAACTGCTCTATCCGACTCTAATGTGACTGTATACTTTGTCAGATACTTTCCTGCAGCTTTGGATGTATTATTCTTTACTTCTTACGGTAACATGGTATAGCTATACGAATCCCATAGTGTTTGTTTGTGATTCGTTTTGTTTTAATTTGTGGATTTCTATCTGACTTACATAAAAAGTCTTTCATTTTAAAGTGTTTAACAGTTATAAGTGTGTACATTATCTAAACCTTACTAATATTGGGATTATATTCTATTTGTAACTCTATATCATACTGATTTTCTTGGCAGAGATTGGAAAATATGTATTCCTCCAATCCAACCAGATTCAACTACCTGTACAGTTTGATACAGGTGGAGATTGAAACTAAAACAGCTAAATCATCATCTAGTTGTACCAATGGACTTCTTTGGCTGACAAGGTAATGAACATCATGGTGTTGCATTTTATTTGTTTTCATATTGGTATGACATTCCTAAGTCTGTTGTTTGGAGAGTTTCTTCCAAAAATTGTAATGGGGTTAATTTTTTATTTCATTTCTAGCATACATTGTATCACGTATGAAGGTTGAATGACCAACAGGATAAAGATTAGATAAAAAAAATGCGTCTATCCACAGAAACAAATTTCTGGAAGAAATCTGAACTCTCAAGTCACTTGGGGCATATTTTTCAAAATTTGGATCTTAATGTGACATGAAGCTAGCCATAATTAATAGAGGTTATATAGAAGCATTAATATGTGTATGCATAATCCATGCATATGTAGATGCAAACCTGGTTATTAAACTCTAGGGTTAACTCTTAAACCCTTATGAGTTTACTGATGCACCACGAGTTGACTCATGCGTAGACACAATTTTGAACAAACTTGGTGGACTTATCAGTTCAAACTCGTTTGATTGCGAGTGAACAAGTCTGTATGAAACACCCAAAAGGACATTTATCTAGGTCATTTGGTCCAGTTTTGAACTTTAGATATTGCCTGTTTCGTTTGGATGTTTGGATCTGCTTTTGGTGTCATAAACTTTTTCATCTTTGCGGCTTTGCTTGTAATCTTCACCAATAGGGCTTGTTGTTGTTCGCGCTTGATGCCATATGCGCTCATTGCCATTCGCAATCAACGCCATCGCACCCAATGCCATTCGTGCTAATAGTTGTTTTTGTCTATGTAGTTGTTCACAGTCACTATCATCACAGGTAGGCACTTTTGCAGTGCCACAATTGTTCATTTTTCTTATATTATAGTTTCTTTCGATTCCTATTTTGGGGATATTTTTTCTCACATTTGATTCTTGTTTGGTTCTGTTCATCCTCCTCACATTTCGTTTTTCTTTTTTCTGTTTGGTCTAGTCTCAAGGTTTTTGTCAAGCCTATTCTATTCTATTGTTGACTTAATTTTTACTTTTTTTTATGATGGTTATTTTAGATATAAAGGCTAAAACTTTATTCAAATTTTTTTGAAGAAAATGTAACCACATCCTCACTTCCACCTAGAAGTAAAGGTGCTGCAAGAAATAGACTTTTATGAATGTACGAAACGTCTCATAAGTTTATGTAAAATCTCGAGTTTGATAACCTTGGATGCAAGTATGTTTAACATTACAAATGTGCCTTGATACTCATATGTAACTTAGGTAGTGGATCAACAATGACCATGCGTGTCTCCTTCTAAATGATTAAAACCATAACTCATTTATGGTCAGTTTGGAATAAATGGAAAACTAGAATTGGAAAATGCTTTGGACTCATGTGATTTTTTATTAATTAAAACTGAAAATATTGAATGCAGATTCAACAAGAAAAACGCTAGAACAAGCGTTGAGGTGAGAATTGGAGGTCATTTCATACCACAAGTAACATTAACTACCTTGGTTTTTCTATACAAACTAATAGAAAAATAGGGGGAGATGTAAATTATAAAATTTAAAGTGGGTGGATGAATTTGAGAAATGCTTAAGGTCTATTTGTAATCAAAGGTGCCTAACAAGCTTGTTGAAATGATTTGAGCTAAGGAATGGAGGGGGAAGGATAGAATAAAGACATTGAAAAATATGCTCTTGATATTGTGATGTATTACAAACTTACAATGTGATAATGTTGTCCATAAAACCTAAAGTTATTTATGCTAATAATAATCTTAACTAAATAAGAAAACAAATAATGATCAAAATAGATAAGCTTGATCAAATATTCTAGATAAAATCTTCATATTTGGAAACTAGTAAAATAGATAAGCTTGATCAAAATATTCTAAGAGACTATCTTCGTATTCTTTAGAGTTGAAAAAATGGTTCAAACTAGCTAGACTACTACGAACCAGACTGATAACAAGTAGAGCTTGAATTTTACGTTGAGTCAAAATGAACCAGACTGATAACAAATAGAGCTTAAATTTTTAGCTTGATCTAATAAAGCATGCTGAAAGCTCAACAAAATCAGGATTGTTGGGAGACTTAAATTGAAATTGTCGTTTTTGGACTAACCCATTATAGCCTGCAACCCACATTAGCTCAACCGAACATATTAGGAAAACAACTTGTGTTGTCATTGTATTTTATGTATGTACTATGATGAATCCTTTAAATTTTGTTCAATTAGATTTTATCTTTTATTTCTTTTGAGATTGTTATCCAGCGTCAGCTAATGATTATTTGTTGCCATATTTATTCTTGCATTAGTTTATGATACATTTATTTCTCTAACCGGTAAAATCTTCAGGGCAATGGATTTCTTGGTGGCTTTGTTTCGAAACTTAATCGAGCATAAAGATTGGCCAATGTCTCAAGCTTGTACAGATTCCTATAACAAGACTCTGAAGAAGTGGCATGGCTGGCTTGCTAGTTCAAGCTTCACTGTAATCTTCTTTTTAATTCTTTGTTGATATAATCTTGAATGTTTTGATATAAATGACCCTATTGATGTTGTGATCATGAAACGCATTTAAACACCAACAATAAAATAAGCTTGCATCTTCTAGTTTCTTCACACCTTTCATTAGTCTATATAATTTAGATCAAAGCATTTAAATACCATGCAATTTACCTTTTCTAAGTGTCTGTCATTGTTCCTTGTCTTTTTTTTTTTTTTGGATTTATTTTTTTCTTTTTCCACTTTTGTTTTTCATCATGAAGTGACTGTACATTGTCTGAAACTGAATAGTGTTTGGGGATGTGTACTAAATATTTGACCTACAGGTCGTCATGAAGCTTGCTCCTGATAGGAAGAAGTTCATGGAGGTGATAGGAGGCACTGGCAATATCAATGCTGACATTGAGAAATTCTGTACAACCTTTTCCCCTCTTCTTGAAGAAAATCACAAGTTTCTGGTAAGAAATAAGGCACATTGGATCTTTTTTATGCTTAAAGATGATCGTAGAATGACATTGATTTTATATTATCTTAATTTGCAGAATTTATTTTGGTTAAAATTAAGTTTGAAGCCAAATTACTTATATTTGGAATCTATACAATTTTCAAACCAATGCAAAAGTTGTTTTTCATTTTCATTCAAACAGATATACTTTTAATGATACAATCATGTTTATTTGCAAACGGCTAAATCTGATTTTTTTTTTCATGCAAAATATGGGTTTTGAATGTGCATTTTGACTACATCCAATGCTTTGCTCTCCTGAACGTAGGATAGATTAATCTGTAAAATGTTTGTTCTTGGAGGGTACCATTAGGAAGAGGAACCATGTTAAGGATGAAACTTGTAAGAACTTCTAGGAGAGAAAAATAAGAAGAAAAATTGAAATAAGCTTCTCCTTAAGCTAAAATTAGCCTATGCATGTGTTAATTTATACAAGTTATTTCTTAACTGTTTCAAAATTTGATTTTTTAGCCATGCATAAGCTAATTTTAGCTTAAGAAGCAGCTAATTTTATTTTTCTTCTTAAAATCGGTTTGGACAAATTTCTCCGTAAGTACTTCTAGAAGAGAAATATACGAAGAAGAAAATGAAAATAGGTTTTTTGGAAGCTAAAACAAGTTTATACACAAAGTAAAATTTAGAATAGAAGCTATAGGAGAGAGCTTCTACAAATTAGCTTGTGCAATAATCTAATTTTAGCTTAAAGAGGAATTCATTCCATTTTCTCTTCTTGTTTTATCTCCTAAAAGTGCTTATGGAGAAGTTTGGCCAAATAAATTTTTATTTTTTCTTCTAGAAGTACTTATGCAGAAAACTCTTCCAAATAGGCCATGGTGAACATCAGTATGAGTGGCGAGCATACATAATGTAGAGAGGGACAATGTTGATTTGTTAGGTTGCATGAAGAGATTTTTTGGGGGTGGAAGTGGGGAGCTATCTTATTCTCAGTGGTGGTCTAGCAACTTTATATTTAAAATTTTTTACCCTGGTGCTCATCAAACTTCTCTTTTTGAACAGGCTCGTCTTGGCTTGGATGATATGAAGGCGTCATAAATCAAAGATTCATGGTCAGAGATTTGATGAGTAGCTCTTACATGCTCTTATCAACTTTACTAGCACAATAAACAAGCATTGACTTTCATGGTGTGCTGCGAAGCACTAAGATCTTACAGTGTATTTTTGTAATATCAAAGTTGGTCACTATTAGTTAGTTTATTACAAAGGTTAAGGCTAATGGTGGTTTAGTAACTTGTTTTCTGCAAAATACAGTATAGAATATCTTGATGATTACGTAATTACTGATTGGCTGGTTCTGTGTATGGATGACTGCTTGGATATATTTATCTTATTCAATTACAAAATTGTAACTCTTTATAGGATACAAATTTTCATCTACACTTAGAGGCAACGATTTTGTATTATCAGAAATATTATAAACGGAATGTTAAGCATAATTAAAAATGCGTTTGGTTAACTTTTGTTATTTGCATGATTTTTATTTTTAATTTTAAAATGATTAAAATAGAAAAAAAAAAGTAAAATGGGCCTGGAAATAACTTCTCACATGTTCATGAGGGAATGTAACTTGAGAATAAAATTTCATAGACATACAAATATAACTTTCTTGGAAATGAAAGTATTTTTTTTATAATCTTGTAATAAATAATAAGGATAAATATCCCAATTTTTATATTTCCTGCAGAAAGATTACATATGCATATTACGCAAAACATGATGATGCATAATTGTAATATTTGCTTGGTAATTAGGCTACACCTTGTATTCTACTTCCTGTTTCAATAAAAGTTGGGTTGTAAAAAATGATACACTATACATTGGTTTAGTACTTTATTTATATTTTCAATTCTAGTGAATAACAATTCAAAATTGGAACAGAATATTGAGTTACAGCACTACATCATGTCCCTGTCTGATTCTGCTGAAAGTTTCTCCAACTTCAAGCTACTTAAATTAAGCCTTCATGCAATTAGAGCATGATCACTCAACTCTAGCTGTATCATCAAAATCCTTGCTCTACACTACACAGTTCTCACATTTTCAGAACGAGAGTAAACGTCTCTCCAACAACCTTGTGTTCAGTGTTGTACACAAAAAATAACGAATTACTATATATGCTATGTTGATAGAAGATCCTAATAATAAATATTTAAATAAATAAAATCATAAAGAGTAATGATACTTATATAACTTATTATATCAAACATCCTACCAGCATCTGCATTTGTAATCTTCAATTTATTTAACTTAGTTATATATATATATATATATATATATATATATACATTTCTTAAAATTTGGAACTTTTTTCATTATAGAGGAGTGTTTCGAGGGTTGTTGATTGCCATGCAAATTTATTTTTGTCCAAGTTTTTGTGTTAATTAGTAAGCTAAGGGACCCCAATGTGTATTTATTTTTTTGAATGTTACATCAGAACATAGAATCTCCCACCTCATTTTGGTAATAAAAATTTATACATATACATGAACTTTTCTATAATATTTTGTTCAATGGTAGATACATGTAAATGCATAAAAATAAAGTAGGAGTTGAATTTATGACAATTTTAAGCAAAGAAAATGCAAAGCCAAAAAACTCCCAACCCAACAATTCTATTATTAATAGAACGAGTTGAGCTTTATGTTTTTAATCGTTGAGCAATGATCATTTCTCAACCTTTCATTAGAAAATAAGGCAGTCCCAAATATAGTGTTTGCACATGAAAAATATAGATGGATTTTAACCTAAAAACACGTTAAGCTACTGGTTTTGATGCGACTCTCAACCGGTAAGGGGGTGGTGGCTCAAAAACCAACGCTCTCTTTGTTTTCACTTTTGAGATTTTGCCACCCTGAAGACTCCCTCTTCTTGGTTGGTTTCTTCTCTCCCACAACCAACCAGAAACCAACTATGCACATGTTTATCTGCACGACTTTTCTCTCCCACACCGTGCCAACTTCACATGCATGCATATGTGTGTCTTAATTCTTCTTCACTACATGCTTGAGGTTTTGTGATTTCAACCTTATAAAGCTTATAAGGTTCTTGTTATATAACCTTTATCTCATTCCATCTGTCACTTCTTTTTCCAACTCAAACTTCCCTTATACAGTTGCAAACATTAACAAAACCTTTTCTTTTCTTACAATATAGGAGAAAATTTCATTCTTAAATGTCAACAATACCCATTTCTCAATGCATGCAAGTTAAGCTTTTGAAATGGTGTAGGCTCTCAATTTATTGTGCCATGAAGTAATATGGTCATCAAAATGATATTAATGGTTAGAAAGAAGGTTTCTTATATGATAACTTTTGTCTCACTTTTTTCTTTTCTTTTCTTTTCTTTTCAGAATTGGCTTATTCGATTGAATATTGAATAATATAGCATCATCAGCACCTTTTTATTTGGAAGATTTCTGCTCTAAATATATCAACAAACTTCATTTTTACATTGATTAATGTCGACCAAGGTGAAAGGCCTCCTTAAAGGCCTTAGATACATATCCCAAATATTTGGTAAGTGCAAACTCCATTCCCACGTAGAAGATGAAAAGTACATTTTTCTTGTGACCCCATGCAAATGAATTTTATAGAACATTTTTCTATACACGAAGAGAAAGGACATACAATTGCATTTTTAAGAGCAGGAAGGAAAAAATAAGGTAGAAAACTGATGGAAGAGAAATATTTTACGTAGAATTTTGGTTAGGGGTTTATGATATAATGCTATATATATTTTTTATTAACTTCTCTAGTTTTGTTGCATCATTTAGCTTGATGATGAGAATTGCTGAGCAAGGATTCACCAATACAAACTTGAAGCATTTCTTATTGAAAAAATAAAACTACAAATGGTGGTGATGATTGTTTTGCAGATGAGAAAGAAGAAGAGTTTCAAATTGGGATGCCAACTGATGTAAAGCATGTGGCACACATTGGATCAGATGATCCATCAGCGAATGCACCAAGCTGGGTACCATTCTCTTTCTCTACTCCATCATTTGTTTTAGGTCATAACTGTTCCTTAAGAAACATTAGTTTGTGTGCAATTTGAAAACTTTATGCAGATGACCGAGTTTAAAGGAGGAAAAGAACCCCCATCAGGAAACCCTAATGCCGAAGGTTTGAACAAAATTTTCTTGTTATAGAATTGCTAATAAACGCATATTGACCTAAAAATGCTTGTACAATTTTGTCATTCGATTTCTTCTTCTCTTCTTTCTCGTTCCAACACGTATTTAAATTCAGGTGAACGCGAGAACACTTCGAAACGTTCGAAGAACCGCAACCAAAACATTCCCAAGGCCCGGGCCCAATCCTTGGACAACGACGGCGAAGCGCCCAAACAGAAGAGCACACGCCGCCAGCAGCGCTCCTCCGACCCCTCCATGGAGTCCTCCGCCCAGGAGTCCTCCACCGGCAGCTCCCGGCACCGGCGCCCGCGCCGCAGCTCCAACAACGGCGGTGAGTCGCCTTCGTCGCAGGACATGCCGCCGGCGGGCGCCAAAAGCAGCCGGCGGAAATCGAAGAACTCGGAGGACGGGTCCGTGAGGAAGCCGTCGTCGCGAAGATCTTCGAAAGGCTCTCTAACTGACATTTCGATTTCAGATTTTGGGTCTGAGTCTGAAAGTGGGCCAGCGGCCCAATAGGGTGTAAATTGGAGAGAGCGAGAGTGAGAAAGTAATATAATATGTATAATAAGAGAGAGAGAGAGGAGGGTGAAGAAAGAGTTTAGGGAGTGACATAAGAGAAGAGAGTGTGAGACTTTTTCTTTTTCAATTTGTAAATTATTTATTACAGTTTTTTATGTATATTTTTCTTTTATTCATGCGTCATTTCACATATCAATTTTTTTCTTCTGTTAGTTATGTTTTCAACATCCAACTCTAACTTAATCTACGTATTATATGAGCCAAATTCATTTAAATATATAATTAAAAAGTTTAACTCAAACTTGGCCAATGAGAAAAATTGACGGATTGAAAACCCATAATAATAATAATAATAATAATAATAATAATAATAACAAAGAAATTAAGAAAAAAAGAAAGAAATCCCCGGTATGAAATTTCAAAACTCAAAACCGCACTGATTTCCCGCTTACTGTTCTTCTCGCCTCACTCCATCCCTTCGATTCCTCTTTTCTCTCTCTCTCTCTCTCTCTCTCTCTCCACAAAACAGATCAATCAATTTCTTTCATATCGATTTATCCACCAAAAATTCAAACAAAACCCCACTAATTAATCCACAGACCCATGGCCACTCGCCGCGGCGGCGGAGACGACGGGCCCGCCGTCCGTCCCCGCCCTATTTCCGCCTCTCGCCGCTTCCCTTCCCCTTCTCTCCTAAAAGAAAACTCCAACCCTCGTCGCTCCACCTCCCGCTCCAACCCCTCCCTCAAAACCCTCCCTCGTGGCCGCAGCTCCAGCCCCTCCGATCTCTCCCGGGCCTCCGCCCAAAAACCTACCCGCGATCCCACCCCCAAGTCCACCACACAAAAACCTAAACTTTCCACCTCCACCGGCCAGAAGCCCAAACCTTCCACCACCAGGTCCCAAGACCTTACCAAAACCTCCCAAGAATCCACCGACGGAAGTAGCAGCAACAGCAATGCAAAGTACCCTAGCAGGCTTCACGAGAAGCTCGCTTTTCTTGAAGGCAAAGTGAAGAGAATAGCTTCAGACATAAAGAAGACCAAGGAGATGTTGGACATGAACAACCCTGATGCCTCTAAGGTGATTCTTTCGGACATCCAGGACAAGATCTCAGGAATTGAAAAAGCCATGGTTCATGTTGTTTCTAATAAGAAGAGTGAAGGTGACACCCTTGAAAAAGACAAGAACTTGGTTAAAGGGTCGAAATTGAACAATGAAGAACTCGAGGCGCGTCTTTTCCCTCACCAGAAACTGCTTCGGGATAGGACAGTGGTTGTTAAGAGTGATAAAGATAAGGATTGTGTGGAAGAAGAGAAGGTGTTGAGCCCTGTTGACGATAACTCGGTTGCGGTTGAGTTTTTGGCCTTGATTGATAAGGTGAATTCTGGGGAGGAAGCGAAGGAAAAGGGTGGTGGGAATGAGGGCTGGAGTGATCCGAGGAACGGCATTGATGAGCTACTGGCGACGGATGAGAAACTTGATGAATTTGATGATCAGGAGAACAAGGAAGGGGCGGTTGTGGAGGAGATGGATGAGGCTTTCAATTTTAGATTGAATGGGATTGGTAACAAGGTTGCTTGTGGTGGGTGGTTTGTGTCGGAAGGTGAAGCTGTCGTCCTTGCTCACCATGATGGTTCTTGCAGCTATTATGATATTGCCAATTGCGAGGTATGTGTTCTTCATTTGATGCAGATTCTAAATGTCAAACTGTGGAGTGGTGTGCTTGATTTGGTCTTAGGAGTGGACCTTTTGAGTTGAGAATGATTGATGGGGGGTAGATGTAGGTGATTCATGAGGTGGCTGATTATAAATTTCTATTTATGTATTTGTGGCCATTTAGATTGGACTTTAAGTGATAAGATCTGAAATTATGAATCTATTCAATGAAAGGTACTAAAAGATTATTGAATGGCCTTCTCAAATTATCAATTTAGTGTTGTTAATTTTGGTCTCCACGAGTTCATCTTTGATTTGAACGTAGATAGCGGTGAATCCTGACGTAGGTAATTTAAACTGTGGTTATTTAGGACATCTCCATCGAACAAAACTTATTTGAGTTTCTTAGTGCATTAAGAGTTTTGTTTGGTATTTCTCCTGTCACATCACTGGTAAAAAAATCAATACAATATTTTACTTCAATAGTAAAAAAACTTGAGAAATTCAAGAAACTAACATTTTGAAGCAATCGTTATCAAGAAATGGTTCCTTGCATAATGAACCTCTTTTTAAAGAAAAAGAACCCACAATGTTATAAGTCATTCCAATTATAAATATTTTCAGGAAACAATTTCTTAAACATAAGGAATGGGGAAAGAAATGGCCACTGAAGATGCTCTTACGTATCTTTATGTGATGCTATCAATTTTCAGTTTGTGGTGGTGGTTCAGTTTATTTTGAAAGAATAAGATGCTTACTTCTAACTGTTTCCTAAAGTGTTTTGGAAAAAAGTTATTATTTTTCATATAAAAATTTCCAGACAGATGCAAATAAGCAAAGATCTGACATTAATGATTAGTTTAGAAAGTTATAATTAACGTTGAATGTTGAAATAATGACCCACGTTTAGATTTAATGGTGAGATTTGAATGTTCCACATTAAGCATAATTAATGTTTCATATGGGATCCATAGAATTTCAGCAAGTTTCATTAACTTTGGTCTCATCAAGGTCCACTTTTCATTTGAACGAAGATATGAATAGTGAGGTAGTCATTCATATGATTGTTAATTATCATTTAGTACCATATTTCTTGAGGACCTCCAAAGGAGATTTTTGAAACGAGAAAAAAATAGTAAGAAAGGGGTTTCAAACTGGGATGGATGACATATATGTTTTCCACGTAAAAGCAATAATAGTTCATATTTGGAATTGGTTAAAGAACAGAGAAGCATTTTTTCAGCTGACAATTCGTCATCCGTCCAGGAAAAAGCTGTATATATGCCACCCCCAGAAGTTTCACCCAACATATGGAGAGATTGTTGGGTAATTCGTGCCCCTGGTTCTGATGGTTGCTCTGGAAGGTTTGTAGTAGCTGCATCGGCTGGTAATACTATGGATTCAGGATTTTGCTCGTGGGACTTTTACACCAAAGAAGTGCGAGCTTTGCAGGTTGATGCTGGAACACCATCCTCAAGAGTTGCACTTAGACCCTTGCCTAACAACGTTGTGCAAAGAAGAAATTCTACCACTACCATTGTGGCAGCAGAAGCTAAGCAGTCTTGGTACAGGTCCTGTGGACCTCTCATCATTTCTACTGCCAGCTCACAGAAAGCTGTGAAAGTTTTTGATGTTCGAGATGGTGAGCAAATCATGAAATGGGATGTTCAGAAGCCTGTTGTAGCCATGGATTATTGCAGCCCTTTGCAGTGGAGGAACAGAGGGAAAGTAGTGGTAGCTGAAGCTGAATCCATTTCTTTGTGGGATGTTAACTCACTTACACCTCAAGCTCTGCTCTCTGTTCCTTTGGGTGGTCGAACAGTTTCTGCTCTCCATGTGACCAACACTGATGCAGAATTGGGTGGAGGGGTTCGCAAAAGGTGAGTTTGTTTTAATATTAACTTCTTGCTTCTGGTCTTTACCTAAAATGTTCTGTTCTTGCGTTCTGAGGCCACTAAGTTATTTATTTGCCTCTTAGCAGCTTGGTTAGATGCTCTCTTTTATCCAACAAAACTGTATGTTAGTTACTTTCTGTATTCATTCTTTCTACTGATAGCACACCACAAGCACATGTATCTTTACTCTTGGATTATAGCTATCTTGATCATTGGAAAACTCCAGTCTAGTCTAATATTTGCAGTTTATCTGGTTGTTTATTAAGAAACTTGAAGGTACCAAACCTAAAACAAGTTCATTTTCCTTTGATGTCATGTTCTCCAATCAAATTATGATTTTTGGATAGTTTTATCAAAATTTTGTAGAACACACAATATTGCAAGTTAGTCAATGTTGGAAAATAGAAGTGGATGTATACTTGTATTTTTATCTTTTGTTTTCATCTTCTAATTACGAAAATGTTATATTGTTTTGAATCTGTTTTCTGTTTTCAAATAAGTTGAAAGCTTTTTTTTTCTGTTTTCTATTCAATTTTTTTTTATATCAGGAAAAATTGAAAACAATGTAATATTTTTTAAATTAAAAAATGAACACAGAAAATAAAAATGCTAGTAGACGGCACGTCCCTACACGTTTTTGGTCCTTGTGGAAAAAGGAATGAATTTTCAATAGTATCTTTCCCTATTTTTAACCAAGTTTGGAAATATAACATTGCAGGGTAAGTTCATCAGATGCTGAAGGAAACGATGGTGTGTTCTGCACCTCAGATTCTATCAATGTCATGGACTTTCGCCAGCCATCCGGTGTGGGCCTAAGGATATCAAAACTTGGTGTGAATGTGCAATCAGTTTTCTCTCGTGGAGATTCTGTGTTCCTTGGTTGCTGCAGCACTAGTTCAATGGGCAAGAAGCAGTCCTCAATGCTGCAACAATTTTCACTGCGCAAACAAGGCCTGTTCACCACCTATGCTCTTCCAGAATCCAATGCACACTCACACCATGCAGCAATCTCCCAAGTTTGGGGTAATTCTGACTTTGCCATGGGTGTGAGTGGGCAAGGGCTTTTTGTGTTCGATGCAGTGAAAGATGATGCACTAAGGGTTCTCAACATGGATTACTCCAATGCTCAAAGTTTTAGAGAAGTTATTGGCCCTGATGACATGTATTGTCCTTCATTCGATTATCTTGGCTCTCGCGCACTTCTCATATCAAGAGATCGACCTGCTATGTGGAGGTATCTCATAGTTTGATAGTTATGATTAATTCTTAAGAATGTGTCATTGTGTTGCTGTTTTTTCTTTTTATTTGTATGCTTTTTAAGGACTAAAGTCATACTTTAGAGGGAATTAATTATGTTAGATGTGGATGCTTGGTGTTGGTGTTTTATGCATAGGTGCATTTCCAGGTGATCCCTTGTCACTGATATATGTCAAGCCACTGGTATTCCTTGACTCTGTATATCTTCATATTCAATCTATTTCGGCAAAAATGATCATTGGAAAACTTCTTTTTAATTCCAAATCTACATTTGAATATGGCAGTATGTGTGATTGTAGTTTGAACAAATTTTACATTAAAAGTTGAAGTTACAAGAGAAATTAATAACTACTCTGACGGATTCTTTTTATAATAAACACATATTGTTAATATTAATTCATTATAAATTATCTGATATTTGACATTTGAATTATTAAATTTTTAATTATATTCAATATTGTTTATTATATTGAGGAGCAATATATTTATAAATAAAGGGACACAATTAATTTATGGCATGCATGTTTGGATTATTAAGTTTCACATTAATTTTTAAGTTGTCATTCTCATTTTATTATTATTGTTTTATGTATTCGATGTATGCATTCTATATCTATCCAAAAGGATGATATTCAATAAATCTGACTAGTTTAAGATAATTATAATTATGAGGGTTATTTATCAATACTTTATCACCTTCTTTTTCATCAACTTACCAATTTTCTTCATCTTCTGATAATATTAAAGTAAAATAAATTTTAGATTGAATATTTGATAATTTTCTTGAAATTTGTTTTTATAACTATCTTATATTGAACTTAAAAAAGAAGAAATATTTTAGAGTTAAATTTTCAAAATTCAGTTTTTCATAAAGATTTTGAAATCTAGAATTTAGAGAAATTATACTCTGGATCACCGGTTCTATAAAATTATCAGGCATACTTCAAATAATAAACATGGTGGAGAAAAACAAAAACCTTGAATATCAGATGATATTTCCAACTCAACTCTACAAATTAAATCAGCACTTACAGTTTTCTTAATTGCAATTTACAAATATTCGATACACGATCGTCTTCAAATCGACATTCTAAATGAACAAGTTACCAAGGATGTTGATCTAGAACATGAAATCCACAAGCTGTCAGAACCAATTCACACAACAAAATGCCATCTGTTATGCATTTTTTGGGCATTACATTTGGTTTCTACTTTCCATTGATACTTCAATTAATTGTTATCCAATGCATGGTGAGGGGTGTGACGTTCAAAATTTTATTCCCTTAGGGCAATTGCTTGTCCCTTTTACAGGGCAATCTGTGCACACGTACTAGAAAATCACTTCAATTGTCTGAGTCTATCTCACGAAAGGGTAGCGGAACAGCCTTCACTGCCCTGTAATGTCCCACGTTGTTTAGATGCTCATTCTCCAATCTGTAGTGTTCAAACAAAAATTGTCAAATTCAGAGGAATTTTGTTCACCATTTCAGGAAAAGAAAAAAAAGAGTCATCTATTTTAAAATATGAAGTTATAAGATGGTATATATATATATATATAATTCACTCCTTTCATAAACTGTTTCATCACCCTACCAAGGGACCAATTCAACCATTCCCAGAGAACACTTACAAGGAACTGTATTCATGTTTTGCTATTCTTAAAATGAAAAAAAGTCACTTTCAGATGTTCTAAAATGTTTGAGAAAGTACCTGTAGAAATTCCAATGCCCTCTTCGAATAACCTCAAGTGAAGCTAACAAAAAGTCTAGTAGCCTTGTTTGGACAGGTCCCACTTTGAGGTGCATGATACTCTCCACCCAAGCCACCCTCAGGACAACATTCAATGCCTGAAAAGTGAAATCCAATATCCCTTTATGATCTGAAGACTATATGATTCTAACATTAACAAAGTGATCAAAGAGTACTTACAATAGACATGTAGTATATGTTTTTGTTCTTTAAAATTAGATCATCTCTTAGCCAAGGGTTTTTGGAGTTGGGATTGAAAAACCCCCAGTCCTTGAAAAAATCCCAATACAATTGGTAAACTGTGGCCACCCCGGAAGAGATCAAGACTATAGCAAACCATAGATGGTTATCTTGCCTGCTATATGTGACTCTAGCTCCTACTGCAACCATTGCTGAAACATACTTCCCCATGTTAGCCAAATGGTTAACATCACTGTCATCAAACCATCTTCTTGCACACTGTTCATGTGACATTCAAGTAGCATGAGTTAGTTCACAGAATAATATTAAGTGTTTAAAAAATTTCAGTTAGCAAATATATCATGCCTCCAATTCTAGAAGCAGCTGATGAATTGATACGGAATCTATATATTATCATGCAGCACCAGAGGCATACCTGCAATGCACGCCACCAATATGGCAAAAATGATATCAGATAGGTTATTTCTACATATAGCCGTCCAGAATGGCAAGCCTCAGGATGGTGTGTTTTGAAAACTCTAGAAAAAATGTGACAACCTGTTGTTTCCAAATGCTTTAGCAATGGAATCTGAAAACATTAACATGCAATTTGATGTTGAATATTAGTATGCATTTTGAGAAGAAATTGGAAACAAAATAAACTTGTTATGGGATATAGTAAGATCACCTGGCTAGTTAGTTGGTCAGCCATAAAAAAGTCTACCAGAAGAACCTGTAGGAACAGTAATCTAAATTAAAAAAACATGACAAGCTCAATTTTGTACATGACTACATGCTGCGTGGCAGGTCAATGTATCCAATAATTCCAAGGAATATATGTAGAATTTAACTATTATATGCTTATAGTGTAGAGAGTTTTAACATGGTATGGTAGATATGACTTTTAAGATAATTTTTATACAAGTTCAATAAATTTAACATACATCACGTTGCTGATTGAATGACAGTGTGAATTCTTTTTACATTATCTTTACATAGATTATTTTCTCATACATTTTAAAGTTTACCTTATAAAATGGAGAGCAAGCTATGTTGCGAATAACACGGATGAAGCAAAAACGAGTGGGGCGATAAAAAATGTCAAATGGGCAAATGAGAAGACCTACAAAGAACTGAAAATGGAAGTTGATAATCAGCACACAAAGATTTGACTTGAAAAACACTGTAAATTCTATTACAAATCATCACTTTATGGAGTTTCAAGTAAACCAAGCTATTGTTTATCATCTTTCAAGTGACATGGAAAAGCAATAGTCAATGGACTAACCAGAAAAAGAATTCCTGGCATAGCATCAACTTGGCCAGGAGAAAAATCTGCAGCCCTTAGAAGCAGGTGCATCACCATTGCTCCAAACACAGTTGTCATGAGGGTGGTGCACATCAGAAATGCATCTCTGTGTTTAAGTGCTGTGCTTGGAGAGAACTCAAATATGAAATTATGGTTGATTCTTGTACTCTTCCACATGTACAGGTTGCATCCATACATAAACAAGTGCAGGCTTAATAATGCAAACAAACTGCAAAAAATCATTGTAGCCTTTAATAGTGAAAGCTATAACATAGGTGTTCTTGCTTTAATTTTGCAGCTTATCTGTTTAAGTCGTTTGAAGTATATCGTTTTCCACATTTATGTGCAGTTCAATGGTTTGTGAGATTACAAAGCTGAAACTAAAACAGGAAAACTTTGTATCTCATTTGGTAAGAGAAATGTTAGTAACACTCTTTTGGTTTGCAACATTCATTGACACGTGCTCTGTTAACTATTCCTAAAGTAACAGGACTTGTATGTTAAGGAAGGGTGTATTATAATCCTTCTTATTTTCCCAGTTCACTTTTTTGTATACATACATCTTGAACCTCACAATACAATTCTTTATGTTTACATAATTTTGAAAAAGGAAGAAGGATGTTGAATAGTTATGGTTAAAATGGCATACATAAAAGTGATTTGTGAAGTAAATTGAAAAAGGAAGCATGCAATGTATCACCTGAAAACAGGGTAAACTGCATCCATATATGCTGGCTCAGTGCCAGGAGAGAATACACCACACAAATGAGCCAAGATTACGTACACACAACACAAGGATACAGAACAACCTGTGCTCAACCCTGTAGAGGAGGAAGTAACATGGAAAAATCAGTGAAATCTTAGCACAAATGGAAGAAAAAAAGTTGACCTACGAACTATATTAGTGGGTTCACCACTCTTAGTGGCCACACTGGCTGGTTGCAATAATTAAAATTTTGGCATATATAGCATTATTTTTAAGGTGATGAAGCTATCATTAGGCATAAAATGTTGTATGGTTTTGACTTTTGCATGCACGATGGAAATAACGAGATACTTAACACAGTGGAATTTTTTTTATATATATATTTATGTTATCTTTAAATACATTTTTAATCTTTATAAAATAAATGGGGTTTGACAATTATTATTTGCTCTTATTAGCACATTATATTTGTAATTTTTTAAAATTTTAAAATAAAATTTTTTTACTCATATTTGAAAATGAATATAAAGTTGATGTTAGGAATTAGGGAATGAGAGATTACCAACAAGGAAGGTGACCATATGAGAAGCTTTTGGCTGTTGGGGTCTTAAAAACTTCATTGCCTTTTTCCTATCATTGTTGGCAAATTCCTTTGTGAAGGTTGATTCCACTTCATCCATTAGTCTTACAACCTTTTTACTCCAAATATTTTATTGCATATAACCACCACTTATTAGTATAAGACCATGTATTTCAAGAATTCTTTCTTTCTTTCTTTCATCTCCTAGGGTTTATGGCAAAATAAATCATACCTTATCAGAACTAATGAAATAGGATCTCTTCACTTCCTTCAAATAATTTGTAGAAGCCTTTTGACAAGATACCTTATCAAATCACCATATTATTATTAGTGCAACTACTAAAAAACCATCTTATGTAACTATAAAAATTAACAACTTTATTAAGGAGAATTTTTTAATGACACCAAGAAAACTAAACCAGTTTTAACGTGTATTTTCAAGTGAAATTAAGTATTTTTTGTTTTACTTATATAGATTCCAAATTCCTCAGTTTAGTGTTGCATCATACCTTATCAAATTTCTTGAGTATCTTTGTGAATGCCACCATATTCAAGGAACTATAAAGAAGATAGAATATGTGGTTAGAAACGAAACTAGTTTCACATGGGTCATAGAAAATTAAAGAGACTTAATGTAGGGTATGAAAAATGGACAGTGACATTAACTTATTGGCATGACCAAAAACTGACATTGATACGTAATAATTCTTCCCCACCAAGAAAAAGTTTCCTCGTTTCATTGCATCTTAGCATGTCACTGGTCTCGTCATGGATAATGTAAAGTTGTCTCGACTAGTCCAACAAAAGAAGCAACTCTTTGTTTTTCGAAACTGATGATGATAAATGAAGACTTAGGATTTATTTGTTCAGATTCGGGTAATATCCTTGGAGAAACGTCTTAGGCGATATAACCCTAAACCTATCACACCAACCTCTATCTACCCTAATCATCTTTTTCTTACGTGGTGTAGTCAAACTCCATGCAACTTTTGTACTCGTCTTTATCCTTCATTACAATTCAAGATTCAATTTCAATTCGTTATAGCAAATTTAGTCATAATTGTCATTAAATAAAAATAAAAGTAATTAAAATTTGATAATATATTGAAAACAAACAAAAAAATAAGTGTGTTTTTTATGATAAATGAGAGTAAGAATTAATTAATTAATTAATTAATTACCTGTAAGTTTTGAGAAGGCCAAGACCTTTATAGAGCTCCACAAATGCACTTCTAATCATCTTCTCAGCACACTGAATTTTTCTTTTCTTAATCAATTCTCCTCCATACCCTGATTTCATTGGACTGTTCACCAAATCCTCCCACACCATCGTTGGAGTGGTGCCTGGCATATCAATTCTTACTCCCATTTGAGCCTTTCCCTTCTTTGTCTTCACCCTCACTCCTGAGTTCACAAAACTCAAACCATTTCTTTCCAACGTTGAGATCACTTCATCCATGTCTGAAACCTCTGAATCTCCCTCCTTTGATTCTCCAACACTTTCTGCACATTAATCATTGCATTCAGTGTGATGCCTACATCAACAACTACTCGTGCAATTTTTCATATTATGTTCAGAAAGTATATATCAGTAAAAGAAGTGACCTGAGTAATTTGAAGGGAAAATTCCAGTATTAGAAGGTTTCTGCGACGGATTTTTCCTGCGTCTGTCACTCAGAACTTGCTTCAGGTCCAACAAAATGTTAAGCTGCTTCTTCAACATTTCTCCTCTCTCAACAAACTCACTCTCTTGCTTCTTGTAGAATTGGTTCACCTTGTTAAGCTCTCCATCAAGCTTTGCAAAAAACACTTGCACCTCATCCTCTTCCGAAAACAATTGTGCCAACTCAGTTTCATACACTTCTTCACTCTCTTCTGTTGTTTTTCTCCTCACCTGTAACACAATTGTCATATTAACATCCAACTACAAAATACAAACTTCGATGCTCCCTTGTAACATATTATAGCTAGGGTTCTTGGTGTGACAAAAAAAATTCACTTATTATATTACACTTTTTATTTATAACTTTGATGTGTACGAACATATATAGGTATCTATGAATCTTTATCCCAAAATTAATATCCTTGTATTTATGTATATTTTTATAGCTATCCCTTTCATTTTAAAATAATTTTATACGAGAGTTTACATTCATGAACATGTGCATACTCTTATTTTGTTACTCTAGGGTGCAAAATGGTTTCGTGATGGCTATGTGTGCAACAGCGTTGCCACTCTCCATCGATTTCGTGAAAGAATGAGAAACTCTCGAAAGCAAAAGCACAAAGAGATTTCAGAAAAAAAGACCACTAAACTCACCTTTTAGCCCTTAATGCCATTCTCATATTCCCCACTTCATCTTTTTTTACTATTATTTTATTCACCCCATCAAACTTATATATACAGTCAGATTTATTTATTATTATGACAACAACATTTGATACGGAATCGAATTTCAAACCCTCATTATTTTCAAGTTTTCCTACTAGGCATTAATGATTCTTGGATCATAAAATAAAGGATTTGTAGTACGTTTAGATTAACAGTTATTCAATGATCAAAGAGATTATCAAAATCAGTATCTAATCGCGTTTTAACCCCTAAAGTATTGTCATAAATTAATAATTATTAGGTTACTGACATTTATTCAATAACATAACTTGAATAAAATATAACAAAACTTTAGGTGTAAAAATATTTATTTCATCTTATATAGACTCTCTTTTTTTGTCAAACCCTTTAACTTCATATTATTTATATATTTACAATTTTTCTTTCTAGTTTCCCATTGGGTATTAATGATATTTGGATCATAAAATAATGGATAATAGTACGTTTAGATTAACAGCTGTTAATGATCAAAAGGTTATGTAATCAGTGTCTAATCACGTTTTTTCACCATATTAAAGAATAACTTTAAAACAAACAAGGTGTTTCTAATGCGATGCACTTCGTGTAAGGTTCTGTGTAACTGATAGATCACTGACTAAATATCGTCATCCCCATTACGTTTTCGTGGTTCATATTCACCATAACCAATTCACGTGGCTTTCTCAAATCCTCTTGCTCAGAATTACGTTAATATCCTCAAAAATTTTACCACCTAGCTAGCTTGTGAATATTGCAGGAGCTAGTTAACAAAAAATTGTGTTAAATATGTGTTCAAAAGCTCCAAGATATTTCATTGTCTGAAAACGATGTCCTTTATTCTTCGTCTTTCTGCAATAAAAATGCACGATGGCACAAAAGACACAACAAGACAAAAACATGCAGAAAATCACGGACACACGCAAAGGTTTTAGACATGTCCCTAGAACTCATATTCTACCGGAAACACCAAAAGGAAAAACAAGTACCAAACAAACCAGAAAAAACACATGCACAAACTTTATAAACTATACATACATATACATATATATATACATATACATATACATATGATGATCTTACTTGTATATTTATCACAGTACACTTTACCTGAATGATATCTTGCATGCTGTTGTGTGAACTGTGGAGCTTGTTGGTTATGAAGCGAATGGAATCGAAAATGGAACGACCAAAGGTTTCGTTTGGGGGTTGTGACTGTGTGGAAAGTCTTGCCAGTTTGATCTTTTTGATGTGTTTCTTAAGCTGCCTGTAGTTGACAAAGGCCTCCTTCCATTCTGGTATTAGTTGAGCTTCGAGCTCCTTTGAGAATTTCACCATTTTTGGTCTGGTTTGTGGAGCAGAGAAAGAGAAGGGAAGAAGAAGAAGAAGAAGATGATGTTACATAAAGTGAGGTGTGAGAGATTGAGAATGTGATGAAGGGGATTTTTATAAGAGAAGAGCCGTGTGGACTACTTTCCATTGCTTTTCATATATGTTTTGATCACTGTTTCCCTTTATTACAAGAATGGGATTAACAAATGATCCTGATTTGGATTAATTAATCCATAAACACTCCTGAAAGAAAAAATAAATTATTTTTTACACAAACTAAAAATAATGATTTTTAAAATATAACTTTAACAGATACATTGAAAACTTGTTCAAATATTTTAAAACGAGATTCACAGCTACATAAGACCATGTAAATTAGTTTTACATTTCCAATGATTTACAAATCATAATTTGTGTTCTGATAATTTCTTTTTTCTAAACTAAATTTAATTTAGGATCAGAATGTGAGTTAATTTAATTATATGAAAATAGTTTCGTTTATTATAGGAGCAGTGACAAATAATAATTTATATATAATTTCTTATTTTAATTGATCGAAAACTCTTCTAAATATAAAATTTGTGATAAATAAGAATTTTAAAATTAACAAAACTTAAAACCTGAAAATTGATTGTATATATTCCTAGTTTTCTTTATGAATGTTTAGTGAATTTGATTTTGCTACTTTTTTGACGAGATGTGAAATTATTAGTATAGATCGAAGTGTCAACTTGATTTTGAACATCCAATTATAAAAAATATAATTACATCATATTAGTTATAAGATTTAATGGTTAATTAATTTTTCTCATTAATGTTAAACCTAAAAAATTGTGAGCCACATAAGTTAAAACTGATGTCAATATTTATTAATCCTTATTTTATTTAAGTTCAAATTATATTTAGAAATAAAAATGTATTATTTGTTTATTTTGGGTAAACATATGAATATATATATATATATATATATACAACAAGATTTTAAACATTGTTGTCCGTAAAAATGTTTTACTTTTTTATTAAAAGCGATCAACATGAAAACCAAAATGGTCAACTTAAAATGTATAATACCATTGAAACTTAAAAAAAAATAGTAATAAAGGATGAATCTTTTAATTAAATGTTTCTTCAATATTTTAATACTAGATTGGTTTATATATTTTCTGAGAATCTTCTTAAAAACTTAGGGTGATAATAAACTAAAATTTTAAAGTAAACAAACGTAATTGTAATGATCAACCTTAACATATTATTTTATTTAAAAATATAAGGCGTGTATAGTGGTTTATTTAAAGTTTTTTTTTTTACAAGGACAACAATTAATGAATAAAATACTAGTCCAATGTGTTCAGGAAATTTTATAACAAAAATAATTCATATTTATAAGAGATTTAAGTAAACATTAATTATGGATAACTTAAATTAAGCAAATAAATATTATGGCTATTTCTTATGCATTAATTAGGGTTCTTTTGAACATGCAACAAGGGGTATTGGTAAGTTGAATTATGTGGAAAAGTAACATATGTAGTGGATTAATTAGTAGCTAGTACTGTTATTTATGAGTTTTTTTTTAATTTTAAAATTAGTCCTTAAATTTTTAGTTTTTAAAAATTTGAAAATATATTTGATGATAATTTGGATAAAATAAAATTTAAAATTTATATTTATTTTTTATTTTTTTTTAAATCAAAATTAATAGAAACTTTTTTTGTTTCTTTTCTTTAATATTATCAATGCAATTTTTTTTTCCAAAATAGTTTTTATTTTTTAAAATAAAATTTCAAAATCAATCTTTATAATTTTAAAAAAATAAAACTAAATCAGACAATATATATTATGTTGTTAAGCATGACACAAAATTTGACTTAAATGTAATTTAACTTTAATAGTACGTTGTTTATACCAATATTAATGTTGTACTATGCATTTAAGACGAAGAGGTTGAGGTTGTTCCAAGCTTTCTAGGAATGTAATTTTTTTATTAGGAAGGTAAAATTTACTTACAAGTTAGTTTCATTATGAAAAAAATATATTATAATTGATGCTATGATATAAAATTGGTTCAGTTTCATATTTTTATGATAAAATTTTAAATTGAAAGCAATAATACTTATTAAGTAATTTTTTTTTAAGTTTTAATTTTCAATTTTATTCAAAATATAAAAATGATATATACAAATTAAAAACATAAAAGCCAAAAAAAAAAAGAAAAAAAAATAGTTAACATGCTATGCATTAAACTTAAAAAAAAAACTTATAATTATCATGAATGATACTTTCAAGTAAGGGCATTTGACCTTGTTAGCTGCAAATTATATATATTTATAAAATTATGTATTGATATAAATAGAAAGTATAATCCTAAATGTTTATATTATTTGTAGTAGTGAAACTTTTATAATATATATGTGTGTTCATATATAAATTATTACATTTTTAATAATTTATTTACTCATGAACATTTTATTTTTCATTCTAATAATTGTTATGGTTATAATCGATCAAAGTATAATCTTGTTGATCAGCTTAAAATATACTTTTAATTATTATAATAATAAAATAATATTAATTTTATAATAAAGTAAAAATATTATTAATATTAAATTAAAATATCAAAATTAAAGTTACTCATTTTTTTTATTTTAGAAAGTTGAATTTCATCAATTTAAAAATGTTATTAAACAATTTTTTTAAAACATAATAGTATACTTTTCTTGAAAAAAATGATACGACAATGGGTATTTTTTATTATTATTATTATTGATACTTTTGTTAAAGAATATGAATTATAAATTAAAAAGTTAAGATGCATCAGAATTTATAATTTTTAATTAATTTGAACTAATATAAAAATAATAGAAAGCCCTAGTAAAAGAAGTAATGTAATAAATTTAGTATAGGTTTGGCACGCATTAAGACACTTTTTCAGTAGCTCATAAAGCATTACATAGTATATTTGGTCTTTTTTTTATTTAAAAATTACTTTTAAATTAAGTAAAAACATAAAAAAGTAAAAATTAATTTATCACTTTTTATCCTATATCAATTTGGACGGATCTATTAACTTTTTTTCGAGTCAAACCCATGTTTTGTTTAAGTACTAATTCTTAACTTCATTCTTAAACAACACAATAACAATTTTTTTTCTTTTTACAATTTTCTTTCCACCTTTTACGTGTAACTTTTTAAGAGGTTGAACACTAGTAATTTTAAATATTTCTAACAATAAAAAGATATAAGATAATTCTAAAATTATTTCATATAATATTTTCTTTAATCCAAAACTTATCATAAAACTTTAATTTAATATTTTGAAACTCTTTTTATGGGCACTGTGAATTAAGGTTAGAAAATGTCTTGGTTGGACCGGTAACAGTTTTATGACAATGATGTCAGTGCCACATATTAGTTAGTGGTAATACTTGAGAAGAAGGATAGAAAAGAATAATGAAAAATAGTTATAAGAAACAAAGAATGGTAAAAGAAGTAAAAATTTCTTATCCACCCAAATTTTTAAAAACACAGTTTGTGAAGATCCAAATTAGAAGTTTTTGCACAACTTTTTGTGAAGATTCAATTCAAGTGCACACTAAAAAGTTTGTAGCTTGAATCCCAATTGAAAAGGGTTTATACTTTTTGATGTGAAAAGGTATCTCCTGAGAATATTCCCAAATTAAACAAAATAAATCAATGGAAGTTAATTGAGGTAGGAAAAAGCTCTTGCATCATCATCACCGTCATCTTCTGCAAATGAAGGACCCCAATTATTGCTTCTGCAGGCTACCTCATCTTCCACAATCCATAATTAATGCTTCATCATATTACAGGGATTCGTAATTCTTTAGATTTTTTTTCTTCTCTAGGAGTGAACAATTTGAAAAGCCCCTTATCTTATGCAATTAATAACTTTCATTAGTTATCTTTAACAGAGTTTTTCCTTTATTTTATTGTTCTATTATGTTGGCGTAGGTAATGACAAAGCCAATAATGTTATTTTCCTTAATTTTTCCAACAGTGCGAACATGCAACTTTACGTAACAAAACCTTGAAACCTTATTAGATAAGTTTCCAACTTCTTTAATTCATTTTTATTCAATTTTAACACAAAAATTTCAACCATATCCTACCAAATAAAATCATGGTAATCTGGTAGGAATTGGCTACTAATTACGTACGTAAACACTTAATTGCCAACATATACCCACCAAATATTAATTGCATATTAATTTAATTTTTTAATAAACTGCACTAAAGTTAACTGGTTTTTAAAACATTCAGCATAGAAATGGGGTTATTTGTTTTCAATTATAAATCTGTATATGAAAAGTGGTTTCAAATTATTGGCTATGCAAAGATGGCAGTGAAGAAGAATAACACTTATTTCTTCCTATATTGGCTGCCAAACGTTAAGCACAATCCACATCTACATATAATATACAATACCAATTTGCTTTCATTAAACAAATATATATGAATCTGTGAAGTGTGAAATATGAAATCTTAAACTACAGCTAAGTATTGGCTTTCAGAAAGGAAATATATATACAATAAACTTTTATTCCTCTGTACAATAATTCTACTTCTGTTTAAGTCAATAAACTTTAGAGTTGTAGTTTTATATCTCATCTTATCTCTTATGCAGTGTAAAAAATATAATCCTAATGACTTATATATAATACCAAGAAAAATACTACACATTGTGTAGAAAGTAGATATGATGAATGGAAAAGTTAAAAGATAAAAGTTGTGTATTTATATATATATATTTGAAGTTGATGGTAGCACTTGTGAGTGAGATTTGCAACACTTGAGTAATGTGAACAATGGTACATTGAAAATTGTTGAAGAAATCACTGTCTGATGACACAGCAAAGGCACCATGAGTAATGGGGGATGTTTTATTACCTAAAACCACGTGTCCAGAATCCCCACCACCAGAATCTCCAAACATGACCCAGTTGGAAAATGCAAATAGAAACTTGGCCAATCTACACCCCAGAGAGGATCTTGCTTGGACTGTTGCATAGTTGTTCTGTACAGTGCATGTGACAGCAACACGCTGGTTTTAGTTCAGTGGCACCATAAATAATCGTGGAGCCATTTTGCACAATATAATTATATCATTTTTAGTGTGGATCATGACGTTGGTACAACGGGGTGCCCATAATTATTATGTTGTTCCCACTAATATACACACCACAATATCCCTTACATAAAATATACATTGCTTTCAAGTTAATGGGATTCAACAGGAATGGCCTTTGGTGAATGCCAACTTTTCATTAATTGATTTCAAGACCAAAAAACTCATGCCCTCAAAACAAAATTAGTGGGTGGGGGGACACACTACTGGCTGCTAACCCCTTCATATTAAGGGCATTCGAGTCTGGGTCCTAAGGTTGACCTTCACAAGGTCAATATTCTTCAGAAAATAATGTCTCTGTGTCGTGTTTTTTTGGACAGCAGAAAATTGAGACTGTTTTCACATTGTACTTTTGAAAATATATCTGATTTGTTAAGGGTGTTTTGATATCTATAATTGGTGTAGATTTTTTTTTTTAAAGTCTCTTCCTTTAATTATTTTTTTTATAAGATTTAAATGTGAAATATTTTTTTTTTAAGTTTAAGTCTAATATTTAGACCAAATGTAAGTTTGTATTATTTTCTATAATTTAAGAAAATGTAAGGATAACTAAGGAAAAAATATTAATTAACTTTTTACATAGATATAATTAAATTCTGTTAATTCCTTTTTTATTAATTGAAAAAGGCAATTATGTGTTATTTACTAATTTTAGCTATAAATCATAAACCAGCTATTTTTGTAAAGGGAAACGTAGGTTTGAGTAGCTAAATTTTTGGTCAACGTCACTTTACTTTTCACTTAATGCATTTACTTCCTAATATTTATAAATTAAATGGTTTTCATTCTAATCACAAACGACATTAATTAACACAGTTTCATAGTTAAATCTAGTAAAGTTGTGTGTGACATGTTCATCATCATATATTAAAGTTGAAACGCAGCATTGTGGTTGGAGGTTTAAAGTTTATTTTATAAAAAATATTTTATAATTAACCTTTTTTTTCACTATTTTTACTTGTATTTGAAGTTAAGAGTACGAATTTGTCTTTGTAAGTTTTTTGTCGACCCTGTGGAGAACAAACTGTTGATATTGACACATAGCTCGTGGGAGCAAATATTCACAATAAACTCGTGAATCCATTGAATTCAATTAATATGCTTCTGTTGAGCTTAGAAGTAACCTATTTAATGTAAAAGAGAATGAAACTATGTGTTCCTAAGTTAGAATTCAATGTTATTATATATGGAACTGAGTTTTTGTAAGAAGATAAGTTTATACTATTAATTAATATTAATATTTAATTTTTGTTTTGTACTAACACAGTTTAAGAATAGATTGGCCTAATAATCTTGAGGAGGCAACACATGCAGAATTTTAATATCTCATTCACACACTGTAAAACTAAACTAAAAGCAAGAGTATATAGAATCTCTCGTAACTGATAAGGAATATTACTCACTTTCCCTCTTTACACCTTATCAGTATTAATGGATATCCCTAAGTCAATGCTATAATGAACTAGGGTTTGAAAATCAGAAAGTTGAGAATCTTTTTCTACGAACTTTCAGAAAATCTGATTTGTCGTTTTAAATCGATCACAATAAGTGTTCTCGGCATGGGAAAAAGGATGAGAGGCACTACTAAAAGTTCATGAACAATGTCCATAATTTTCTTTCCATGACTCAGTGTGATACCATCTAGATATCTAACTCATTTTCACATAATATTTTATATGATAAACTCTCACATATATAGTATAGGATCATTTTTCTATGCAGATTTCTAACATGCCTCTGTGATGCATGCATAAAGGACCATTTTTGGCCTTGTTTTATGGCCTCATCCAAGATAAGATGGCTCTATCCTTTCATAAGAGTCATGGTACGACTCTGATGCATGTCTTAATTTACTATTTTTAAGATAAGATGGATCATGTTTACTTTAAACAATAAGGTATCCTAATAGGTACAAACTAGTCCTAATTCTTAATGCTTAACTTTCAACAGTGGTGCTATAGCAGATAATTGTCAACCTGTATACCAGTAACAGGTCCTTTCTAGAGGTCACATAACAAATATTGTACTTTATTAATAATCAATACAACATAATGCAATATCCACTAAGCAATTCATTCTGTTCCCTCTTCCTCTTTTCTTTTCTCCAAATCAAACACCTACCATTTCTAGTTGCTACTCTTCTTTATATTCTCTTTTATCTTGAACACTTTACAACTTATAGTTAAGCATTATAAACTGTTTAATAATACACGATTTGATTGGCTAGCAAATCAAAATGTTGGCAAGCAATAGCATAATTTCCCATTGCACGTAACAGCAAAGACATATCATGGAAGTGGGTTAGATAAAATAGCATTTATTCATTATATATATAGTATATATACACACCTTTTTTCTTTTTCTTTTTCTTTTTCATTTTCATTTTTTTCTGATATATAAAATCAGAATATATAGGCTGAGTTATATAGTGGTTAAACACATTATAGTTACACAATATGAAAATATCTAGGTAGTAGAAAATGGATTATAAGAGAGAAACATGTGATGCAACAAAAATCTGTAAACTGTGCGCATGGAATATTATATTAATGCAGTTGACGTATATTTGTGTGAAACGTTACTGGTAATGTGAAGAATGTTGATTCGAATTAGATACGCATGCAGAAACATATAGCAGCAATACATAGTCATGAATCACAGAGTGAAGTTTGACCCGCATTATTTCATTTGCATGCGTGAAAATAGAGAAGCCATCGATGATTTTTTTTTTTTTTTTTCTTTTTGCTCAGTGCCATCCATAAAAGTGACTTAGCTGTTAAACTGTGAGGCTGCTTATTCTTCTCAAATTCTTCCACATTAGAGTGTGATCTGAGAGTATGATCCCTCTTATTGAGCTAGAAAATTAAGTTACGATTAAACTCAATGATGTGTTATGAAAATCTAATACCGTCGATCATGTACGAATGTGAATGTAATCTACTAATTGATTTCAAGTTTTAGAAATGCAGTGATTTTGAATATTTGAAGAAGTGTACCATGTAATAAAAAATCTAATATTCTTAAAACCGTCACAAACTAAAATTTTATAGTGAATATTACTTTAACGTAATAATAGATTCTAATAATAGTTAAAAGTAAAATCTGGTTTCACTCTAACTTAATTGAGTTGAAATAATTTATAAGAAAAATTTACCCACATGTTTATAGTTTATAATAATACATTTAATGAGAACGTAATTAGTTTAAAATTAATAAGAGATGTATTTTAATTCTTATAAATTTAATTATTTTCCTTTTGAATTGATAAATTTTAACATAAAGGATCTAAAAGGTAAAAAAAAAAAGGTAAAAACACTTTTTTTTCGAAATTAGAGTAATCATTTACACTTTTTGTAATATTAGTTTTTTTCTATCTTTTTATTAAATTAGTTATCTTACATCACCTTCTTCTTCTTTTTTTCTGTTCTTACTCTGTTATATAAAGTTATACGAAAGTATGGTATAAATTATACAATTTTTTTTAGTTAAATTCCTATTTGCTTTCTTCTTCCTAGAGTTGAAGTTGACAACACGATATATATAATCCCAAAATGTAGAATCTAATTCCATGATTTATCTTTGCAAAGTTTTTTTTTTTATTCCATAGCCGGCGAAAGTTAGTTCAATAGCCAATATTAATTAAAAGGTGTTCACAAATATTGAAAAAAAAAATGTAACTTATATTGGATATTTACGTTCTATATTAAAATGATATAAAGAGATAAAACAAAAGAGAATAAAGTGAGACTTTTTATTTAAATTGTTTAAAATACGTAAATAAAATATATATTTTTTTCTTCTACCAAATTTTTGGGAGTTTAGAATAATACCAACATGTTGGTTATTATAAATTTGATGATGTGTTAACTAAAAATTGAGTTTGAATTTTGAATTGGCTTAATCTAAGTAATGATATTTAAGAAAATTAAAAATATATTAAAATAAATTGCGACATGAATTTTGCATAATAATAATATACTAAAAAAGAGAGTAGATCATAAATACTAAAATTTAATATTAAAAACATGTCTTTTTAGTTCCGTATCAAATTAATACTCTTTTCTTAATGTAGGGTTTTCAATCAAAAGAAATTATTGTTTTATTTACAAAACTTTAAACAATATTTAAAGTAAATATCAATGAAAAAAATGATTCAAATCATGAATAAAATAATAATCTATCGATGTATATTATAATCTGTAAATTCTTAAATAATGTAAAGTTCCACAAGCTTATGTTTTAAGTTAGTTAATGTTGCTCTACTCACCATGGAAATGGTCAAGTTTTAGTCAAATGAGTTTTGGTATTGTCATGAGTGGTATGAGTGTGTGATCCAAAAAATCTTCTTTCACGTTCATTTAATAACCTTTTCGTAGCACACATCAAATCAATATTAATTCTAAAATGAATGAATCTTTATCTATAATATCATGACTTTGAACTTATATTATTCAAACAAAGAATAAGAATAATGTTATGTTCGCAAATTGTATTGCCTTACACAAACCTCTGTCATCGTCTCTTTTTCAATTACTATTATAATTTTAAGTGTTTTAGAGACCTTTTACATCATATAAATTGGTAAAATCTTACAATTGGAATGAGGTTAATTTATTAAATTCAAATTACAAATCTTCATTTAGCAAATCCTATAAACAAATTCTCATATAATTTTTAAAATCCACCGTACATTTTCATTTTAAAATATTTTTTTACAATTCTTACTAATATCTTATTTATTTTTATTCTTCTTATTAGAAACGATGATCTACCTATTAGATCTAAGAATTTCATGTAAGATATTAATTAAGATTGGACGCGTCAAGATGGGTTTTAATCCGTGAACCAACTTAATTAATTATTGATTTGAGTCGGGTTAGGTTTGATTTTTTTTCATTTCTACCGATAATGGGTTAAAAATGAACCCGACTCACTTAATCCACTGATTAAGCGGGTTCGAGCCGGGTTACGGTGGGTTGACCTACAACCCACTATTTATTTTAAATTTTTTAAATAATTAATAATAGTTTAGTAATTTTAATTGATGTTTTTTTTCTCCACCTCTATTCCATGTCGTTACTACAAGTCAAACTCTCACTCAAGATTGTTATTAATTACGTTATAATGTTTGTCGTGTTTCAATTTCGCGTTTCAATCGCATCATAACTTTTGTCATGGCAACGCCACAACATTTCAGTCTCACATTTCAATCGCGCCACAATGTTTGTCACGTCACTACATTTGTCGCACTATTGCATTTGTTGCGTCACCGTATTTCAGTTATATCATAGTGTTTGCCGCATTTCAGTTACATTACAGAGTTTGTTGTGCAACCATATCATTACGTTCAGTCGTGCTTATTAAAAAAAATGTGGGTTAGTGAGTTAACCTACCAACCCGTAGTGGGTTGAGTCAGATTGTAAAATTTTTGGTTTGTCAAAAAGTAAGTCGGGTTAAGCTCACCTATTTTCAACTCAACCCGTGGTGAACCAATCCGTGTGTACCGGGTTGATTCCCTTTAACACTCTTAATTAAAATATTTAAACGAATATGTGATAAAATAAGAATAAAATATCCCACATTTTTTAGATAGTTATAATCCTAATCCTATTATATAAAAGGATTTATATCTCTTTCATTTAAATATTTCATAACTTTTATTTATCCTTGTACTGATTTTAAGTCTCGGAAAATCTTATGTAAGTGTTTTTCTTCGTTTTTTATATTACTAAGAGCTTGATTCAAAATATGGTGCATAGTTTAAATGAGGGACAGATTTTTCTTTTTCTTCTTTGGCTACAAAAGAATAAATATGTGTTGTTAAAAGCATTATCATTGAGAAAGTTCATTTTCAGGATTCTAGGTGGAATCAATCAAGTTGTAGAATGCATAATTTATTCAAGGGCTCTAATTTGAGTGGGGAACTTTGAAAATCATTACTATAGAAACAAATGTGATGCCTATTCAATGTTTTGATTTGTGTTGAAATTAAATAGTGATAGGGACATTACCATTTGGCCAAACCAAAAAGACCAAAACATGTCATAGTAAGTAATAAAATAAAAAAGAAAATGAGGCTAAAAAATAGTAAGAACATGTACCATAGAGATCTTTGCCCAATTCTTATTTGTTGAAATTATAAAAATATAACCTTTTTATGAACCTATCTCCAACTTCGATTTTTTTTCGGAGGTAGCACCCAATTGAAAAATAATAACCTGTATAGCATACTGTTTCAATTATTTACTCAACTAGCACGAATTTGACGTATAGTTAAAATTTGATTTGAGTAACATCCAATTCTAACCTTAACAATTGATAAAAATTTTAAAATATAATAATATTTATTAAATATAAAAATTAAATATAAAAATATATATATAATAAATATATAAATATTATATTTTTTATATTTTATTTACATAATAATATGAAATAAATAAATATAAATATATTTTTTATATAACATAAAAATATATTTATATTATTATATTATTAATATATTTTAATAAATATAATAAATACAAATATATTTAATATATATATATATATGTTTAAATATTTATTTATATTTTTATAAATATAATAAAATTTAATAAATATATATTTATATCTTTCTATATAACATTTTTACATAAATAAATTTTATATATTATTTAAATATATTTTTAATATAAAATAAATTTAGTAAGTAAAAATAATATTTTTTATAGAAATAATTTTATTATATTTATATATATTTTTATAAATATGATATTGTTATATATATTATAACTTTATTAAATAATATATATATATATATATAATTATATATTTAATAAATATATTTTTTATATACATAATAACTTTATTAAATTATATATATATATATATATATATATAAAATGAAGTATTTATTTAATATAATATATAAAGCTGGCCGGTCAATGTTGGGTTTATATTTTTTAATGTCAATTATTCCTTTTAAATTTTCATCGTCTTGAATCGTAGTTGCAATGTAATATACATCTTCATATATTATATTAAATAAATATTTTATTATATATATATATATATATATATATATAATTTTAAAAAGTTATTATGTATATAAAAATGTGTTTATTAAATATTTAAATATATAATATATATATATATATATATATTATTTAATAAAGTTATAATATATAACAATATCATATTTATAAAAATATATATAAATATAATAAAATTATTTATATATTTCTATAAAAAATATTATTTTTACTTACTAAATCTATTTTATATTAAAAATATATTTAAATAATATATAAAATTTATTTATGTAAAAATGTTATATAAAAATATATATTTATTAAATTTTATTATATTTATAAAAATATAAATAAATATTTAAACATATATATATATATATTAAATATATTTGTATTTATTATATTTATTAAAATATATTAATAATATAATTATATAAATATATTTTTTTATACTTAATTTTTATATTTAATAAATATTATTATATTTTAAAATTTTTATCAATTGTTAAGGTTAGAATTCGACCTTACCCAAATCATATTTCAACTATACATCAAATTTGTGTTAGTTATGTAAATAATTGGAACAGTATGCTATTCAGGTTATTATTTTTCAATTGGGTGCTAAGTCCGAAAAAAAATCCTCCAACTTCTGCTACATTCATGCTCCCTCTAGGCATTAACTAACCATAAAAGCAAATATTTTCTTAGATATAAAATATATGTGATCTGAAACACTCCATGAATTGGAAAGTTCCTCCAATAATTTGATGTGAAATTGGCTTATGTCATGAAAACTATCAACAATGTTCTTATAACTTGTTGACACATTGGTGTAAAGCAAGTGATACACTAAGCCCCACTAAAGGGTTCACAGTGAGAGCATTCAAAATCATGACATCAATATAAAGTGGTGGACAAATATGATATGATATATAATCGATATATAATCGACAGATGATCTTATTCCTTTAACCATGTAAGTAGATATTTGATATTAGGTTTATGTATGAAAAAATTTATAAAATATTAAAACTTATTAATCTTTTGAATATGAGTTTCTTGAATTTTCACACAATATACCTCAATTAAAAAATATATAATCCTTTAATGCCACCAATGAATTAATTTATGAAAGTGTCAACTATTTATATATAATGGAACACCATAGTCTATGATGAAGAAATTTCAAAGACTATGAATAAGTATTATCCAACTAGAGACTAGTTCTACGGTTCTTCCTAATTTATGTGTAGTGTCATAATATGTGGGAGTTTCATTATGACGTTGGCTTATAAGCCACCATGGATTGGATATTTACGTCATGGTGACATCATGATATCATTATTTAGAACAAATATTTTTAGTTATGTATTTAAATTTGTTTATATATATTGTGTTTTTTAGGGGATTATTTGTAAAAAAACAACATTAATCATACATGAATTTAATGTATATTGGATATTTTAAGAAATGCATATTTTTTTTACTAGCGGAATTCGGGAAAAGAATAGGAAAGGTGATTTCATTGTATTTCGACCGGAAACAGGGACCTACCACAAGAATATTTTTTTTTTAAGGCGATAGTTTTGAAAAGACGAGATATCAATCTAAAAAAACCTTTAACAATAAGATGAGTATTATTTTTTTATATATTACTTAACTTTATCAATTTTATTTAATGTGTAATTCAGACTCATATACTTTGGTTACTTAATCATCTTTTTTTTTTAAGTGTGAGTTATTTTATCATTTCGAGTTTATTAGTGATCATTCTATGTGTCGTTCATCATAACATGACAAATTGCTAAAAATATTACTTATTTCTTGTAAAAATAATTTAAATTTATAAGAATATTTCTTGTAATTTTTATACAAAATTTGTAAAAATATTTTCTATAAAATATAAGAATTTCTAATAGTGACATATTTACCTAACTTACAGTCAAAAAGACTTTTTACGTAAGAATCATTTTCAAAATGTTAATCACCAAACAAAACATATTATCATTGGATAATCTTTTGAAGAGAAATTAAAAAAATAATAATACTAGATAATCTCAACTTAACAATAACAATATATATTACATTTTTTATTTTTTATATTAAAATTAGAAATTTGTCAAAACAACTATATATACATTTGATTCATTTGCATCATTTATATATAACCGGAGTAAACTTTTAGTTTCTTTTATGAACTTAAACATAGGAACTATCATATATGAAAAGCACACTTTTTTACATTTTTTTTACTAACGTCTCTTTTTATTGATTAAAATTTATAGAATGAGTAGAGGGTCATCTGGTTTATGACTCAATGTTCATGAATAGTGCTGTCCTTAATAACTCTTAAGGGTGATATAATAATCTCAACCTTCTAAACCAATTGTTCATTTTTATTCATCCCTTTTAATGTTTAGTTTGTATTTCGTTAGGACTAGTTTTTATAACCTTTTGAAACATATTAAAAAGGAAAATTCCATTTGTATAAATGAATGAATGGAACATCCAAAACTATGTGCAAAGATAAAAAAGAAAATTATATAACATAATTATTCCATTGTTAATTAGCTTTAGTTAGAAGCAAGGTCTCCATCAAAAAATTATGAGACACTTTTGTTTTGTTTTGTTTATACTCATTTACTGTTTCATATTTTATGATGATAAGTATAACATATTTTTTTATAAAAATATCATTAATTATTTTTTAGAATAAACATTAATGATTTATTTTTGACAAATAAGTGAGAATAATAACAAATTTATAGGTAAAAAATTATTATTGTTGTTGTTGTAAATTGTTGTCGTTAAATTTAATATTATTTAATAATAATAATAATAATAATAATAATAATAATAATAGTAATAATAATAATAATAAATTGAGATGATGAAACGACGAAAAACTAGTGCGTAGATTACAGATAACCCAGTGCTCTCTCACGTTTCGTTTTCACTCTCTTCGCCGCCGCTATCTCCGTCGCAGAACACCGCATCTTCACTCTCCTCTCTTCAGGTTCCATCTCTTTTTCGTCTCCTTGTGCGATAGCACTTTACGAATTTTCAATATTAGGTTATGGTTATACCGTTATACGTTGCTGGTGCAGTTTGATTTAGGTTACGGGATTCGCAGGGTACGGCGGGTTTAGAGGGAAGCACAAACTCTAGTTTAGGGGATTGAGGAGAAATGCAATTGCAATTTAGTATTTGAAGATCATTGGTTAGGTTATTGAAAGGAAAAGCGAAAATGCTTGTGTCAGTGTAACTGCAATTTCCAAGTGGGAAAAATAAATTCTAGCATTATATGATTTCTGAGTATGTATTAACAAAAAAGCTAGGCTATCCCGGTGGGGAGGGTATTTGTACGTTGCATATGCAGAGACACTGTTTCTGGATTTGAGCATAAGGCGTAAGTTTACCACTGTGCTAGGACTTGCCCTTTTTATGAGTATGTATGATACGTATTTTCAAAGTTATGCAGAGGACGAACTTGAGGTGACTGAGAATTTGAGAGATTGATTTTAAAAGGTTAAATGAAAAAGAAAGTAGTATTACTGCTATTTCAATTACACACACATTTGTAGTTCAAGAGAAATATAGTAATTTTTATTTTTAGAATGCTAAGCTCTGTAGTTGAGCCCAATGATGCCCTACAATTCATGAATTGGATCTTGTCTAGTGGGATAAGTTAAGATATTTGTGCTTGTTTATTAGAATGCTAATCACGCCCATTTCTTATGTACTGTATGGGAATTGAATTTTGAAGCGGAAGAGAATTGATGACTATTTTTCTTTTTTAAATTAATATAATTATGTAATATTTATTAAAAATAAACAAAATTTTAGGACATTCAGTTTATGCTAATCTATTATTTTTTTTCTTTTATTTAAAATTATCCAATCAGTGAATATTTATTAAAAATAATCCCCCCCTCCAAAACACACCTATATGATTCAAATTTGATTCTGATATTTTAAACTCTGTCGGTGAGTGCCATGAGCAGTGGCAGAGTGCTTATTCTTGCAGGGGTGATTATTTGTAATTACTTGGCAAATGTAATGGAAACCTGGATATTTTATCTTGTTGGGCTGTGTGGATTTTTTGTATGTCAACCATAAGTCTTTATCTTTTTTCCTTGATTTTGGACATTCTTACCTAACATATCCAGTAAGCAATCGTGCTTTTTACATATGTTACTTTTTTTGTGTGGAAGGGTTGAGAGAGAGGGAATAAATGTTAAACTAGAGTTATGGAGTGAAGCCTTGCAATAGCATGACATTACGTCTGTTTATGTATAAATAAAATAGAGTATATGAAATGCAAGATCAACAAGAAATGTACTAGCATTGGCTTGGAGGTGAAAATTGGAGACCCTAAACAAATTTAGGTACTCTACCAGGTAAAGTGGTGGATAAATAAGGGGTGCTATAAATAATAGGGTTCAAACTGGGTGGATGAAATGAAGTAATGGTTTAGGTGTTATTTGTGATAGAAAGATATCTCCTAAGCTAAAAGAACTTTTATTGCAAGACTAGCTATGCTATATGGAGGATATCTTAATAGTTAGAAGGAGAGGTAGATCAAGACAGTTTTAATTGACACCATTAAAAAGGTTTACATGATATCATCTTGTGTAGGGAAAATTTTTGGTCTTTGTTGTTGTATCTTTCTTTGTTCTTATTTGGGTAGCACTCAAAACTAATTAAGACACACGTGGCTTTTTTTAACTTAAGAATCCGAGTGCTTTTGTTCTTTGATCTCGTTGTTTTTTTATTCTATTCATTTTTTTTTTTTACTTTTTACTGATTGCCTATGGTTTCGTTACTTCTAAAATGAACCCAACATTAGCCTTTTTATTTTCAGGCCATGCAACCTTTGAGTATCATTCTCTCACTTAAATTTCTTTCCTCCTCTAAAATTCAAAACACTTCAACATTATCCTCCTGTCTAGAAACGCTTCTTCTTTATTCCTTTGTTTTTACAAGTAACAATAATGTTTTTTTTTTCTTTCTTTCTTTGTTCTCTTTTTTCTTAAATCTTTATTTCTCTTTTAATCTTCTCTTCTTTCTCATAAGGTCTAACATGATGTTTGAATATACTCTTGAATTAGAAGCACTTTGTTTTATAGTTTAAATTTTGTTTATGATTCAATTATTAGAATTTTATCACTCTCCACCGGATACGAGTTTAATTGTTTAAACAAGTGTGAAGGATTATGATGAAACAAGTGAAAAAAACAAAAAACAAAGAATCACTCCATCATTTGCCACTAGACATGAGTTTAATTGCTGAAACAAATGTGAAGGGTTGTGATGAAGCAATATGAATAAGATGAATACATAATCAAAACAAATGAACAAAAAAAAAATAGATGAGTGTGTAGATCAAGGAAGGAGCAAGCCAAAAATTGAAAGAAAGTAAAGAGAAAGTGCAAAGATAGAAAACTTATGGGTTATGGAGGAGTCATGCCACTTGAAGAAGGTCTCTTCAAGATAAGTGGTGAAAAATCACCATTTGATTCCTAAAAATCAAGATAAGATTTAAACAACAAGAAATCACTAACACAAGTGTTTCTCTTTCAAACTCAAAGTTTCATCTATGACATAAGTGGTTTTACAAGAGAAGAGGTGGCTATTTATAGTCTTGTCATGACTGAAAATTCGAATCAAATAGAGTATTGAAATGAAATTAAAAGAGAGGGAAACTAAAATTCAAATTTGTATCTAATCTTGACTCTAACACATTATACCTTTGTGATTATTCATTTTTGGCTCCAAAATCATCTTGGCCATGTGATCAAAGAAGAGATGTGATCCATGCTTGGTTCACACCTTCCGTGCTTGATTCACACTCTCCTAGCTTTGCTTTAAGTTTTACCTTGGCCAAATTTTCCCTTAAATTGAGCTTGATTTCAATTCTAATTGTAGTCCACTTGTGTGTTTTTTCTTGGCCGATTTATGCTCTCCTTTGTTGGCCCAAATGAAGGTCCAAAATAAGTTCTAATTACAATAAGAAACCCTAGAATAAGGTCCAAAAAGATATATTTTTGTAAACAAGAGAATTTTGCCTTGTCATACTCCTTGTTACTCTTCTTGAAATTATATTCTCTTATTTATTTTCAGCTTCTCTATTCATGATCTTATCACCTTCTTCCCCTCTAACTTTTCTTTAATCCCAACTTCTTCAAAATTTGAAGCTATTTTTTGCACTTCTCATTCTCGCTTATATAATAAATTTTTGCCTGTGTCACTATCCACTATATGATATAGTGAATTTTAAGCTTTTTACGATTTTCTGTCATATAGACAACATTGGCAGAGATTAATTTGGGCACACGTCCCAATTACATTCAATTGTTGAAAACTAATTTGATAAAAAACAATTCTATTAAATTTTAAATTTAACAGGCCTTTTATGCTATGTACTAAATTATGTTTATCCCCCTCAAGAACTTCAAAAGTTCGCACTGAGGTCCTATGCACTTTTCTTTTATATGGTTTTATTCTGCTACAGTAAACTTCAGTTTTTTAATTTTTTTTTTTTATGCATTGTGCATTACTGACGAAGTCTTCATCTGGAGTTTAGATCTGCCAATCAACATAGCATCTAATATGGCTAAGTGCATCTTCTAGAGACTGGATCCATTTAAGGAACAACTATAGATAGATTATACTAACTTGGCTCCTCTAAAATGAGTAAGGGTAAACTGAGGATTTCAGTTGTTGATGAATAAATCAATGGTTGGTATGACAACAAATTCTTGAGTTAGATGCAATGCATGTATATGAAATGACAACTTTTGTTTTTGTTATGGACAACTGAGATTACCCATTTTGCTATCAAATATGAATTAGAGGAGCCTGATTTATCATATATTCATTTTGCTGTTAATCATTCCTTAACATTATTGGATGAAATTAATGAACATACTAAGGTTTGAATGGACTTTCTGTTTTTCATCTAGTTGAATGAATTTTTACATATAGTTTCATTTTTGTGGTTGTGATCTCCTTGTCTTTCCTTTTTTTGGCTTACTAGCTATCTTTTGATGATTTTAATTTCAAGTTTTGAATACTTTCATTCACTGATGCTCTCCTTAATAATTTCTTAATAGGGATGCAATTAATTTCTTTTGTAATAATTGGTTTGCATCATACAAGATGAGCAGATCTAATCGTTCAAAGGATAGGCATGCAAAAAGTAATTGGCTTTTTGGGGATAATCGTGATGAAGGGAGTGCAGCCCGTACAAGGCCATTTAGTTTTGAAGAGATTATGCTTAGAAGAAGAAACAAAGAACTGCTTGAAAATGTTAAAAACCCTGCATTAGGATGTTCGTTGGAGAAAATTGATGATCATTTTGAGTCTGCCAGGATCTATGAACATGACAAAAGCTCATCCTTTGGCAGGGAGAAGCATGCTTCTAAGGATTTAGTGAAAGCAAGATCTAGAAAGAAGGTTGAAAGCACCTATGTAAAGGAAGATGATTTAATTGAAGGGAAAGGTAGGGAAAACCATAGCTTGGACACCAAATCAAGTTCTGGATTAAATAATAGAGGCAGCATAACCAAAGAAAAGAATGAGAAAGAGATGTTTGGTCACAGAAAAAATGAGCGAATTCATGGTAGTTCTGAGTATGAAGTTGGAAATAAGCATTCAAGAGATAGGGATAGTTATGTGGAAGCAAATAGACCAAAATCTGAAAGGAAAATAAAGAAAAGGAATCATGTTGGAGAGGATGAGAATCTTAACGAGTATGTTATTGAAAAGAGGCATGGCAATGATAGAGATAATAGATGGAAATTGAAAAGGCGGTTAAGCAATAACTCTGAAGAAGTACCTGAGAAGAAGCATTATAGAGAATCAGACAAGGATAAACATGCAGGGGTGAGGGCAAAATATGAAAGGGAAACGAAGAAAAAATACCGAAATGGAGATGCTGAAACTCAAGACAGGGATACACCAAGGAAACAAGATGCTGTCAAACATCATAACATGCACAGTTATGAGAGGAAGGAAAGGCGGGATAAGGTGAAGTCACATTATGAAGAATTAACAGCAAAAAGGAGACGTTCAAAAAGCCTAGAGCATGAGGAGAGAAGATCCCCTTCTTTTTCACCAAGGGAACAAAAACGTTCTTATCAAGATGGAGAGCATAAAGCGTTGTCTATGCATTCCTTGAAAGATAGTTCTAGAAAAAAGCACACTGATATTGATAAAAATAGAGTATCAACTAATGGTTCAAGTGGTCACCATCATCGACATGGTGGCTCTACTAGTGGACTTGGTGGTTATTCTCCGAGGAAGAGGAAAAGTGAAGCTGCCGTTAAGACTCCTTCCCCATCTAAGCACTCTCTTGAGAAGAAACGTGCTGGATGGGATCTTCCCCCTGTTGGGACAAATAGTTCTTCTCCTGCTGTTGTTTCTTCAAGTTTTCTATTATCAAATTGTGCCGTGTTGTCCAACATGCATGATGTGGTTTCAACTAGTTCTCTTGATCTAGCCCTCGCGAAGCACCGGCCAGTGTCTTTTCTAGGTGATGTATCAATAGGGAAGAATTCAAACATTGATTCTGTCCAATTGACACAAGCTACCCGGCCTATTAGAAGGCTTTATCTTGAAAATCTACCTGCTTCTGCCTCTGAGAAAGCTGTGATGGATTGTTTCAATAACCTCTTACTCTCTGGTCGTGTAAATCATATCCAGCAAGCTCAACCATGCATCAGCTGTGTTGTGAGTTTGTAGTGCAAAATTTGAAAGTTTAGTTTTCCCTTTTGTTATGAAGCAATTGGTTTGAATTTGTTCTTGTATATATTTGCTGCAGTTGCATAAAGATAAGGGGCAAGCTCTTGTAGAATTCCTTACAGCTGAGGATGCATCAGCTGCTCTTTCTTTTGATGGCAGTACACTATTTGGCTCTACTGTGAAAATTAGACGCCCCAAAGACTATGTTGAAGTTGCAGTAAGAATGAAAACCTTCTCTATCCATTCAATCTTTCATTTGTATCATATAACAACAACTGTTAATATAATAGCTGTTTAAGTGTTTCATGTTTTTCTCTTGGATTCAATTTTTTATTTTGCTTCATTATAGATTATAGATATTACATTTCAATATTTCCTCTACCAAAATGTTTTTAATTTACTAAAATTTTATGCAACCATTTATAGATAACTGTTGGGTGAAACTGTGGAAGTTGTTCTACCACTTATTATGCATACTGTCCCTGCTTTTAATTTGACTTTCCTTTGATTTTGGTTTGCTTATTGATTCTGTGATGATAGTGATGTTTCAAGTTGAAAAGATTCTATTTATTATGCCTGTGCATTTTTCAATACTTTCATTTATATCTGTTGAATTTTACGGCATGATCAATTTTCAATGTTTTTGTTATAAAAACTGGACAATTTATCCTTTAATGAATGAAGCTGTGGAGTTTTCTGAATAGCTTATGATTATATTTTATATTTAAGAAGCTATTGCCAAAAAAGGGAACTCTTTGCCTAATTTCTATTTTAATGTTACATTAATTTGACTTGCTTTTATAGACACCTGGTAGGCTGGTAGTTTGTCTGTAAGATGATGTCAAATAAATAAATGCTTTATGGTTCCTATTGTATGTGTATTTAAATGAAATATAAGTATTTGTTTAAGTTTTCTGAAACTTTATGGTAATCACTTTTGTAAATTTCCAATAGTTACCAAACTGAATGTTACACTCAATGAACCTCAAGAGGACCCAGATATGCAGCATGAATTTCGTGCAAAGGTTCTACCTTTCTATTTCGAAGTATGAAAAGTCCACTGTAGAAATTGAAATTAATAGGACCTGATTCTTACTTTTATGAGAAACAATAGGGAAAATTGACTTGGTTATACCAAAGAAATAAAATATAGAAGCACATACTGATTTTGGAGGGTCTGGCTACCTCCCTACCAAAACTAGTACAAAATTTCTTGCCCAACTGCCCCTATTTTTGCTCTCTCATTTATCTCATCCCTCCAAGCCAAATTCCCTCTGCTCTCCATTTGTCACTGCTAGATAGGCATCCTGTTATGCTTCAATTGAATATCCACTATTCTGTCCTCCTTTCCTCATATGTGCTGGTTCTCTACTTCCCATCCTTTATGAACTGTTTCATATGTCCTATTACTGGAGGGTCTATCACTATTGTGTTATAGCTGGTCTTGATGATTGAATCATTGGATTGTACGATGTCATACTGACAGAGACCTATGCAGGCTTAGAATTTGATTTTCATCATTGGTTACCAAAAAGTAATTTAAAGGACTCAGATTAATGGTTTGGTTTTCTTAGATAAGGATTTAATTTTGTGATTTGAAATGATGTAAAATTTTCTTGTTTAAAAAGTTCAAGATGTAGCTCTTTTATAAAGATTATGTGTTATGTGTGTCTATGCAATAGATCTTTTCAACATTCAACTTCAAATCAATTCCTAGGTAACATTATTTTTATTGCTACTAACCGTCCTATCATAACTGAAATGTAGAGATGATTCAAGTTATTGTGCATCTGCCAAGGCTGTATCCCCTCATTTAATGTGCACAAAGTTATCATGAACTTTTCAATGTTTGTAGTTGCAACGTTATTCTTGTTTCTCTTCACACAGAAACAGATACCTGGGCTGGACATCATTGCATCTTATTGTTTATGTGCTCTAACTTTAAGTTGAACATTTTGTATGAGTATCTAAAAGTAATGAGTCGATTATTTTAGTGTATGTTGTCTGAAGTTTCAATGATGGAAAGTGCAACTAGTTGAGTTATGACTTTAAGTTATTTCTATTTAATATATCTTAAAATGTGTACCCAAATAGTTTTGCCTTTCAGCTATGTGGTTTTGCTTGTGACTTGGATATGATGATCTTTTAAGATACTTTAAAACATGAGAATTTTCTGTTTTAGTTTATTTATCCTGGAAAATATATCAAATTGACTTGCCTTTCTAAATCTGAGTTTTTTGTTTAATTCTTTATTTGAGATAAGTCATTGTTCTATATTTTCCATCTCAAGCTATATTGTTTTTGGAAGTAATGTTTTTCTTAAATACAGCTATTAGGAAAAATAGTAAGGGGAAAATTAATTCTGGTTGAAGAAACTTAGAAACTAAAATAGTACATCTACTACGCAATCTATCTCTATGCTAGAAGGATCAGTTTCTTTGGAGTAGTTGTGTGCTGAACACCAAAGATACCTAATCCAATTCCAAGGCAAGTTTTGGGTAAAAGAAATTCTCAGTAATTTGAGAATTCTAGTTCAACCAACCATAGGCTCCAAAAAGACTGCATAAACAGTTCCCTGCCACAAAATATTGACCACCAAATTTTGCTAATTTTTGTAACAGACCAAAAAGGTGCTCAAAGGTTTAAGGACACACCCAGTGCTTGCCAAGAATTCAAAGAATATTATTTTGATTAGAGGTGGTTGCTTTGCAAAACAATCTCTGCAGGAACCCTAAACCTTAAACTTATTTTTGAATTTACAACCATTTATTAGTGTCAATCATGTTAAGTACAAATGTGCTGGATATAGAATTACAGACAATTGAAGCTATTGTAACTGGCCTATGTATAATTAAGTAACTTTTGGAAACTGAACTTTTTTAAATATTTGTTCAGCTCTGGAGGTATTTTAAAATAAACCTTTGTTTCATGCTTATGTTTTATTAAAATAAAAATTTCATGTCATGTAGAAAATGTTGCCTGCACCATAAATTACTTTGTGATAATTTTTGTGACCTAATTGGAAAATATTGTGCTGTTGAAGTATTATTTGTCACGATGCACTTTCAGTTGAAGGATAACTGTAATTCCTGTGCATATTTATCCCGCCTGATTCTTTTTCACTGACATACATATAAACCCGAAGATGGGTGATATTCCATTGGTTGCAAATAAATTCTTTTGTGTGTGAACTTATGTTTGAAGAATATCAAGAGTACTGGACTCTAATTTTTTTTATCATGTTTAAAAAAACATGATCAAAGAAAATTATAATCAAACGGAAAAAAAGTTCCTGTTTAATTTTGTTATCACAGAAGAATCTTGTGTCAGTAAGTCTTAACTTTTAGAGGCTGTCTTGCCCTCAGCCTTGAAGGCTTAAATCTCAACTTTGCCTAAGACACAATTCCAATCCTCTGGGTAATACTGGTGAGGGTGTTCTTTATAAACCTAGAATTTTGTTTCATGACATATTTAGTGATAGGCTTCTTGGACATTTGGACAATAATTTCATATTGTTCATAACCAAATGCTAGAAACTGCTTTTGTAGCTTCAAGAGCTTTATAATTCACATGGAGTGATCTGCTTGTTCCATTTTATGAGATATTTTCTGACCCTAGTATTGGAATCTTTTAAATAGGATGTTTATATGGGGTATTTCGTAATACACATTCTGGATGGTGATGAAGCTGACTCCTAATTAAGAAGACTTCCAGGTGTATTGACAAGTTTGATGCGTTACCAGGATTTAGCTGGCCAATGTTTCAGGGTTATTGTTCTAGGCTGCTCTGACAATGCTATTTATGATCTCATGCTTTGTTTGTTATATCGAGTTCAGCATGTAAGTGCTATGGGTTGCAAGTTATTTCTGAGTTTCTTATGTCACTCTTCGGTTCCAGTGCCTGCTTTGTTCTTTTCCTTGGGATCCTGATTTATCTTCATATTCAATATCCCTAGGCTTGAAAATTTGGGTTATGTTGCTTTCTATAAACATGTCATCCTTGATTGATTTTAGATGGGGTGCATTTACCTTAAAAGGGCAAGATGTATTAACCATTCTTTACTCGGTATCTTCTCCCTTTTCACATAATATTTTATGTGCTTTGATTTTTATCACTTGAAACAGCAAAGACATTGCTTAAAGAAGAAACTTGCTTAATTTGGAGTATGTCTACTTATTAATCTAACGGTTCTTTTCTAGTGATTCTTTTCTCACTTTAGTCACATTTATGTTGTGAACTTATTACTTAAGCTTAAAGGAATGAAGAATGTATAAACTTTTAAGCACGCCTCTAGCATTCCATCCTTACATGGGATCCTTTGAGAGGTTGAATATACTTGTGTAACTTTATTGCTGAAGAGTGATTTGCTTTGATAGTAATTCTGTTCATTTTGTTTATGATTCTAAGATCATTTGATTTTACAGCAAATCAAGTATGCTGTCTTGCAGGGAGTTTCCACATACCACATAAATGCATGGGAAAAAAAATGATACTTTTTTGGTTCTGTTAGATGGAAGCCTCAATTTTGTCTTAATTTCTTTTTTATAGATGACCCTTTGATACTGTGAAGGTGGTCTTCGCATCTGAACTGCATCTGATACTGTAATATGATAGTATTTGTTGTGACTACATGGTATTGATGATCTGAATGTAGAAATACTGATTAATTGGTATTTCTTGAGGCATTATTTGTAAGGAAAAATCATCTTGAATTTTATTAAGCTTTATTACCTCGATCACCTGGAAAAACCAAAAAATATATCTTGTGCTTTGACAGTTTTGATATCTGGGTTCTTCTTATGAGGATTCTAACCTCTGAAAGTAGAAGCATTTATGTGTTAGATAGGATATTTATTGTATGTATACATGGAACAGCTTATCTAAAGCATAATATAAATTTAATGTATAATATTGTGGTTGCTTACCTGTCAGGTACTCATTTTAGTTAATTTGTCTCATTTCTGATATATGTAAAAAGTTATTGGCAGTATCTTGTATAGGTGGATGATCTTTTATGATTTTACATTTTTTGGTTGTGAATTACTTATTTTACTTGCATTCTTTATCTTAAGAGTACGGTTAGTGTGAACTGATGTTAATTGTTTTACTTCTATCACTCAAGATATTATTGCAAATTAATTCCTCTTTGTAAGCTTTACAATTCTAAGGTACATTGTGGTTATCATCCATGTAGCAGGTTTTCAGAAATTGCTATTTTCATGCAGACTGGTGAACCGGAGAGATCAGTGGATGCTACTGTCACAATAAGTGATGTTGTAATTGATTCACCTCACAAGGTATGCATGAAAAACAAAAATTTTACTTTCATATGTTTGAGTGTCAATCTGCATGCTTAGCATGCACCTATCTCTTATATGCATGGTTGAATTGCACAAACTCTTCACATTGCATGGCTTCATCATTTTGTGGCACCGTAGAAAGGTTATCAATTTTGAGAGTTCACTTTGACTTGTAAGAGGTCTTTAAATTTGACTTGTAAACGCAACTATTTAATGTGAAAGATAACATTAATTTAACAAAAAATATAAACATCATGATATCAATTTCACAATATTAAAATAAATAAGTTTATACAATACACCAACACAATATAAGTTCTTAAAGTGATAAGATAACAATTAAATAACTAAAAATCACTAATGTTATCTAATTTATATGTATTCATCTAATCCTCTAAAGAAATCATCTCCATGATCTTCTTCATCAACATCTTCATCACCATTATGAGAAGTGTACATCAACATTGACATCAAAATCTATGTTATCAAGCTCAAGTGGATCTAGAGTTGGATCATATGAACTTGCTTCTATTAAGTCAACATTTCCACCATCACGTTCCACTTGATCTTGCTCAACCTCAACATTACCCCCCTCTACAGTAATCCATTCATCATCAGACTCAATGACATCAAATGGGAGAGCAATAGTTTTCCCACTTTATTTTTCAGCTTTAAGTTTTATATCACAAAAACCAAATCATTCATCTTCTGGTGTAAACTGTTTTTTCTTCTTGTTCGAACCTGTAATTGAACAATCAATTTTAATAAATATATATACCAAAAAAAGAAAATAAAAAACCTTAAATAACTTGATAAACTTGAATTACTATTTCAAATGAGTTCCAATTATGCTCAAATCCACAAGGGCTCACATTGTCCCATCCATGTTTTTAATTTTTTTTACTCTGGTAGTATGTGATATGACTATCTTTGCTAATTATTAATTTTTATTGTGTTTGATTTCCTGTTTTTTTTTTTTAAGTTTATAGCTCAATTAATTGTTTGTCTAATAACTGTATCTTTTACGTTGTGGCAGATCTTCGTTGGTGGAATTTCAGACCATCTTTCTTCTGAGATGGTAATAATTAAGAAATGAAATGAGAAATCCCTCTTTTTATCAAAATTTAACTTTGCGACCTTTGTTTTTTGGAACTCCGTCTAGTAACTATATGTTCCTACTTTAGCTTTCATGACTACGGCTTATTTATTTCTTACATATTCTTCTCTAGCTTATGGAGATTGCTAGTGCGTTTGGATCTTTGAAGGCTTATCACTTCGAAAACAACCTCAGCAATGGATCACGTGCTTTTCTGGAGGTGATGCTTCATATCTTCCTAATTGATCTTTTAATAGTTTTCTTACCTTTGTATGATGGAAGTATTATAATCTGCACTTGCCTGCGTACGAGATGCGGACCTGAGCAAAGGCCAAGTGGTTCAAGGGTCCATTTGAAATACTTATCTTTTGGAAATTAGAATGATGAAATTGTGATTGGTATTTAGGTTTTTCATTTGTAATATTTTTTTTGTTCTCAATTTTTTCTATTTATATTTTCTAAAATGGTCTATCGGTTGTGTACTTTCATCAATGTATTTACAAAATCAGTCTCAACCTAAATGCGAAGAAAAGAAGAAATATTTTTTTCTCCTTCCAAGGTGGGATGTTGCCTTGGAGAAGAAACTTCTTCAAACATTGGGAAAGCCATTTTTATGAAGCTTCTTTTATTTCCCTTAAAGTGTCACTGTCATTTAAGATGAAGATTTGGGCAACCCTTTTCTGAGCTTATTGAACGGTCTTAAAAAACTCAAATCAATAATTGGAAATAGAAAATCTCCTTTATGAATTATTAGAAACCCTTTTATCATATTCCGATTTTAAAGGATCTTTAGTTTCTACTCCAAAACTAATAATGTGAAATGTTAAGAACCTTCATTTTATACTATTTTACTATAAAAATTGACTATAAAAAATCCCAAACTTTGCAAAAAATTTTTTATACACCCAAACTTTGCAAAATTTTTTATCGGATTTTTGACTACATCGAGACAATCAATGAAGAAAGAAGAAAAAATCTAGTACTAGATTTTGACACTGATTGTGAAATTTCATTGCTCTGTTAGAAGAAAGATAGTTATACTGATTCGGTATACTCAAAAAACACCGTTGGTACAAAATGGACGATCTAACAAGGATGACTTTTCAGTAAATTTTGACTTACTGATCTCGTCTTTTATGGAATCGATCCCCCCCTTTGACTGTACAATAATATGTGGAGTTCAAGATGTCTGGAAGCACAGGAGAACGTTCTTTTGCTGATATCAAAATTAATCTAATTACACTGCAGGCTTTGGGTTGGTTTATTATAATAGGTGCAACAATTTTATACGTACAGCTTCTTTCCCATATCCTGGAAAGAGTACTTACTGATAAAAAAAAAAAAAAAACTTATTGATCCATTCTGTTTAGGGATTTTGGCAGTATAAAAACCCATGTGGTGCATAGGGGTTTGACTGCATTAATGTGGGGTGTGCTATTGTGGGAAATGTGTGCTTAATTAACCTTCAATCAGAAAATCAAGCTCGTAGAGTTTAATAATAGCTTAGCACTTGTTCCTTTAAAGTGCATCCTCAGTTTAGAAGAGACAAATTCAAGGGCAAAATAAAACAACATGATGGGTTGGTTATCTGATTTAGTTTTTATGATTTTTGGTATATTATGGCTCTCTCTTATCTATAAGTTCATCCAAAAGCTGTTATTTTTTCTTCTTTAGTATCGTATTCAATTCTAAGATGAAAAAGAAATCTGAAAGCCAATATGTGTACTGTTATTTACTTTTTTTCTTTTTCCTGTTGTATATGTTTTATTAAACGCTGATTTGAGCAAACTGTGTCAGTATGTGGATCACTCTGTTTCCATCAAAGCTTGTGCTGGTATGAATGGTATGAAGCTGGGAGGGGAAGTACTTACAGTTGTTCAGGCAATGCCTGACGCATCACCTTCGGTAACTTCACCATCTATTGATCCTTATAGTCTTATTCTAATTCTTGGTTACGATTCCCTGGCTGCTTTAAATTATATCCATAATTTTTTTACGTATACAACTAAAACATTCCAGGGAAATGCTGGTGAACCATCTTATGAGATTCCAGAGCATGCAAAACCACTGCTTGGAAAGCCTACACAAGTACTAGAGATTAAAAATGTGGTATGAGATTTTTTATTTAGCATTTGACATTATTATATTTTTGTTCAATTTGAGTGGTTTTTTCCCTTCCTCTTTTTTCAAGTGTATCTATATTAGCTGTAGAAAAGAAAGTAATTGTGGTAAGAAGAAATTATGTTGAATGATGTGAATTTAATTTTTAATGCTTGTAGTGTTTAAACTAAAATTTCTCTATGTAATGTTTCTGTTGGGCCACCTATCAAGAAGGTCTATGTTAGAAGGAATGGAGGGGCTGAAAAGGATTTATACCAGGGAACAGTTGTTACTGTTGCCCACAGTTCTTACAGAATTGACGATTAGGCAGTTGAGAGAATAATCGTTGAATAGTGGGGAAACAAATAATACAGAAGATTGGGTAGGAGACGGAAGGCTCTTTAATTTCCCAGATTCATTGCAAATACTCTGTATAATAAAGTTCTTATTCATATTTGAATCTGAATAATCGTGATTCAGAGCCAAGTTGAGAGAGAATTCACTAAAACGATTCGTAATTCAGTCTATATTAGTTTCAAGCAAACTAGTTGCCGGTACTTAATCCACATTTTGATCCTGGTTGTTTTTCAAATGAAAGTGAGTTCTGGACTTTGTACAAATCTTTATTAGGCTCTCGCTCAACACTTCCTTTGGTCAAATATATGTTTCCCTTTTTAATTACATTGTTAGTTACTTCATGCATTTTTGATGATTACTTTTTGAATTCTGTTTGTGTAATATGAATAGTTTGCAGCGGAGTCTATTTTGTCTCTATCTGACGTGACAATTGAAGAAATTTTGGATGATGTACGATTAGAATGTGCAAGGTCATAAAATCAAGCTTGTATTTGCTTTTCCTCTGGAAGTATTCATATTTTGTAGTTTATAAATTATAAGCACTTATTGTACAACGTCCCTTTTATTTTGCAGATTTGGGACTATTAAATCAATTAATGTAGTCAAGCATAGGAGCGAAAAGAATTTAGCAACCAAATTAGAAGAATGTGAAGTCATAGATAAAGTGGAATCTAAAGTTTTTCAAGGCACCAACAGTATCACTAATAATACAGAATCTAGTTTTTCTGACAAGGGAACTGACCCCAAATCTGAAGCAACAAATGGGGTTGAATTTCATGAGGACAAAGAGTTGGAAGAATATAAAGTTGGTGATGCTATCAATGTTAATACTGATAAAAATGCTGAAGTTTTTCAGCATAAATCATGTCTAGAACACCTTGTGAGTGATACAGCTGTTGAAGATGTGGGCAATAAGAGCATACCTTGTGAAATGATTCAGGAATGTCCTATTCAACAGGATACATCCAATGACGTGCCAGAATTGCATGATAAAATGGTTGCTAAGGATATTGATAATAAGATTGTGGGGGACAACATGGATTCAAAAGGCACAGTTTCTGCATTTCCGGAAGGCTTTTCTGGACAGGATACTAGTTCAGAATTAGTTGGCCCCCAAAAGGGCATTGATACGAAAGATTGTCTTAATACTCATGTATTTGAACCAGGTTCTGTTCTTGTTGAGTATGGAAGAGCCGAAGCATGTTGTGCAGCAGCACACTCTTTGCATGGACGATTGTTTGATGGCAGAACGGTGATGGTGGAGTATGTTGCTCGGAGTCTATACAAAGCAAGATTTACAAAATGAGCATGTCTAAGTGAGCGGTAACTATGTTATATGATGAAACATAATTTTGTCTTTGCATGATTGTGGAGATAGGATCAATTTATGCCAGCCTGCTTTCTGCTGTCATATGTGGAAACAGTTTTTAACTATCAGATTTGACACTGCTGATGCTTAACTGAACAATTTCGATTTGAGGAAAATGCCGTTTAGTATACATCAAGTTTGTAGCTGCGGACTATCTGATGAAGATTTGTGTTTCAAATGAGACATGATGAAAGAGAGTATCATTTCGTACCAAATGTTTTAAATGTTGTTAGACTTGGAACTGGTGATGTCATGGTATTTGGCAATATTCTTGTACATGGTTATGCTGCTTTACAAACTGATTGTTGTATCGTAGTTATTCTAAAATGTTGGTCACAAGGCCATACCTTTTCCAGTATTGTTTTTGAATACATTAACCTTCCATTACCATAACATCATACGACCTTTTGTTGACTATTTACTTAACATTTATGTTACTTTAAATCTTGGATGATATCTCGCGACTCACGCAAGCTTACTGAGAGTTTGATGCACACTATTCTAGGTTAGAGAGACGTTTTACGAAGTTGATAAAAACGAATGATTATTTTTCTTAAATAAGTGGAATCAATCATTCTCAGCAGAGTTCTATTTCAATTGATTCTATCATCAGAGTGATCAATGACACATTGGATAAAAACAGCATCATAACCTGATGTTCACATTAATGATGCCTAATGTGTTACGTGTTCGTGATGTATTTTGTTACATGACTACAACTAAATGAAATTGTGGTTAAATCTCTAAATTTTCTAAAACATATTGTTACCAATTCATTTTAAATCGGACCTATTTGTTACCAATTATTACTACAATATAGTGTTTGGATGTTTATTGGCGTGCTTTATTCACTTAAGTATATAATTTCAGATAATTAAGATGGTTTTTCTTGGTATTGATAATGCTAAAAACTGATCCCCTGATTTTTAATTATCATTCATATGCCTTTATTTGAAAGCGGAAAATTATTCAAAGATAACAAAACTCCCTATTAAGCCAACTATATTAAATGCTGCAACACTAGTTGCTCCAAGATTTATCTAAAACTTCAAAACCCAATAGGTTAACATAGTGTTAGACAAGATGCCCTCACCAATTATTATAGTTAGGTTGGGATAGATTTTTACAATTTTTGTTATAATAAAATTGTTAAATATTATTTCTGAAATAAATAAAATATTTTTTTTAAATTATTAAATATTTATAATTAAAAAGTATCTTGTAATATTGTTTTTATGATCGTTATATTGACAATTTGAATTTTTCTCATATATTATGAATAAATTATGCAGTATTATGATTAAAAATTAATAATTTGTTATTGTATTTATTAATAAAAAAATATTTCAGTTTATTGGAAATCTGAAGTTGGAAAACTATGTATTCCAACTTTAATTTACCTTTTAAAATTTATTATTCTTAATAAATAACGTTTCGTCAAAATGATTTTTAATTAAATTTCGTACAAAACATTATCATAGAAGAGATGAAATCAAATTTCAAGAGTTAAAATCAAATAAAATGTTACTTTTATTAAATTATATAACTTGGTGGCGAATCATAAATTTCACTAAAATAAACCATTAATGTTAATTTTTTTAGAAAACTTTATATAAATATAATTTTTTTTGTTTTTTTATTGAAACTTAGTTTTAATCCTTATATTTTAAAATTAACAAAATAATCTTCAAACTTTTAAAAATATAAATTGTCATTTAATTAATTTTATAATAGTACAAAATATTATTAGTAGAAAAGATTATTAAAATCACATTTAATCATTTGAAAAATTATAATAAAGAGAAAAATCATAACTAAGTATTAAATTTAACTAAAAAAAACTAAAAATATATATTTTTAAAAATTACAAGATAAATTTATGAATTTAAAATTATAAAAAAAATATTTATGATAAAAAATATAAGCATAAAAAACATTCTTATTCCAATAAATATTTTAACAATATTTTTTACAAATGAAAAAAAAACTTAATTTCTTTTGTCATAATTATAAACCAACCCCAACTTGTCTAAAAATTGATACAATAAATTGATAATTTTAATCCTTCCAATTTATTTTTGATCCGAATCTGTTAATTCATAAACCAATACACTTTTAAATAATATTTATATATTAAAATAAGAATAAAAAAATTATAATTAAAAAAATTATATTTTATATTATATAGTTAAAGTATATAAATATAATAATTTTTTAAATTTACCTCCTACAAATATTAATTAGTAAAATAAAACTTAATTTATATAATTAAAGATATATTTAAAAAAAATTAATATAAAAACATATATTAACGGCCTAACCTATTATCGTATCAACTCATGAGGGAGACTAAAATCTGAACCTCTTGACTATGAAGAACAAGTTTACCCTGTCATTCTAACTAACTAGATGTATAATTCTTAAGTGTGAAAACATTTATTTAGTACTAATGATCCGTTATGGTCATTGTGCAATGACAATAACAAAAAGAGATAACACTGAATAACAGATCATGAGGGTAAAATCATTATTTTAACCCCAAAAATCAGGGTACAAAATGAATTATCATATGTATTTTTTTTTATCTCGGTCCACATAAATAAAAGGAGCAAGAAACAGTTTTATCTGTTTTATTTTCATATTTCTACCAGTAACTAAGACATGATGATGAAAATTTGAATTGTTATCTAATCATAAACCGCTACATACGTGACCGTTGATAATTATTTTAAAAACTATGTAAAGTAACTTGTTTAAAAATGAATATTAAAAAACACTTGAAAAAATATTTTTATTTCTAAAAATAATATACGTACAATATTGTCCACAGTGGCCAGTCTTGTACCAAAAATATACACGAAAAGAACAAGTCCAGAAGCAGAAGATTTTAGCTACGAGACAGAACCCCTTTCGAACTGCACATAGAAATGAAGGATACATGATAATATTCAAGGAAATTCACATTGTTTTCTTTTCAGATACACACTGTAAATATAAATGCAAACCATGCATGTTAACAAACAAAATTTATTGTTATATCATTTGCTGTTAAAAAAATGAGAACAAAATATGAATGATTTTTAAGTAATACAAGCAGCAAATAATCTTAGTCTAAAATACTTTTAATATCAGTGACAAATGGTAACTTAGTCTAAAATACTCTTATTTTAATATCTGCAGCTTTAATTATTAGTGCATTCCATTAAGAAAATATTGACAGCTACTACTTTTGAGTAGGAGTATATATACAGGAAAAAAAAAATTTAATGAGACTAAGAAAAAGATTGAGAGCAAAAGGAGTAGGATAAAATCACAAAATCAAAAGGTAGTTTCGAAGATAACATAAATACCTTGGTACCGTTCCTCGGCGACGTGGATCATACTCTGTTGCTTGTCGAAGAGCCCTAGCAAAAGCTTTAAAGGTTGCCTCAATAATATGATGGGAATTTTTTCCAGCAAGCTGTGCTCAGAGGAATGTATATATATATATATATATATATATATATATATATATATATATATATATATATATATATATATATATATATATATCATTCTGTTACAAGGTTTTCAAATATGGAATAAAAAAATTAACTAGAAAAAGGCATAAGTCCCAAGTTAGATTATGCAGTCAATTTGTCATTGCATATAGAAACAATATCTCAATTTTCTAACCCAACAAAGAGCCCTGTAGAACATCTATAACATTCACTATATTCCTTTCATAATGATATATGTACACATATTTGCTAATTAATGACTATAGCCTATGTCCTGTTATGTATTAATACCTGCCGAATGTGAAGTGTCATACCAGACGTATTCACCAAGGATTGGAAGAAATGCTCCACCAACTATAAAATACCCAGTGGATTCATTAGTAAATAAATAATAAGAATAAGGGGGGAAAGACGAAAGGAACAAGAAGCATGATGACTGATTCATATAAAAAAGATTGGGTAACATCAAAAGTTCAATAATAAAATTCTACACTTCAATGAAGATATTTAACAGGTACACACTACCTGAGTATCGTATGTTCCAACTCTCTGAGTGGGTATGTCCAAATTATAACCTAGATATGGTCGGCCAGACAAATCCTGGAAAAGTGCACAAGGAACAGATGATGGGAGTAGAGAGGAAATAAGAGAATTTTTATTGGTTGACTAAAAAATGAACGGAAAGACAAAGATCATGCTAAAAAAATTGGACTACAATTTCTTCTTTGACTCCAATTTAAGCTAAACTGCTGTCCTTCCAACCACTCTAACTAACAACTTATGTGATGCTCTACTATCACTAACTAGTGACTAACTGTTTGACATCAGGGAATCTGCAGCAAAGGAAGAAAGATATCCTAAAGTAATTAAGTAAACAACTTTATTTATAGTGGAAAAGTTGGCTTACAAAAGTGATTAGATTGTACACTAGAACTTCCCAATTTCAATTCAGAAGCATTATGTACTAGCCTTTCTAAAGCTGATTAATCATGGATGAGCCTCAACACTAGCTCAATAGTGTGATGCCTCTTCGTCCAGAAAGTAACCAAACTTTTAAACCCAGAGTTTGGACGATGAATTCTAAAAAGATAATTTATTGTTGTTTTGACAATTTAACTTGTTTTTTGTTGTTGTGGTAAACTAAGTTTGGATAGGAAATTTGGAAAAATAATAAAATTCTAAAAATTTATGAGAAAATTTTTATTACTTGGAGAAAATTTAAATCAAAGCAATTCCTCATCAAACAACCCTAAGAGTAATTTGAATTTCTTTATGCATATTATTTATATGACTCCATACAATTACGAAGGTTACATATACAAAAGGTCCAAACATTTTTTGACGAGTGTTTATCCATTTACCATGTTTGGACAGATCACACTTTCCCGCAACACAAATCTTCACATTATCTAATAATTGATGACTATTTCTACGAACAGTATCCAAATTACCAGTGAAACATGTATCAGTGCTTCATCAAGTGGAGCAGAGAAGTTACCAAACCGGTTAATACCCTTCCTATCACCAAGAGCGTGCAGCAAAGCCTGAAGACGCAGTAATGGAAACTCTTAGTTTTAACATGATAGATAAATGCAATTTAAAAAAAAAATAATAATAATAAAGACAAGTGTACTTACAAATCCCTGTCGCTATAAGATTACAATTGCTATTATAATTGTTAAAATCATCAGCAATTACTTAGATGTCATTGTGCATAGAAAGGAAAAGATGAAATATAATTATATGAAGATATAACTCGCACAAAAATCTTTAATGCAGGATAGTGAACCATGTTTTAGTTTCAACGAAATAAAAGAAAGTTTGCATACTGTTCCGATAGCAAGGGCAACATCTTCATTTGTATGATGATCATCAATATGTATGTCACCTGTGGCCTTTACGTGTACATCAAACAGCCCGTGTGAAGCAAGTTGCTGAAAAATCACAACCAGGTTTAGTTTCCACAATTATTACCTCCATGGAATAATTTCAACATCCTTAGTAGCCTTTAATGTTTAGTTTTCAAGATACAAGATCAGATTCTAACTATGCAAGTCTTTCCAAGGAGATACATTCATTTCTAGGCAAGTTCAAAGTTCATCTCAGATATCTCTTTCATTCCACATTGACATGCTCATTATTCTATTACAGCGATAAATTCTATAGAACAATATGCATTTTATTTGGGATGTCTTTGACTAAACTAATATCAAGAGTACAGAAGATTAGTCACTGAATAATTCTTTAATTTTTTAGCTCCGACAACATTTATTTTCTGAGCCATACATGAATATATACATGTATATGAACAATGATTGAAATCTAATAGCACATTTTTAGGCAGATAGCAACAATGGGGTATAAAAAGCTAATGAAGAAAAAAAAAACATTAGGCACCACCAACACAAAGGAACCAAAATTGAGTAGAAATTACTAACATCAAGCATGTGATCAAGGAAGGGAATTCCAGTACTACTATCAGCCACCCCAGAACCATCCAAGTTTATTTTGACTGATACATTGGTCTCCTTGGTGACCCTTTTAACCTCTCCAACTCTAGCATCTGAAAATGATCGAAAAAACATTCAAACGCAATGGAAAATCTCAGAAAGTGAAGAATAGATATTGAGATTTATATTGACCTGAGTCAATCGGCAAAGTCGTCGTAGCTGAAGCATTGTCTCCAACCAAGGCAGCGGAAGAGACGTTTCTGGTAAGATCGATTGGAGTGAGAATACGTTGATTGGGTGAAAAGATTGAAGCTTGGAAAGGAAGGCGAGCGGGGATGGGTGTTGCGTGGAAAACCCTAACCCTAGATTTGAGAAGTAGGGATGAAGGAGAAGTTGGAAGAGAGGGAGGTGCAGATAGCTCCATTGAGAGTGTAGCAACAATGGCGGCAACACGACGAGGATGGTCTCACAGGGCGATTTTGGTCCACAAAAATCCAGTGTCAATGAAATGCACGCTAATTTTGGGCTTACCCAACACATGTTATGGTCCATTTCGAAACTATGATCATGGGAACTTTATTTTTCTACCATTAAATCATTTGAATTTTAAATAAAAATTCACACATATTTACATTTTTTTTTTCTTTTTCCTTTTCCCTTCTCCTGTGTCTCATATACCCTGCTCATTTTCTCTTCTCTCTCCTCGAGACCTTCATCTTTAAATTAACTTCTCAAAAAAAATATAAAAAATAATAAATTAATTTATACATAAATTAATCTTAAAATTTCTTGTATGATTTCATAAATAAAATTACGTACGTCCAAACTAATTTTATCCAATAATTTCTCTTACGAAAAAATTTGTATAAATATGTCCGAGATATACAGATGTGGTTGATGAAAATTTCCAACCATTTGGGGTAACTTACAAACATTTGCCGCAGCCAAAAATATAATAAATAATTCTCATAAACTTGAAAAAAAAAATCTAAAAATTAATACTTTTCTCTTTTTTCTTAACTAAACATGTTAAGAGTGAATTTTATTTTAATAAAGAAAAAAATGTAACTTGTTCTATACTATCCCTTAAATGTCATGTCATCAATAACTCTATACTTCGATTATTGAACCTACAAAACAATTTCTCTCCAAACTCACCCATTGGTTTCACACCAACATTTTTCCTCCTTAACTTTATTAGAGCCTTTTCCATTTCTGCTAACAAACATCGCAGTATCCAGGATTGCACATTTTACCACAGGAACATAATAAAGACAGACAAAATAAATATTATTATGTTTGTTTCACCTACTCAACCATGCACAATGCAAACTTCTCCATTTTATCAAGTGTCTGACAATTAAAATCTACGGTGTGTCATGAAATCTTCTAAGCCACAAACCATAGGATAATTAATTACATGCTTCTTATTTTTAAATCTTAAAACTTTTTTCTATTCCATGGCAGCACAAAATAGCGTTGACCGAATACAACTTCTGGTTGTTACATATCACAGGTAAGACATGTGCAGTTACACTTGTATTGAAGATTTTGAGGTTCGTCTTCCCGTCAAGATACTCATTGTTTCTCCAATGGCCTTGTTCTTGAAACCATATGCTCAGATTTCTGTTCACATTGAACAAATGTTTTGAACTACACAAGCTGAACAGAAGAATATTTGAAAACAATATTATTAAGAAACTATTTATCTAATTTTATTAATTTTGACAAACTTATACAGTAGATCATGGCAATAAGAATGTTTGTGTGGATATTTATGTTTTACACTATATATTAATCATTGAAGAGTGTGAATCTTAACTGCAATCTGATACAAAATTGTAACTAAAACATAGTATGAAAGGACTTTTCAAGGCAAATTCAAAGAAAAAGTATACATAATTAATGTAATTGCTGGAGTAAGATTTGTTGGTAAAGAAATAATGTCACCATATTCATTTTGCTTTTATAATGACTAGTTTTGGACCAGTGCAATGCTTATTTTCAAAAGTTATCATATAATAGGATTATATAATAATACAATAAAAAAAAATTAAAAACTGTCAAAAAAATTATCTACTTAATCAATATTACTGCAAAATTGCACCAATTTTTTTCAGTTTCTGTTGGCTTTTGTTTGCCTTTTTTTATCAGCAAATTTTAATGGTTATTACATTAGTTTTTTTTTTTTTTTTTTTTTTTGTAAATGGAGAAATTCAAACCCACAACTTAACTCATCTTCCCATTCACTTTTACCACCATGCCAACCTTATACCTCCCTTACTGTCATCAAGTAATAGCATGTTTTTCCTAGTCATTTTTCCATTTCCATTCCTTCTGTTGATTATTGTCTCTTCAACAAAAGCTCACAGAAAAAAGGAATAAGAAGCAACTGACCTGTTCCGAATGAGGCAAATATTTCCCATCAAATGTCACTACCACACGGTCCTTCCCATCTACTCCTTTAATTTTGTCAACTGAGCAGTAGAAATCTATTGCTGACATGCTAAATGAAATGAACAAAAAAATTGTGAGGCAGAAAATCTTCTACTTTAACATTCATGGCAGAAATATTTATTCATTTAATTATGCAGTTTGCTGGGGTATGGCATGTTTAATAACCTCTAACATCAAACTCACAATCTTCCAAGAATATATTATCAAGATCAATTTTATCAGAAGCATAATATGTTAACTTAGATAGGCATAAAATGCACCTATTGGTTTACAGAGAAAGTCAAGTTCATTAAGGTGATCCTGTTCCATAATGGACAACTATAAGCCCATTGGTTTCACACTAAATTTAGTCAAATGCATCTTCTCTTCTACCAACTAAACATGTTATATTTAGCTATCTTCTTCATTTGAGATTGAAATCTAAATGAGGTGATATCACGATTCAGGACTGGTTTATTCATAAATTCACGTGATATCAATTACGTTGTGAAATTTTCACATGCTCAATTTATACATGAATCTCACTAATGAGATTTTCAGTCCACAGACTGTACTGGCACACCAAATATTCCTTACATTATGTAAGATAACCAGAAAGAGCACATTGGCTAATCAGCCAGTAGCTCAAACTGAGCCAAAAGAATAGGTGAAATTAATTTCCAACATTACTTATCAGTGGAAGCTTATTGTAGCATTCCTATGCAAACATTGTATTCCAATAGCACAATGACGTTGCATAACATACTCGGTAGTATAATGGATCTGATTGTGATAAGCACCACAACCATTGTAAATGGCTATATTGAAAGCAAAAGATCCTTCCCAGTCTAGGCATCCAACATACCAGTTAATACTATAATGCAGACAAGATTTCTAAGCAGGGTGAGTAGAGGAAAAACTCAACAAAACTCTGCCATGCTGAGAACATTAAGCTCCCACCTCAATTATAGACAAAGGCACTGCATTCTAGAATTAACGTCCACAAATCACACTGACTTTTGAATCTCTTTAAACATGAAACATCACTATCCACTAGCCATCCCAACCTTTTAAATGTTTTAAAAACATTCCTATTCTTTATCTTCGACTTTGTATTTTCGGCAGTCAAAAAGGCTACAACTTACCTATCATCTTGCCTACAGGTTGCAGTGCATCTGAGGCTCCTCCATTTCTGATTACACATTTTAATCAATTATAAGACATTCTCAACTTTCCTTGCAATAGTATTTGTGTTCCTTCCTCTATAATTTGAGACAGAAAACACAATATGCTAAAAGCAGGGTGTTTGTTAAGGATTCTGCAAGACCTTGACAAATCTTTGACATTAGTTCCCTCATTCAAAAATCAATCACAAAGATCTAGCAAGCATTAAATGAAACTTTCAGAAAATTAGGATGTCTTTGGGTGTCTTGTCTGAAATCCTCCTAGAACACCATAAATTAACACCCTTTGACATCAAATCACTTTTTATCACGACACTTGGCTCTAGGTTTCTGAGTTTTATTATACAGGTTAAAATGTCATTCATTTATCGAGATTAAGACTTAGATTATTGCTATATAATTTCTTCTTCAGACATATTTTTCCCCTTACTTTGCTGGAGTAGAAACAGCAAATACGAGGCCTTTTGGAAATTATTAAATGAAGAAAAAAATTATGCCACATATATTCACTGATCTTATATGCATAATCCCAAAAGTCTAGACACCCTAGCCTACTGAATCCTAAGAACAATTTTTCAGGTTTTGAAGTACTATATCTTTCAATTATTGGTGGTTAAAATTGTTGGAATCATGATTGTAAATGGGAAAACATGATCATAGGTCTATCTAATGTACTATCAATTGAAGATTCTCTCTAAGCAACAAAAAGAACAAAAAAGATGTGAATAAACCAACCAATAAGAAAATAAAACAAGGTTTAAACAGCAAGAGTTTATATTTAATGGAGATGAAGAAATTTATTTGAACTGGGACCAAGCATCAACACAAAAATGTAATCATTTCCTTAAACCAATATACCTTTGTTACTCAACAATGAGCTTTAAAGCAGAACGATCAAGAAAACATGACACAATCAACAGCATCATCAACTTAAGTGATGTAAAGTGAAACACCAAACAAATCCATCTTCAGAATGTGGCAGAAATTTATCATTATTTAGTTGAAACTTACATTCCATCACCAAACTCCTCATTGATTATCTCTTTGATGCTCTCCCCAAAGTGCATAACAGCTTCATTCAACCTAAATAGAAGATCAACATAACCCAACAAATTAGGTATATACAGAAGGCTGTTGATATAATACACTATACATAACATGTTCTCAGCATTAGAATCCTCGAAACACATTACAACAGAACTACTATGTACATTCATGTCAATCACTTTGGCACTATATACATTCAACATGCTTACTTCAAGACATCCATGACAGTAAAGAGTGAAATATGACATCTCTCACTGACAAATTCAAATCTAAATAATAATTCATCATAATGTCTTGTTAACAGGACCACCTCCCACACCCATTTGGCCATTTCAAAACGAGACAATAGATGCATGTTTACTTCACAACAGCTTGATCATCAACACACGTACATATGATATGAAGGTCAAAACTTACAATTTTCCATCTAAAAATATTTTTTTTTACTGTCTTTATACTAGCTGAATTCATATAAATTAAACTGTAGCATGCACCTCTAACACACCATCACCGGTATAAAAGATTTTCCACTATCATTCAATCAATCATGTCTATCCAAGCCTTAATTACATTATTTAGTCCGTCAAATTTCGTAATCATGGGGTTTTAATCACCAGGTTCTAATTGCACCATTTGGGTCCTTCGAGTTTTATGTCATTTACAATCAATAACCTTAAGTCTATCCAATATTTAAATATTTGGTAGGACCCAATTGGCGCAATTGGAATATGAAGAACCAAAATTGCATAATGGCGATAACCATGGACTTAAAATGCAATTAAGCCTAAAAAGTAAGTAATCAATGAATTAGGTCATGATTATGCTCCAAATAACCCATTTCACCTCAGACAACAGATACACTATTCCACCACAATTTAAAGTAAAAATCCAACCTTTACACCGAGAATAGCCGCAAAGAATTAACGAAGCATACCTATAGACAGTGGGGTCTTGGATGAGATTAGGGTCATAAGACCTCAAAGGGGGTCTCATCATCTCACGCACAAGGTCTTGGGGCAGGTCGGGCAGCGCAGCCAGCAGGAGGGGGGCAGTGTCGGGTTTGAGCTGAGCCTGTCTTCGGAGAAGCTGAGCAACATAGACGTTGGTGAGTCCCGTCTCCTCCGCCAACTGATTGTAGGACTTCCCACTCTTGTCCTTCACAGCTTGCAGCCTTGTCACTGTGCTTTCTTTCTTCTGCTCCATCTCGCTCTCACCCTGCTCTTCAGATTCATTTAGATGCTTTCTTCCTCTTATCATATCTCATATATAAAATAATAATATACAATTCTAATTTATATCTGTTTATTTTATTATTGAGAATTACAAATTTATTTTCCATTCTCTCATTTTTAATATAATAATTCATCATAATTATTATATAAAAAAAATTACGCTGAAATCTTATTCTTTAAATAAGTTTATATTTTATATAATATATATATATATATATATATATATATATATAAATTACTTCCTTCAATATTAGAAATATATTTTATTATTATCTTTTCCTTTTTAAACTTTGTCTCCCTAATATTAATTTTGTTAAAAATAATCAATTTAGTTTATTTGATAAATTTGTTAAATTATCTGAAAGTATAATATAATATTTACTAAAATTTCCCTCATTTATTTATGGTATAAGATATATTTTGATGATGTAATTTACCTTTTTAATATATATATATATATATATATATATATATATATATATAATAAATGTTACATCATCTTCACGTCAATATTAATAAACAAATATAATTGTATCATATTACGGGATAGTTTTTAATATATAACTCAATAGACTACATTAATTTAAAAATAAATCAAATTGATAGTAGATAAAATTGAAACAAAAATATTAATAGAAAAAAATTATTTAACCTATTTTTTTTATCTCTACAGAAATAAAAATATGAAAGAACGCTATTAATTAAATTAAATAGTTATGTGAGTGAGGAAAAAATAAATAAAAAGAAAATAGATATTCAAAAATTTTATTTTTTAAATGCTTTATATTTAAAATAAAAAGTTAGAATAAGGGAGAGTATTTATAATGTTGATTATTATATTAAATTACGTTTTTGTTATTTTTCTTTCAAGAAATAAATATGGAATAATTGTAGTTGTTTTGTATAATACAATTTTCTTCGGCAAATTAAGCATATTAATAATATGATATAGTTTTTTTAAAATAGTTAAAGAATTTTAGTTCATTTAAAATAATACGCTTTAGATCTTAATATATTTTACATGTATTGAAAAAAAATGATGGAATGAAAAAGATGAGGATTCAACTTATTGGTTATGAAATGTCTATGTTCGACCAGAAATTAAGGCACGTTGACATTTCTTCTTAGCTTCAACGACATCACCGAAACTTTATTAAGAAATAAATAGAGATAATATTATCTTTTAATTTCATCATAGTTTCAATTTCAGATTTATATGTTGTGATAATTTATTTAACTTGAAGTATTTCTAAAATTAATCATTGACCTTCGTCTCAGGAATATGAAGTTCATAGTCATAATTCATAGACAAAAAAGTCAACCTCAAGCTTCTTTTTTCTTTTTTAATGAAAGTCAAACTTAACCCTACCAAAGTGAGCGAAGTAAAAAGGTTAAAGTTTGAGTCGACAAAAAGAAGTTTTTATTTATTTTTTTTCTTCCACTTTCTCTTAAGAAAAAAAAAACATTCTTATTACACATTGTAAATATCGAATTTTGGTTTTCATTTTGAAAAGCAACGTTGTAAGTAGTTTAACTGGAAAAACAGGTCACAGATGACATAAGTGCAGTGTTTTGATGAAGAAAAGACATGCAACTGCACTTGGTACTCTCAACCAACTATTGCCTCCAAAAGTCAATATCAACTTTTTGCAACACTTCACGTAAATTGATTGTATTCACTTTTGTGTTATAGGTACGATGAGTTAGAGGCTAGGCCAAATCAATAATCATTTAAAAGTCTCCAAAAATAATCAAAATAAAAAGGTTTTTACCATACTTAAGATAGTAATAAGCAAGGTTAAATCATTGTATTCAAGATAATATACATCTAAAACATGGTCCATTTTGAAATTTAGATTCCCTTAGAATTTTGTCTTGAAAATAATTAAGTCAAATAATTAAGTAAAAGACAAAGAATTAACTAGAGTTAGTTTTTAAATAAGTAGGAATGATATTAAAATTGGACATCAAATATTTAAGTCAGAACACTATCTAAGTTGGAAAACAAATGTGAAAGAAGAATATACATTTAGTGTTCTTTGACTTTTTGACATATTGGCGCCAAAAATTGATGTGTACTTTTATATATTTAGAAATTATTTAAAGATACCTTTTATAAAAATTCATATAAATTTTACTTATATGAGTGGTACAAATTTGAAAGAAATTATTTATATAAACAGTTCGATCTTTATAATCTACATAAAAAATTCAAAATAACCAATAAAATAAAAAAAATTAAATATATTTTTATCCATGTTAAAGTTAGTTTTAGTTTTTATATTTAAAATTAATTAATTAATCATCTAAATTATAAAAATATGTTATTTTAGTTATTTTTATATTTAAATTTAACATTAATTAACTCAACAAAACCGATAAAAATAATTAAATATGAGTTTAGACTTTTTCTTTATAGCTAAATTTAATATTTCATAATATTTTTTTAAGTTTGATGATTAATTAATTAATTTTTAAATATAGAAACTAAAATAAAGTTTGATGAAAAGTACAAGAAAAAAAATACTTATCCCAATATAAAATTAACAAGTTAAAATTAAAACCTTAAAAAATTAAATTCTTAAATAAAAGTATGACAAGGAAATTAATTAAATGATTCATGCTAATATCACGATTAAAAAAAACAATGTTTTAAATAAAACAAACTCTACTTTAAGAATAAACTAGATATTATATAAACATAAGAAAAGTCTCCAATCAAATTAGACATCGTATATTTTTTTCATACATTAATACCGGCTATACAAAAACACACACTCTTTATGTTTTTCTTGAATGATAATATATATATATATATATATATATATATATATATATATATATATATATATATATATATATATATATATATTCTCCAAAAATGGGGGTTGAGGAAGTGGTGATAAATGATGGTCCCCATTAAAGCTAGAAAATGCATGGAGAAGATGAGGCACTCTATAAATGAAGGCAACTTAGTTTGGTTGGTTTAGTTTATTTTTCCTCAAAAAGGTTGAAGAAAAAGTTTATTCCTTCTTCTTCATCAGTGAAGTTACCAATGGAAGAGGGTAGAGTGGTGAGTGATGAGTACACACAAGATGGAACTGTGGATCTCAAAGGGAAACTCATTCTCAAATCCAAAACTGGTGGATGGAAAGCTTGCTCCTTTGTTGTTGGTATATATCTCTAAACCTATTTTTTATACATTTTTAGATTCTTTCAACTTTACTCAAACTTATACTAAGTATTTGGTTTGAGGTATAAAAAAAATGTCATTAAGAAAAAATTACTAAATTTGGTCTGTCAAATTGATAAAACATAATTATTAACTAATTACTTGTTGATAGTTTGTAATATAATATATATGATTATAAAAAATAAACAAAAACTTTCTCCTTTGAGAAATCTCTTAGAACCAAACGTTGTTCATTGTGTTGTCTCGTTGCTACAACATTGTTTGTCTTGTAATGCTTTTATGCAATACATGTATGTCAGTGTGTGTGCTTCTTTTTATCATGAAACTGTAAATTTTAACCTAAATCTTGGCTTCAATAATCCTCTGTGAAATATATTTTCAGGAGAAGAAAGTAAGAGGTAAAATCTACTTTAATATTTTTGAAAATTAAAATTAAGTTATGCATTTAAATTTTAGAAAAAAAAGAAACTTTCATGGAAGCTAAATGAATGATAATTGTTTATCGTTTTAATACATCTAAAAATTACTCTGGAAGTATAAGATACAAGATGGTTACTTATTTAGGATGAAGAAGGGGTATGAAATAAGTGAAAAATCAAAAATGAATTTATTTATTTATTATATTATTTGTCTATTTTTGTTTATAAACATATTTTTTTCACTTATTTTTATTCATCGTAATGTTTTACCTAATTTTTTATTTACTACAATAGGACCCGTAGTTGAGAAGTAGGTTATATTTCAAATCTAATTTATGACAATTGTTGAGGGAGTAAATGGAAGGGTGAATTGATTGTTGGCAGAGGGTAGGTGGAGGTGGAACACACAAACACATTTTTTTTAAGTTTGATTTCGCATTAAATTAATTTTTTTAAAGTTTTAATTTTTTAAGTTTGTTCAATATAACTTTTTCAAGTTTACATAAGCTATTTATAGCTGGAAGATTACCCTTCTTCAGAGAGATTTTTTTTGTGTGAATTTTTGGCACATTAATGCAATGGTTGGAGAAGTTTATTTATATAGACATCAGAAATTTTAAAACAAGTAAAAATATTTTTTTTCTTATTTATCTTTATTGAGAAGTTTATTTAAACATATCCTAAGTTTTTTTTTTGGCAGAATTTAACGAAAATAAAGTAAATGCTAATCGTTTTAGAGAAATTGAGTATAGTTTTTCAATTAATAATTTTGAATTTATTATTATAGAAATAAAAATGTGGTTTAGAAAAAAAATATTTTTTTTCAAAAGAAATAATTTGTTAATAAATATGATAAATAATCTATATTCTGGTTTAAAAAAAAAGTAATAAAAGGAGAGGCAAAGTTGAACATTTAAATTAAAAAAAAAAACTATTAGGTTTCAATTTTGCTTAGTGAATGAAAGAAATAAAAAGTACACTAGAAAAATTCATATAAATTTAAAACTACATAAAAAGTGGAAAATAAAAGGAAAGGAATGGAAAAATAATAAGAGATCACACACTATTTTAATATTTGTTTCTTCTATTTGAGATGTGCATTGCATTGGATTACAGTGTATGAGGTATTTGAGAGAATGGCATACTATGGAATATCAACAAACTTGATACTGTATCTGACAAGGAAGCTTCACCAAGGAACTGTGACCTCTTCCAACAATGTCACCAACTGGGTTGGCACCATTTGGATTACTCCTATCTTAGGAGCCTATCTTGCAGATGCTCATCTTGGTCGCTATTGGACTTTTCTCCTCTCCTCGATCATCTATTTATTGGTGCCACTTTCATACCTCACCTTTCATTTCTCACATTCTTTTTCATTATGATTCATGTGTATTTTGGAATGCCAGGGTATGTCTCTACTTACACTATCAGTGTCCCTTCCAAGCCTAAAGCCACCAGAGTGCCATGAATTGGACGTGACAAAATGTGAAAAAGCCTCCACACTTCAACTAGCTGTGTTCTATGGTGCACTCTACACTCTAGCAATAGGAACAGGAGGAACCAAACCCAACATTTCCACCATTGGTGCTGACCAATTTGATGACTTTGACTCCAAAGAGAAGAAGTACAAACTCTCCTTCTTCAATTGGTGGATGTTCAGCATCTTCATTGGAACCCTCTTTGCAAATTCTGTTTTAGTCTATGTACAAGATAATGTGGGGTGGACTGTTGGGTATGCTCTTCCCACTCTTGGACTTGCACTTTCCATAATCATATTTTTGGCAGGCACACCATTTTATAGACACAAAGTACCCACTGGGAGTCCATTCACTAAGATGGCTAAGGTCATAGTGGCTGCTGTTAGGAAATGGAAAATTCCTATTCCTAGTGACACTAAAGAACTGTATGAGCTTGATTTGGAAGAGTATGCCAAGAAAGGGAAAGTCAGAATTGATCCCACTCCAACTTTGAGGTCTAAGTTCTACCCTAAGTTCTCATCTACTTGATGTGTGATTCTTGATTATATGAAATATTGTTAATTCGTCATGTGGTATGAGTTTAAATACAATATATGCTATTGGGGTTTCTGATATGCATGATGAAACAATTTGGACGATAAAACAATTTTTGTTTCTATCTCTTGTTATTGTAAAATTTATTGTACACAATAGGTTAGGATAGTTAAGCTGCATGCTGATATCTTGCTTATTATAATACCACACACACAAATATTGTCATATCTGCATATCTTGCAGCAAGTTATATATGAATCATGTTTATAGAGAAGCATGTATTTAGGTGTAAATACACGCTATGCACAACTTAGACATCAAGAAAATATGATTTTTTGCTAAAAAACAGGTTTATGGTTATTGTATATTTTGGCTAATCCTAATAAATATTTTCTGGCTCTACCTTCATATATATATATGTAGGTTCCTCAACAAGGCATGTGTCAAGACTGATTCAAGTGCTAGTGGATGGAAGCTAAGCCCTGTTACCCATGTAGAGGAGACCAAACAAATTCTAAGAATGATCCCCATCTTGATTGTCACATTTATTCCTACTGCAATGGTTGCACAAATAGGTACCCTTTTTGTGAAGCAAGGTGTTACACTTGATAGAGGCATTGGTAACTTCAGTATCCCCCCTGCAAGTTTAAGCACATTTGTGACTCTATCCATGCTTATTTGTGTGGTGCTCTATGATCGTTTCTTTGTCAAGATTATGCAAAGGTTGACCAAGAACCCTAGAGGAATAACCCTTCTCCAAAGGATGGGAATTGGCCTCATAATCCACATAGTGATTATGGTAATTGCATCTCTAACTGAAAGGTATAGGCTTAGAGTGGCCAAGGAACATGGGTTGGTGGAAAATGGAGGACAAGTTCCTTTGAGCATTTTCATCTTGCTTCCTCAATACATTCTTATGGGAACTGCTGATGCATTTTTTGAGGTTGCCAAAATTGAGTTCTTCTATGACCAAGCCCCAGAAAGCATGAAGAGCCTTGGCACTTCCTATTCAATGACTGCCTTAGGCATTGGGAACTTCCTAAGCACCTTTATTCTCTCAACAGTTTCACGTGTCACCCAGAAACATGGTCACCAAGGATGGGTTTTGAACAACTTGAATGCTTCTCATCTTGACTACTACTATGCACTTTTAGCCATACTAAACCTAATCAACTTCATATTCTTCATGCTTTTGACAAAGTTCTATGTGTATAGAGCTGAAATTTCAGATTCCATAAAAATGCTTGGGGAAGAGCTGAAAGAAAAGACATCAAACCAAGTGATTCCAAGAGATTGATTACTGGACATGTTAGCCATGGTTTAGATACTTGGAACCCGATTTAGAAGAAATGAAGAATATCTCATGCTTACAGTGTCTTTAACGTGTGATGATTTGGACATGATCATGTTCATTATGGAAACAACTTTGAATTTATTTATAAACTCATGGCTTAAATACTTGTCATATATTTGTTTTAGTATCTTTTAATAAATAAATATATGTTTAGTTCAAAAACTTTATTAGATAACTCGTGAATATAGGATTTGTTTTTTAATTTTAAAAAAATTGTTTTAAAAAAATTGTTTGATAATTTCTATTTTTAGAAATTATTTTAAGAATAATTATGACAGATGATAAAAGAATTATGAAAAAAATTAGAAAATAATTTTGATAAATTTATAATAATAAAAATGAGTGAGTTAATATAAGATACAAACACATGCATATATATTATATTAGAAATATGGTATGAGAGAATATATTTATATTATATTAATAAAAGTGATATGATTAAACAGTAATTCTATTCTTTAATTATGTATTAAAAGACGTAATTTCTAAGTATTTATAAATATTACATTCTTGATTCTAAGAAATTAATATCTAATAGTATTTTAGAGAATAAAAAATAGAACATATATATTAACATTATGTATTTTCGTAATATTATTAACAAATTGTTGAAATCATCACTCAGTATATTAAAATTTTCTATTTTGTTTTTCTTTATTACTTATAACATGTCATGTCAAGACATGGATTCACTATTTATTCATTAAGATTATGATACGTCACCATCTTATTGAAAGTACAAATTTAATGGCCTTCGTTTTCAACATATTTATTTAACCATTCATCAAATTAACACCGAATTAATTAATACAATTAAAATTTGAGATATTAAAATTCTACATTTACAATAATTAAAATAAAAATAAATCTGTTAAGCCAATAATTTTTTTCTTAAATAACAAGAGAGAAAAACTATTTTTTCTAATGTGACCATGACCTCATATATTTCCCTAAATGTCCACAATTACTAACCCGAATTCACACTACCATTTTTTTCTTTTTAAAAAAATAAATAATATTATTTTGTAATTGTTTAAATTATAATTAAAGCAATATATTTATTGTATTTAAAATTTTAACTATTAAATTATAATCTTTTAACTAATCAATATCAATTAATAAATAATACTATTTTTACTGATTATTTAACTAATAAATATTTTAATCTAATAAGTTATTTTAAAGTTGTAAATATATAAATTTAACATGTTATAAGAGACGTAGACAATGATCACCATTATGGTCAAAATAAGGATTTTTAGTGAATGTACAATTAATGTATTTAAACATATTTTAATTAAAAATGAAGATTATTTATTTATTTATTTGATATTTACAACTTTAATTACCATAAAATTATTAAAATATTTATCTATTAATTAATTAATTAGTAAAATTAATACTATTTATGAAATTTATTAATTTATAAACTTTATTACATAAGCAATTATAATATAATTATTAATAATTAGTAAAATTAATACTATTTATGGACTAAATAAATATAATATAATATTTAAAATTTTAAATAAAATAAATTTATTAATTAAATTATTCATATAATAATTATATTAAATAATTACATAATTATTTAATTTAGTTTCGTTTAATTCGAAAAACAAAAACTAAAAAAAAGTCAACGTGAATTTAGAATATCTTTAATGGAAGTATTTATTTATTGAGATATTTAAATAAAATATTAATTACTTAAAATTAGAGTATAATAAATGCTTAATTTTTTTTTATAGTTGTCTTGTCAATTCCCGTTCTATACATCAATTTTTTTCCTTGTTATTTAATTTCAACCAACTTTTTTAATAAATGTAAATAATATTTTAATAGATTCACGTTAAAAAAATATAATAAATAAAAAGTTATTGGTCATTGAATACTAATTAAGAATTTTGTACACGGTGAGCTTGTAAGTTCAAAATGTTTGATTGATGAGAGAAATTTTGGGCACACACATGAGTGTAGAAATTATATGACATGAAAGAAAACCATTTGGGGGGTGTTTGGATGAGCAGAAAAAGCAAACATAATTTCAGCATTTGGAGATGAATTTTTATAGCCAACGTGGAATCTGAACACAAATCCAAACACGTACTTAGCTCCTTGAAAAGAGATTATTTTGGCAATGGAAGAAGGAAGAAGGAAGAATGAGTATGCAGAAGATGGAAGTGTGGATCTTAAAGGAAGGCCTCTTCTCAAAGCCAAGAGTGGTGGTTGGAAAGCTTGTTACTTTCTTCTTCGTAATAACCTTCTTCTTCTGTTATCATCATTTCACAAATTTTTACAACTTTTTTTTTTTTTTTTATGTTTATTTCTTATTATTTTTCTTTATCTATTTTCCATTTTTCCACATTGAAGTATTTTGATCCAGCTTCATCATAATGGGCATTTTGATCTCTTCTCTAGTAGCTTGGAATTTATTAGTGAATTTTTTCTTAAGCAAAAAATTCCATAAACCTGCAAATATTTATAAAATAATTTCTGCAACATATATTTAAAAAAATTAGCAAAATTAATTGCTTAAAAAAAACTAATTTTGAAATTAGGAAGAGAAAAAAATTGAAGGTGAAAGAGATAAAGGAGAAGAGAGAAACAGTGTAGGGAAAGGGTGAGATTGCAGAGAGGAAAAAGGGGTGAAGAGTGTAAAAGAGTGAGGTGCATAAATAAAAAGTGTCTGTAATGTTATGTAATTTAATTAAGTAATATATTTATTTTATTATATAAGTTATATATTATTCTTACTTTTTCATTTAAAAAATAATTTTAATACTGTATTTTATTTTATTAAAAAGTATAATTATAATTTACTTAAATATTTATAAAATATTTTCTATATATAATTTTTATATTATATTTTTTTTAAATGGTAATTTTATTTTTTATTATATCACGCAGTTATTTTTGTTTCTAAAGACAAAAAATATCAAATAATCAAATATGTTTTTACTTTATATTGAAATTTATATATGATATAAAAAATAATTATTGCTTTTTTGTTTTACATCCTTATACAATTCGGTAAATATTTAAACCTAAAAAGTATATGTAATATATATAAATATTACCTTCAACTTTTTCCCCAATTAATAACAATATAAAATTTTAATGTTTTAAATATATATTTAATTTTTTTGTGTGTAGTAAAAATTAAATTATTCTCTACAAACTAATAATTTAAAATTTAGATTAATTTATGCGAATAAAGCATTTAAACAATAAAATATAAACAATTAAGATTTCTAAATTTCAAATGTCTTGAAATTTTAATTTTTTTCAATAACTTATAGTCCATTTGCATTTAGAAATAAAATATTTTTTGTACAGAAAAAGGTAAAATATTGTTTGTTAAAATTTAAAATGATAGAAAAATATAAGCGTAATTTTTAAAATAATACAATAGAGAAATCAAGAAGGTAGTGACGAAAGAAATAATATTAAATTAGTTTCTAGAAAAATGAGAACCATAATGGGGGTATGGAGAAAGATAAACTACATTAAATTAGTTTTATAAATATTTCTTCACGTAAAAAATTTAAAATAAATAATTTGAGAGAAATATTTATTTTAGTAAAAGTGTTAAAGTAAATGGTTATAGATGAGTTGATTACTATAAAACTTATGTCCAATATCATTAGTAATTTTTTATGATTTTTTAATTAAAAATTAGAATTGTATATCAATAACTCACAAATGAAATTCTTATTTGATGATATGATATTGTACTCGAAGTTTTTACAACTTCTATTGGGAAAAATTCATGCACATTACCAAAAGTGGTTGAGATAAAGAAAAACATGCACAAGGGTGTTGTTATATGTACACTCGTTCATGCATAAATCAAACATTATTGTATGTTTCTCACAAGGTTGTGAATATGTAACATGAATTGCATTTCCCATTGAATTGAATTGATTGGATTTGATTTGGTTGAATAAAACAATGACATGTGTGATGCAGTATATGAGGTATTCGAAAGAATGACATTCTATGGGATATCATCAAACTTGGTTCTGTTTCTGACAAGGAAGCTTCACCTTGGCACTGTCACTGCTTCTGACAATGTCAACAATTGGGTCGGCACTAGCTATATAACTACTATATTAGGAGCCTATGTTGCTGATGCTCACCTTGGTCGCTATTGGACTTTTGTCATTGCTTCTGTTCTCTATCTAGTGGTATGTCTTTCTACACATTTTAATTCACTCTTGACAATTGTGAGGAATAAGCTAAATCTTTTGGCTGGGTTGAAAAATCAATCTTTTCTGGCATTGGCAGGGTATGTGTCTGCTTACACTATCAGTTTCCCTTCCAAGTCTACAGCCTCCAGAGTGCCATGAAATGGATGTGACAAAATGCAAGAAAGCCACCACACTACAGTTAGCTGTGTTCTATGGTGCACTATACATCTTGGCAGTGGGAAGTGGTGGAACCAAGCCCAACATTTCCACCATTGGTGCTGACCAATTTGATGATTTTGACCCCAAAGAGAAGGCACATAAGCTCTCATTCTTCAACTGGTGGTTTTCCAGCATCTTCATTGGGACCCTTTTTTCATTCACAGTTCTGGTGTACATACAAGACAATGTGGGGTGGGGTCTTGGTTATGGTATTCCAACTATAGGGCTTGCTATAGCATTCATGGCATTCCTGGCCGGCACACCCCTCTATAGACACAGATTGGCAGCAGGGAGTTCCTTCACCAGAATTGCCAAAGTTATAGTGGCTGCTTTGAGGAAAAGGAATGTAAATGCTCCTATTGACTCCGCAGAACTACATGAGCTTGATGTGGAAGAGTATACAAATAAAGGGAAATTCAGGATTAATTCCACCCAAACATTGAGGTACTACGAGCCTGTCTGATTCTTTTCTAATATTTTATGTTTTAAAAACTTTCCTTTCACACTTCTTGAGAAAAATTTCTCATCCAAAATCTATTAAATTTTGAAAATAGTTTCTAAAAATTAAGTGTTTTAAAAACCAAAGAACAGAACAGAAACATTTTGGAGATATTTTCTCATCCTGTTCTGTTCTCTTCAAACTTAGTTCAAGGGACAAACTTCTGGAAAACCAAAGTGTGTTTAGATTAGAGGACAAAATACTTTCAAATGTACTTAGGTCCAACAGTTTAGAAAAGATAAATTTGTTTTTTGAAAACTGTAAACAAACAAGGTGTAATTCAAGTCTATTTTCTCACCCATTTGATATGTGATATTTTTACTATGGAATGTTATGTTCACCAGTACACTCATGCAGGTTCCTCAACAAGGCTTGTGTGAGAACTAGTACAAGTACTAGTGAATGGATGCTGTGCACAGTTACTCAAGTAGAGGAAACTAAACAAATACTAAGGATGATCCCCATCTGGGTTGCTACGCTTATTCCTAGCACAATGCTTGCTCAGACGAACACCCTTTTTGTAAAGCAAGGAGTTACTCTTAATAGACGCATTGGCAGATTCAACATTCCCCCTGCAAGTTTGATTGCATTCACATCTTTCACCATGCTTGTCAGTGTTGTACTCTATGACCGTGTCTTTGTTAAGATTATGAAGAGATTGACTAAGAACCCCAGAGGGATCACACTTCTTCAAAGAATGGGCACAGGAATCATGATCCACATAGTGACTATGATAGTTGCATCTTTGACTGAGAGATATAGACTAAAAGTAGCCAAGGAACATGGGGTAGTTCAAAATGGAGGACAAGTTCCTTTAAGCATACTCGTTTTGGCTCCGCAATTCATACTAATGGGATTAGGTGAGGCCTTTTTAGAGGTTTCAAAAATTGAGTTCTTCTATGACCAAGCCCCGGAAAGCATGAAAAGTCTTGGTACTTCATATTCCATTACTACTGTAGGCATTGGGAGTTTCATCAGCACTTTTCTTCTCTCCACAGTTTCACACATCACTCAGAAAAATGGCCACAAAGGATGGATTTTGAACAACCTGAATGCTTCTCATCTTGATTGCTACTACGCATTTTTTGTAGTTCTAAACTTTCTGAATTTCATCTTCTTCATGGTTGCTTCAAAGTACTTTGTGTATAGAGCTGAAATTTCAAATTCTATAGAAGTACTTGCACAAGAACTGAAAGAGAAGACAGCCAATGTGTCAGACCAAGCTTTCCAAGTGATTAGTTGATTCAACATTGATATACGGACACCTGAATATTGTAAACACCTTTAACAATTTTAATTTCTCTTTAACTCTATTTTATCTTTCATCTGTAACATTTATCATTTCTCTCCCTTCCATTTTATGTGTCTCTAGGTGTAGATGAGACTTGGAGTGTCCATAAAATATTTCATTGGTTCATTAGAGATTGGAAAGTGGAAGAGAGGACATAGTAACAGAACTTTGCAATAAGTGGCGGATAGGGCCAAATAATATATTATTAATAAATAATAAATAAATATAATATAAAGTAAAAAGATGAAAGGGTGAAAATATAAAATTGTAAATATATACTTAAATATATTAAATGATCATTAAGTTTGAGTGAGACAAAATCATAAATTATATAAGAGCTTACAAACTGGAAGTAGTGAGAGGATAAAATTGTAAATATACAAGTAAATATATTAAATATTTATTAAGTTTAGAGGTGGAAGGACCACGACCCTCCTCAGCTCTCAAGAAAATTCCTCATGTTTTCAATGATTTAGTAACTATAAGCTCATTAAATGATATTGTCCTAGTTTAATTATTTATCTGAGTCGTTTTCACTCGATGAATTAAATAAAAGATAATTTAATATAAATCCTTATTTCAACTTTATAATTTTAATGTTCACATAATTGCGTAGTTTTAGTTGTTTTCATCATTTAAATAAAAGTTATTTTAGTTTAACATTTATTTTTAACTTTTATATCAGAAAAAAAATCACAAAATAACAATGCAAATAAATCTCTTAAATTTTATATTTTGCTTATTCTTTTAATAGAACAATTATAAGTTAATAATTAAATTGCTTTTGAAATGTAAATGAATTTTTTGTTGAAAAACATTTAAGATCCCAAAGAAAGTTGTTGATTGGAGAGTAAATTAACTAAATCTAATACTTGAAAAATATAAATAAATTTAGAAGTCTTGTAAACATAACCTGTATTTATTTCTCAACATAAATAAATTCAAGCAATTCACAAAATATTCCTGTTAAATTTCCTTTCCCATCAACCTCTGAAATATAGGGTATCAATTCTGAAAACAAAAGAATACACAATTTAAACGTTTAAAGTGAAGTTGTGCAATTGGGTTTTGATTTAACAGCATGTATAGCCGAGAGGAACAAAATGGCAACCACACAGAATAACGGGAATAAAATGCATAAGATATAATCAAGAATAGTTAATAATATGCTAGGAGAACAAAGAACACCAAATATTATAGGTAGAAAATTTAGGCTGCTATTGGAACAACGAGTAGCAAAATTACAATACAGCAAATTGGAATAAGTATTTCTTCGAAGGACTGAAAAACACAACTGGAATTAATTGGAAACACACCCAAGAAAACTCTTTGAAAGGCAAATATGTCTCCTGCATGTTAAAAAAACAAAAGGAAAGGACCTTGGTGGCAGGATTGTAGTTCTAGCTGAAAATTATCTATTATGGACATGTTTTTGTCCATGCAAGGATCAACAGACATCATACAAGCAAGTTGATGATGGTTGTTCAACAATGGCATGTTATTCTAAAAAGTTAGTCCAAATAAATAATTCAATCAAAGATCAAAGTTATGGGGTTATCCTGTGAACATGAATCACTGATATCATGCGTAACAAATGAATTGTTTTTCAAAATTAATACCAGTATACAGATATTATTAACAAATTACACGAAAATGTGTCAAATGACAAGCAGGTACACAATATAAACTCTCCCAGATGGTTTCCCAGGTAAGGTCCAGCCATAATTGCTACAGCATAAAAGTAAATAGAAGTAGCGATAAAGCTACAGTAACCTGAGCCACCTATCTTTCCAAGTGACTGGCAATGACTTATTCGGATTCTTGCTATCTACCAGTACAGTCATACCCCTACATACAATACAGTTCATATGTAAAGAGTGATCAGACATCAAATATTATTTAATAAATGCAAAGCACAGTTAATGTCGATATTTAAGTACATATTTTCTTTCATATTTATACTTTTCAACATTTATAAAATAAATATATATGAACCCAGCATTACTTTCAGGTTAGCGTTGCAAGTCAACAAGCATGTCAATCTCACATGTAAAAAACTACCTATACAACATAGATAGCATTCATATATATATAAAAGAAACTATATTGAACTCCACCGCGGAAAATAGAAATTATAATGAGATTAGACTGGTCTCTGACAAAAATGTGTGAAGTGGGAAACTAAAGGTGTGTGTACACTCTTGATTCAAGGTGGGCTAAGTTTACAAGTGACTAAAGAAAAATAAAAGGTGAATAAACCTTCACTTTATATATTTGATTATGTTATGAGGCAAATCCATCATAATGTACTACATATGTCATCCGAACATCTTCAAATAACATAGAATATTAGAATTCATATCGCTAACAGAGCATACCACACAAACATAATCATATTTCAATGTCAACTGAATGTTGCACAAATCAAAGCTAAGAAAAACTAAATTCAATTCAGCCATAAATGAATTTCAAAAATAGATCACACATGCAAGTAGTAAGTCTAAATAATGGAAATGTGTCACTCATTCAGGTTTCTATTTGAGATCCTATATTGACTCTGGATATGAAAAAACTAAAGTATATTAGTCAGAGACAACTCTCACCTTATAAGTTAGATTTATGTGGTTAGACTGAAACCTAAAATTCCACAATGTTATTAGAGAGTCTTGCCTATCCTAGGTAAGTTTGTTGGGCTTATCTAGGCCATTATCAAACCAACTGCAGATGTCCAGCCCAACAAACTTCACACTCTGAGATATAGTGTTCTCAACATGTGAGATTGTTGAAGATCTCACACCGACTAAAAATATAGCAAATTAAAGCATATAAATAAAGGGAAACTTTAATCTTACAAACCAACTGCAGATGTCCAGCCCAACAAACTTCACACTCTGAGATATAGTGTTCTCAACATGTGAGATTGTTGAAGATCTCACACCGACTAAAAATATAGCAAATTAAAGTATATAAATAAATGGAAACTATCTTACAAACCATTTTATCAAGTTGTGTTGGATCCAAATTCCAAGAGTTCCATTGAAATTTGGTGTTATATAATAAACAATAATCATAAACAGACTACAAAAATAAAAAGGTTAATTACAGTCCTCCATTCTAAGAGATAAAATGCAATACATTATTATTTTAATGTAAACAAGCTACGTATTTTATTAGTGGGAAAAACTATGAAAAGGCCTACTAGGGACAGTTCTCCATTCTCTACAATTTTCAATGTCAACATTAAGATATCAACTAATTTTTAACATCTTTTTTATTGATTCGAGGGCTTCATAAAATGAGATAACATTTTAAAAATCCCTGTATTATCAGGTTAGAAACTTTACCCAAAATTCATTTCATCTTCTAAAGTCCCTAAGATTCATCATAATATTCCATAAAAGCCTGATTACATTAAAATATTCTAAAATACCAATAATGCCAATAACCACAGAAAGAGAAAAAAAAAATCCATAAGCCTACTTACACTAAAATGAACCAAAGTATACACAAATTTATCTCTGAACGGAGGGGAATGCAATTTACACAGAATAAAAAGTTCATGCTTTATCAAATTATTTTAACCCAAAAATTCTGCATTTATTAGCCCGACACTTAAACTTTCTCTAAGCTAGTTAATCTAACGAGCAAATCCTTAAAATAGGCTTCAATAAATACCTTGATATTCAGCATTTATCCCTTTGTAGGAATAACATACTACTAAACTTCAGGGTCTGGGACACCTTATTATACATTTAAGTTCATACTAGCTCTAAATAGTTATTGATGCGTCTTTAGACAGTTATAGATTTGTGAGGCAGTAACCGTGTGGTGTTATATATATATATAAATGGCATAACAGTTTCTGTATTCAGAAGGTAATTGATAGGGAGTGTGTTTGAAAGAGAAAACGCCTGTGTTGGGGCTTAGGCCACTGAATTGTTTATTGAGATAGGTTATTCTCTGTGAGGGACTTTGTACAGTGTTCTTCCTTTGTTGTCTGATCTCTGTTTAATGTTTTTTTCAGGTTTAATTCAGAAAATATATAAAGAAAATCATCTAGTTTTGTATGCTATTCTCTTGTGTCTAATGGTGCCTCTCTGAACATCTAGATGTTCTCTATATCAATTTGAGAGTAAATATATTATTTCATCTATTTACCCTAATGTTTATCTAGCATTTCAAGCCTGATCGAACATTAAATATGGAAAAGTCCAATAAATAAAAGTTTCTTTAAATGAATAAAAGGGTAAAATAACGGTAACTAAGTTAAGAAACAACCTTAGTAATAGCCTAACCAGTGGCCTGCAGCAGCTCCCTTTCAGCATTCTCTCTAATCCTTCTCTCAAGCTCAGGCCTGAAATGCCTGATAAGACCCTGCACTGGCCATGCAGCAGCATCACCCAAGGCACAAATTGTATGACCTTCAATTTGTTTAGTCAACTCCTGAAGCATATCAATTTCTTCTAGCTTTGCATTCCCAACTTTCATTCTTTCCATGATTGTCCAAAGCCAACCAGTTCCCTCCCTGCACGGTGTGCACTGCCCACAGCTTTCATGCTTGTAGAAGTAGGAAAGTCTTGCTATAGCATCCACGACATCAGTAGATTTATCCATCACAATTACAGCTGCAGTCCCCAACCCAGTCTGAACAGCCTTTAATGCATCATAATCCATCAAGACATCATCACATATATTCTTTGGAATCAGAGGAACAGACGATCCTCCTGGAATCACTGCAAGTAAATTATCCCATCCTCCTCTAACGCCTCCACAGTGCCTCTCTATCAACTCCTTCAGTGGAATACTCATTTCCTCTTCAACGGTGCAAGGCTTGTTTACATGCCCTGACACACAATACAGCTTTGTCCCAGCATTGTTTTTTCTACCAAAACTGGCAAACCATTCAGGCCCACGCCTTAGAATGGTTGGAGAAACAGCCACAGTCTCCACATTTGTAACAGTGGTAGGGCAACCATACAACCCAGCATTGGCTGGGAAAGGTGGTTTCAATCTTGGTTTACCTTGTTTCCCTTCAAGGCTCTCCAACAGGGCTGTTTCCTCACCACAAATATAAGCTCCAGCACCAAAGTGGATATGCACATCAAAATCATAGCCTGAGCCACAAGCATTCTTACCCAATAAACCAGCTGCATAAGCCTCTTGCCTAGCCTTTTCGAGATTCTTACGTTCATTCACATATTCACCCCTGATGTAGATGTAAGCAGCACTGGCCCTCATTCCCACTCCAGCAATCAAGCAACCTTCTAACAGTTTGTGTGGGTCATGCCGCATGATTTCCCTGTCTTTGCAAGTTCCAGGTTCACTTTCATCAGCATTAACGACAAGATAGGAAGGACGGCCATCAGATACTTTGGGCATGAATGACCATTTGAGGCCTGAAGGAAAACCAGCACCACCACGACCACGGAGTCCAGACTTCTTCATTTCATTCACAATCCAATCAGTACCCTTGAGTACCAGATCTTTAGTTCGATACCAATCACCACGTTTCATGGCACCTTTCAGAAAAGGGTCATGTAACCCGTATAAGTTAGTAAATATCCTGTCTTCATCCTTAAGGCCACCAAAATGGGTTTTTTCTGGTGGTGGAGGTGGTGGTGGCGGCTGTGGGGAACTAGCAGTGGAAGCACCCTGAGTGCTAAATAGTCTGAAACCAAGACCCAATTTCTCACTCCGATGTTGAGTCACCGCTGTCCTTAGAGAAAGAATGCCCCTCATGGTTGCCTTACCTGACATTAATTCCCAAGTTGTAGGACAAAAGATATTGGGTTAATCAAATCGACCACATCTATACATCAGTTAAAAAAAATTGCCAACTCACTATGGGACTAGCCAATAACATGAAAGCATATGAATTAAAACTTAAAGAGCATGATTTCAATTACCAATTAAAATTAATCATAATCAAACCCCATTCGGCAATCAAATCAGAATTGGAGTTTATCTCGATAATCTATGTTCAACTTCAACGCAAACCTTAGTTACAAAATTAATCAAGATAAAACTCTAAATCTGATTGAAGAACAGTGCCAAAAACATGTAAGGAACTATATCTAAGTTTTTCCTGTAAACAAAACACATCTCAAAGAAAAAAAAATCACAGAAGAAATAATAAAATTTTCTCTCAATATAAAATCCGCACAATAATTTCAAAAAAAAAAAAAAACATTTCTGGGGAAATTGTGGAAACCCTAAAAAGAAAAATAAACGTGATAGGTCTCATGCATCTGCAAAATCTGGGAAGAATGAAACAAGGGTCAGATTGCATTGCACCCGAATCATAATCGCGAGTGTGTTTTGCAGGTGAAATCTGATGCAAAGACGACTAGGGCACAGATTTGAGAAGCAATAACATTCTTGGATTTTGGAGGAAGATGAATGAAAAAGTCGTGAGAGAACATACCACTGGCGATGCAACTGATTGATCACTGGGATCTGATGAGTGTTGAAATTGGAACACTTGTGCTGCTTTGTGTTGTGTTTTCGGTTTGATTCTGAGGTTTTTTTGTTCTGTTTTTTCTTTTTGTCTTTTTTTTATTATTTTTATTTTTCTTCGGCTTGGGTTAGATTTTGGTCTTTTGTTTAGCCACGTTGCGGCTTTAGAAAAGGGATTTATTTAATGGTCGAAAAAATCTTGAAAGAGACACGAGTTTTATGTCGAAAATGAAATTTTACCAAACTCATTTTATTTTTTGTTTTTAATTATTATTTGTGAGAAAAATGGAGAAGTTTCAAGGGAAAAATTATGAATTGTAAGAGTGTAATTTAAAAATAAATTTTGTTTATATATATATATATATATATATATATATATATATTTCTGTATAAAAGAAAGGAGAGACTTATTCTGAAAATAAATATAATTTACTTATAAAATTAGCTCTAGTTAAACAAATTTGATCATTTATAATCTGATTTTTTTTTAATTTTTAATATGACAACTAATAATAATAATAATAAATTGTCAAAATCGGATTCAACAAATCGAAGACATAAATTAAAGGTTGGGTTGAACCGATTACATAGAATATTATTATTTTTAATTTTTAAATGTAATAACATAATATATGAAATAATATCAATAAGAAATAAAATACTACAAATAAATTATAAAATTTAAATTTCAAAATATCAGAAGTCATAACATATAACAAAATTAAGCTATATATCATAACAAATGAAACTAATGCATCGTAATAAAATAAAATCCATTAATAACTACAAATTTTTTAACGAAAATAATATAAAATAAAATAAAAACACAATTTTCTATTCAGCTGCTTGGCCACTTTTAACCTACAACTTTCCTCTAATGATAATCCCAATTGGATTGAAATCCATGTGTTTTTAATAACGAATTAAGTCGTAATAATAAATGTATAATTTTTTCATCAAATCCAAATTAAACAACTTAATCAGTGATGGTTTAAGTTGAATGAGATGAACCAAATTCAAAAAACCTAAACCAATATGCTTGAATTAGATTATTTCTCAAGTTATTCAAACAGGTGAACACCCATAACTTTCATTTGAGAAGAAAAGGCGATGTCAGAGCACAGAACTCCAAGGGAGAATGAGTTATTTCAAATTTTGAATTCTAAATAAAAGTATAAGTCAACGATAAAATAAGAAACCAAATAAGAACAATCTTTATATTAAAGACAAAAATCAACAAATATTAGCTATATACTATTCATAAAAATCCATAGTTGTCAAATTAAAGTTGCATATGCAATTTTTTTTTTTTTATGAATATCACTAAATAAAGATAAAGAAAATGCGAAAACTTAAAGGCATGATTTCACCAGTAAAGTTTGGACCCCAATGTTAGATAACAGAAAATGTTAACCTACAAACCAATCAATCTCTATAAATTGTACAAAAATATGCAAATTGAACATCTTTTGTCAGCAATTCAACTTCAACAGTAACCTAATTACAAGAAAAAAAAATCTATTATATTTAACATATCGAAGTTTGATAGAAGGTGAATTGAGGAATGTACACCTTAAAACATTTTCTACACAGATAATATCACAGTCAGTCAAAAGATCCAGCCATCCAAAACCAGAGATTTCAGGAAATGCTGACTTCCAAATCTCTATCAACTCCAATCTAACAAAAGAATGTGAGAAAATGTAAAACAATCACTAGCCATCAACAATTGTTTGTCCATGGTCTTCAAGAAGTCCTCTGAAAAATATTGGTATAGATCATTGTGATTCACTTTTTTCAGGAACTTCCATTTGTGGAGGTAAGAGGTTTAAGAAGCTCCCTCTGATAGGTTGATTGGCAGCCATAGCAGACTCATCATCTGTATCACACAATAAAACAAATTCATTAAAGCATGTTTCAACCTAAAACAGAAGGTGTAGTGACAAAAAGTAACAGCATGAGGAAATTCTCATGACTCTGAACTTCTGCTGAAGCCACTTTATTTGTTTTATGGCAGTTTCTAAAAACAGGATACTAGTGAAAGATTAGAATTTTGTATACACACTCATTTTAAAGGGATATAACTGCTACTGTTCATATCCCACTCCATAAGACAAATCTGACAAATTACAGATATATTGGGGGAGGTGGGACATTTGGAAACCATCTTATAGCAGGTAGTGTCATTGTAGCTCTGAAAGAATAGAAAAACAATAACATATTCTTACCAAATAGGGCCTTAATAGATGGTCTTTTAGGTTTTGTGCTTTTCTTCTTCAATTCAGCTGATAATGTACACAAAAAATGAAAAAAAAAAAAAAACTTGTGAAGAGAAGTGCAGTGATGAATCAAATGATGGTTATAAAGTGAGAAAATAAAAAAGAAAGAAATGCTCTCCGTGTACACTTGGCCAGGTTCACCAGCATGATCTTGGCCATATGCGTGTCCAAATTAAAATTGCTCAATGCATCAGCATCCAAAATCATTAATATTTATTTCTCATATAAGCAACAATGTATAACACAAGAATAAGACAAACTTCTGTAAGAAATCTACATCATTTTTTTCGACATGATGGTTAAATCAAAAGGCATAGTAAAAATGAGAGTCAAATAGGCAGGCATCTAGTAACAGAAACAATGAAAGTAGAAGCAAGTAAAAATATTCTAATTGCATGACAATAAAACAAAGTGTTAATATAACCTTTCAATTAAACAACTTTAGAATCAATTAAAGTGACAATCAAATATTCTATTAGATTAGATGGTCAAAAGAATCTTAAGCACACAACAAACAAAATATTAAATAGGAATATATATACATAAACACATACATACATTAATACATATATAAATATATACATAGAGAGAGAGAGGGGGGAAGAGATAGAGAGATGTAAATACCAATTCCTGGTATTTCATGATCATTCACGATTTCAAAATTCTTGTATGTGTAACCAACAAAGTTAACATCTTTAGATGGCAGCATCTGCAGCAAATGATACAACTAAGTAAGAACCCAGGCTTCAACAATGTTCCTTTTATAGCCAATTGTCCATGATTTTCAAGGAAATTGTGCTTAGGGTAACCAATAACACAATGTTTGTTAAATTTCAGAGTCATTCAAAGTAAGTTCATTGGCAAACTAATTGTTTTTAATGGCAATATGCTACAAGCATAATAGCAGATTCCAAAGATAATGAATCAACCTAGTGGAAATTACTCAAACCAATTCAAAGCAACTTATTTTTCAATTACATACAAGTTAAATGGCCAAGATTTAAGTGTTTCTCACATGAGAAACCAATGAAAAATTCATAATAGACAGATTAATGGGTAAGTAGATACATAAATGAAAAAATATAGAGGAACTCATGCTAGCAGTTTTACATGTGATGAATAACCCCAAAACAATCTGATTATGTATAATTTGAGTGTCAAAGGAGGAGAAATGGCCCATGATTGATGTAGGACAACCCAAGTGTACTCCTCTTGGCAGAGTACATTTCTGATAATCCTAGCCTCTAATATATAAACAATGAATGAAGGAAATTCTGAAATTCAATATCGTATATCAATCAAAAGCATCTCTAATCAAGTATTTATACGACCCAACATCCCAAAACCTAATAAGCTATTTCTATTATAAGTTGGAATAAGATATCCAAAACGGAATAAGATCCCTTAATCAAAGTAATAATAAATAATCCACATATAGACACTAATTGTGAGACTAAAAATCCTATAAAAATAACAATCCAATGGCACATTCTGCATCAATGACATCAACAAATAGTACAATTACAGCAGCTCTTGTAGACAAACTATATGCAAAATGTAAATAACACGAACCAACCTTTCTCCAGGGCCCTGCCTTTGAGGATGGTACAGTTTGCTTGTCTACCTACACATCATTAGTAAAACAAAAAGAGCATGACACTGGGGGCAACAAGAAAAATGAACTTTTTTTTCCATAAACAATAAAGGTATATCATATACCTCTTCAAACTTCTCAAAGTTTTGTGTGTCTAATTCATCATTGACCTCAGGTATGAAAGCAGCTTTCATTTTGTACAGTTTGTCCCATTCGATACCTTTGAACCATGGATGGGCCTGGATGCAATATGATCAACCACTTATTTGTAATGTACAACTATATCCCAAATTAAATAGTAAAATTTAACAAAGAGCACATCACAACACCTTTATTTCATCGGCTCCTTTGGTTCCAAGCCTCTGCTCCACATTACATAGGAGTCTACAAATAAGATCCTTTGCCTCGGCTGAAAGTTTAGCTTCTTCTGGAAATTTCAAATTAGTTCTCCAATTTACTATCTGCATATTGAAGGTGAAGAAGTACAATACAATTATAAATGAAGACAAAAAATGTTACAATAAAAGGAAGCCTTGGAAGCAATCAACTGGACTCATAATAAATAGTGGATAACCATGAACTGTCATCTATTACTATAAATAATAAAATGCCGTAACTAGCAACAGAAGCATGGTACAGATAATTGACACGCAACAAGTAACTAAGGGGGCGGGGAGTAAAACAATTGTCAAAATCATGAAATCATATCATTTTCTTCCTGAAACTTGTTCTTCATTAATCAATACTCAATAATTGCAGCCTCCTAACAAATTCAATATTTCTAAGCCTTTTTTGAACTTTATTCCCTCTGTTGGATTTTTATTTTTTTTTTAAGACGCAATCACATTTTCCACTTAACCTAGAGCTGCATTCTTAGCTACAGGTTATGTTTTTCAAGACTCTTGACATTTTTTGTAACCAGATAGTTTTTCAAATAATAGTTACCTTGTATGATTTAAACTCTCAGGCATTTACAAAGTGCAGGTACATACATCTATTCTATTGACAAGTATAATATTTGACACTAATTGCCAAAAGAAACAATTAAACCTGCTTTCCAGGCTGGGCACACATCCATGAATCTCAATTAGGAAAACTAAAAAGCTTAATTTTTATGGGAATTCTAGGACTTCAAAACAAGGGTAAGGATGATAGTGTCTAATATATCCAGGAAAATATCAATGGCAAGGTTGTCAAGAAACAGAAGTCTCGCAGAATTCAATGGACTCAGTACTACATGGCACAATTAAATTCACACAAATGCATGATGGATTGGAATAGAATCCATTTAAAGGGTCCATATTTACCTTTCTACATGTCAACATTGGTTCATCTGAATAAAAGGGTGGGTACCCCACAAGCATTTCGTACATTATTGCTCCTAGAGACCACCTGGAAAATTAACATAACATAAGAATGAACTGAAACAATAATAAGTTTATAAAAAATAGGGGGGCCTTGAGGAGAGTTTTGAATGGAGAAGTGGAACGCATGTTATCTTATACCAATCACATTCCACACCATATCCTTTCTTCAGCAGAACTTCTGGAGCAATATAATCAGGTGTTCCAACTGTAGAATAGGCCTGCATTATTGCAAAGAAAGAAAAGCTTAAAACTGAAGCAAAAACTATGTTCACCAAATTTATATGTTAAATTATATGATTTAAGGTAGGGAAGGAAGAAAAGAGACCCCAAATAACAAAAATGCAGAGTCATATATGGTGTGAGTGATATTTTCCAAAAGACAGGGTATTACAACTATTTATACGAGGACTAAGATTAAGACCTAGACTTCTAATCCTAATAAATTATCCAAACAACTCTACATTCTCTCCCTCAAAGATCTATAAAGATATTTTATACATATTCTAATAGCCCCATCAAACCAAAGCTAGCTAAACCTTAAGCATATTAAAATGAACACTTTAAACAAAACAAAATATAGGAACTTGGCACGAGCCCCATGCACCTGGTCACCCTTTAGACTTTGTTTATTGATATTAGTGCCTGTGTTTTCAAGTGTTTGGATTTTGGTCCCTATCATTAACATCAATCCCTAATTTCTGTGAAAGACTGCCCTATAGTTTCAATATAATCCTGAATTGCTTGATCTTGCAGTCATGTCCAATGTAAATTTTTCATCGCACTGGAAACATAGCCCTTTTTTCACTTTTCTATATACTCTGCACCTTCAAATTTTTCAAGATTGACCTGGTCTCTGTTAACCCTTTTTCAGTATTGCTCCTTCCCCACAATATATTTCAGTTAGACCCCATTGTTCCCTTGCGCAGCTCCTTCAACTGTTCCAACACCTCTCACATGGTAATATCCATGTTCCTGTACCATTTGTCATCTTGCGTGGCATGCCCTGTAATTCATGCTAGGTTTTCTCCATACTATCCATATTCTTGAATTTGGACTTCACCATAAATGCCTTCTTCTGCTGGACGAAACAGCTCTTATACTAGTTGATAGAATTAACTGCTATTAGGAAAAGATTTCAAAAAGAATACAAAATTTTATTATAGGATCCTTTCTCTAGAAGGAAATTAAAGAGTGCCCAGAACCTCTACCAGTAGACACTACAACCAGACCCTCCCTTCTTTGACCAACCTCCTATTTATTCTAATAATTACAGAACATTTAATTACAACTATACTCTAATTACTTGAGTTAGTTAAACTGTATCCCAGTTAGTTACAACTACTTCAACTGCTCTGAGTTAGTTCCAACAGTACTTTTATCCCTATCATTAATTCTATTCTTCTGTCTTCTCACATGCACTTTCCTCATGAGGGGTTGTGTATCACTTTCATATCCCCACAAAAAAAATGCCTAAAAAAATAAATATATCAACATCCAAAACTCAAAAAAAGAGTATATAAAGTTTGGTCCCTGAGATACTATCTGTGATCTTTGGTCCCCAAAAGTTTGAATTTATACCAATGGATGAACTTGTTAGGAAGTAGACAATTTTGGTAGGGTGAACAAGTTATCATGTTAAAATGTTCAGGGACCAATTTGTATAAATGGAAAATTTCAATGACCATAGGAACAGAAGGAATATCCTTCAAGGACTAATGGTACTAAATGGTATATTTATTCCTCAAAATATAAAACAGGGATCAAAACTCTAAATCTGATGACACTGAGTAATTAATGGCTAATAGTTTATTTTATCCTAAATAAACAAGGAATTAAAATAATCATAAATGTTTATGGGCACTAATATTAAGAGTCTTACAAGCATTCGTCGATTTTTCTGCCAATGCTGCAGTTGTTCCTGTTGTGTTCGTTTAGGAGCCACTGGACGGCCATCACTTTGGAGGGCTCCGCTTCTGTTAATTCCGACAGAGAAGTCCTTTTCTTGAAGATTACTGCAGTCTAGCGGTTTACATAATCCAAAATCTGATAATTTCATGTGACCATTTCTATCTAGCAGCAAGTTGTCAGGCTTGATATCTCTGGGATGCATTTAGAGATCAGATCATTAAAATTATTTATAGATCCAGAAGAAGACCACAGTAAGTATCATTGTTCCATGTCATAAAAGAATACCAAATTTTTCCATCATTTGATGCTATTGTTGACAACTTTGAGTTTACCTATGAATATAATTATGTTTATGAATGGACTCTATAGCCAGGACAGTCTCCCCAACATAGAATCTAGCTTCATCTTCTGTCAGTATATCCTTCCGCATCAGCAATGTCATCATATCTCCACCAGGTAGATACTCCATTATGAGATACAAATATTCCTCATCTTGAAAGGAGCAATAAAGTTTTACAATGCAGTTGCTGTCAACTTCAGCAAGTAGGTTTCTCTCAGCTTTGACATGTTCAACCTGAAAAAGAGTATCAGATATGTTTAAGAAAGCAATATTTACTCTAACAATGTGATCATTTCAGTACCTGGCCTCTCCGAAGCATCTCTGATTTCTTAAGCTTCTTCATAGCATATACATGACCAGTGGCCTTCTCCCGACAGACTCTAACCTATGAAAAGATCCAAAAATAAAACAAATCATTAGATAAATATTGGTATGAAAAATCAGTTTCATAATAAAAAATTCATTACATGCCAAAGAGGCTATGCAATAGATACATGTCTCCAAGCCAAATCCTTCATAAAACTACACAGACTACTCAATGGTGGAAACAACTAATATGCATAACACAAACTGGAGTTTTCTTTGCCTGGAATTATTCATATAATTAAATAATCCAATAGGGAATTTAAACCAACACAATTTCAAAATATAAAGGTTTTCTAAATTGTTAAATTAAAGGTTCTTGATGGTGAAACTTCATCATCACTACTAATCTTGACATATCAAGATCCACCTTTGAAGGAGTACTTCTCCCTAACATACCTAAGTAATATTCTAAATCCAAAATTTCTAACGTGTGTAGAAAAAAAAGTAGAATACATAACACACACACACACACACACACATATATGATGGGCCTATGGGCATCGGGCCTCTAACTAAAGTTTATGAGAGAAAGAAGAAAGGGGTTAAATGCACAATTGAGAAGGAGAATTGGACTAGAGAAACAGTGGAGGGGGCAAACAGAATGGACAGAGGGGATTGGAGAGGCAGATATGTGGAATCCTGGAGGGGACATGATTGAGGAGGGTTTTGGGCGAGGAGTGATGAGTAAAGAGTGAGGAGAGGAGGAAGGATCATTTTGGAGGGGATTCTGGGGGCCAATTGTTGTCACTCAGCAGAGGTAGAATTTCCTTTTCCAGTTTCTATTTGCTTCTTTCTTATAATAATTGTACTGCAGTCAAGGCTAGTTCCTTGAATTCCCATCAAATATTGTTACTAAATTTCAGTTCCTATCGATATACCAGAGTTAAAAAACTAATATGGGTGTCATTATTCAATATGATTAGAAATTCCAACTCAATATCAGGAAACAACCATGAAAAATAGAGAATAACAAAAGTGATCTGAATGTCAAAGAGGGTTATAAACTTGTAATCAGAATTTATGGTTTCAAATTGCAATCAACATCACCAGCCTCCACACATACATATCAATCAACTCCTTTAAGTCACTGGAAATAACAGTAAACCCTAAATCTTAAACCAATGTAGTTAACTCAAGATTCTAGCAAGGAATGGGAAGCGAGTGAAGGATTGTAAGAGTAAGGTACTAGCTAAAATGCAAAACTACACAGATATACACATGTATATACATAAAAAATAATATGGATATGAAAAACAATCTCCAAATCACAACATTCAACTATCTTAAATTGGAAAATCATAATGATTAATATTAATAAGAAGTAGCTGATAGATGTGAAAATAATTAACCTTCTTTTCCTTTCAGTCGATAAAAACAGCACATTTAAATTTGGAAAGAAAAAAAATAATGAATGACAATTATGATACATAAATCAGAAAACATGAATTCATTCAATTATAAAACATAAATAATAAAATCACTACACATGTTGTTTATACACGTTTTCTGGTAACTGTATTCATTTTCACTGATAAATTAAAAAAAAAAAAAAGTGTCATTTTCAGTTCATTACAATTTTTTGCCTTTACAAAAGAGCTGCCAGCCATCATTTTTCCTTCCTAATTATAGTAAAACTAAGAAGAGACAAATATAATAATAAAATTTAAAATTAACTTATCCACATATCATTCCAATAATATTCCTCTATCAGCCTTTTTGCATCCACTGAGAGCCAACAAACAGCCTGACTGCCCTAAAGCCATAAGCAATGGCAACAACAGCCTGGACAGTGATGAGAGTGGGTGACGAGATTGCCATGGCATCCACCGCCAGGTTCTGCAACTAACGCTGAAGGATAAAAGCTAGTGGTACCCTCCAGCAAGCTGAGCAAGTCAAGTTCCTCCACCTTGGAAAATAAAAGGTGAGAGAAAAATGGCTTTGTTGCTCTCACAGAATAGAAGGCGAGAGAGGAATATTATATGATTTTGGAACCTAACCCAAAGGGGAAACTCATTCAGGATCATTGATCCTGTGATTACATGGCCAAGAACACAATCCAAGAGCAATATGACCTGGATGCAAATTAGCATGCTCTAGGGGCCAAAGTTTATAGAATCATATAAGTCAACTAGGAAAATCACAATTTTAACAACAATGATAGTAACATTTTTGCCAATATATGTCAATATAAATATTAATAAGGTCAAAGATAAAGATGGTTTTACTTGGATGTGTAAAAAAAGTTCCGATTAAATGCATATAACGATAGAGTATACCTCTCCAAATGCACCCTTCCCAATCATAGTCAGTGGTTCAAAGTCATCAGCTCCCATCTTATGTCTTTGAAGCCGCATGTATTCCCTCTCCTTTTTCTCCAAATACTGAAGTAAGTTGTGTTGCTCTTCCTCGGAGACCTCAGCATCTGCCAACTTCTTTTCTAGCATATTACGTCTGCGAAAAAACAATCAATTCAGGTATTATTAAAGACTTAAAACAATTTCCATTTCCATTAGCTCTTTGAACATAACAACATATCACATCAGAGACCATTAAAGACGATCTCATGCAAACTATATTCCAGAATCTAGTTGGAAGAGAGCTTGCTTGGCAACAAAAAGGTTGGGGCATTAAGGAAATCACTTTTTCCAATCAGATCAGAGATGACAATAAGCATGCTAGAAAATTACTTTAAATATACAGAACTCCTCAAGAACATTAGATAGGATAGGATAATATAGGATATTCATCGTTACCTAAAATATATAAATTGAAGAAAAATACCTTTCCTTCCTCTCCTGAAGGCTTTGCATCTGCTTCTTGTAATGATTTTCTATGTACTGCTTTGCAGCCTCCACCTTCTGCTTAGTTACATTTGAAGGCACTTCTTCATTTGTTGGGGGTTTTGACCCTTCTTTGGTCACACCTGTAGTTTCTTTTGCAGACTTCATTTTGTCGTTTCCCTTGAACTTACTAAACCACCGCCTTGTAGTTTCCATTTTATTTGTTTACCTCTTAATCTGCTGTTTTTTGTATTTCTTCTTCACCAAACACTAAAGACCAAAAGTAAATGAGGATCTTGCTTTACCAGACATGAAAATCAAGGCACTATTGTTCTTCACCAGAAGAACCCAAGGCACATTAACTGCTACTTCTGTCCAAATAATAAAATAAACAACAACAATCAGCTAACTTTCCACCACATGGTAATAGCTGCTCAGAATTATAACTTAAACACACATTCAAGCATAGAAGAAGCATTCCAGAATTATTAAATAGGAAGCACTAATAAAAGAAAAGAAAACAAAAATAACTCAAGGGTTCGTTTGTTAATCCAACTTCAACTAAAAGAATTGTCAGAGAAACTGCAGTACTGAAAGTAAAAAATAAAAAATAAAGCTAAACGCAAGGTTGTCAAAATCGTGAGTCTAAGTGAACTTATGGGCTTCCGAACATAAACTTAGAAGTTTACTTACCTAGAATAAAAATTCATATTAAAAAACAATTAATGAGATAAATGTATAACATAATACTCTTAACATGGCAAGAATTTAACATTTCAACTTCATCAAAAAGCAAAGTGGCAAATAACAATAATAAAGTATGATAGTACATTATTAATACTAAATGAGATTAAACTACATAAATGACCAAATCATATATGAATTCATCAAAACATAAGGTTCAGAAGTGAAAATATTTCTAAAAGAGTTAAAATCTTCAAATCATTTGAACCCTAGTAAAACACTCTCACTGCCAGTTCAATGGGGGGCAAAAATATACAATTGATTTCAAGCCTGCTGCCTCGCTTCTCCATTATAAGAGTTTAAGACCTTTTTTAAGTTTACCCAAAAAATAGTTTGATTGCGACTTATCTCATTTTCTCTACTTAGAATCATGAAATCACAAGAGTTTACAAATTAAGGTTAACTCCAGAGTTTGACAACCAAGCCTAAAACGTTTCAAAAGTGGAACCATCAATCACAAATTTCAGAAAAACTGGAGCATTGCCAACAATCCCCATTTCACAACAAACCTTGCAAAACCATTTGCTTTTTCCACACCATCAAACATCTTCATAGTTTCTAGGTTTCTTCAAAAGCGCACTCAAAACACACACACACACAAACGTTTATGCAAAACCAACGAAATCAAAAAGCCAGAACACCTATCCAGCGCATTGAAATTCTACAATTCACAGTGCATGTCAAAATCACTCTTCTGGGCAGCAAAAAGCATGATCAAAAACACAATCTTTTTGGACAATCACTAAAAAAAGAACGATTTTTTCCCTTTCCCAACGTGTTCTCACTGACCCAGTGAGAGAAATAAGGTAAGACCTCCCATACACATACCCAAAAGAATAAATAAAGAAAATCAACGACCAAAGTCAAAACTAATCAAACAACACTAGCACAAGTAGAAATTTGGATTGAAACAGGAGGAAAAAGGGAACCTTGAATCTGGAAGTTGCGAGAGAAAGAAGGGAAGAAAGGGTGGTGGGAGAGCGTAGAGAAGCAATTTGCGTTGCTGTTGTTGTGGTTGATGATGATGATGCTGATGATGATGGTGGTGACAGTGATGGGAATGCGATTCAATTTGCTGGTTTTAGCTTTTTGTTTTGTTGTGAGTTGAAAGTTCACAATTGAAAGTTGGAAGGCACTTTTAGCATAAGATATATGTAAGGTTGGATGGATATTGGATACATAGTGGAAGCCGAGTCTCTCTTTTTTTTCCTTTCTTTCTTTCTATTCCACCTTACCCAACTTCCACCCAACACTACACGTTTCATTTTTTTTCTTCTTCCTTTTGTAATTACCCTCTTAACACGGTTTCATTAATTGTTTCCATTTTCAAAGATCCATGACTAATCTTATAAATTTAATTTTATTAAATTCAAAGTTACTTCCTTTTTATGATTCTCATTTCATAAGTGTAAGTAATAAATTCATCTCTCTCAAAAATTTAAGTTTCCTACTACAATATTTAAATGGGATTTCATTACACAAAGAATCTTAACTCAGTTGTATTATATAAGATGGTTTTAAAATAAAAAATATATATAATATTAATGTTAATCTTTAAATATTTATGCCTTTCTTAAATTAGTTTTATTAACATTAATGATTACAAAGTATATATAATATTTATATTTATGTAGTTAACATTCAATATATTTTATTTTAGTATATTTAGAGAAGGAGAATAAATAAAAAGTAGCTTGAATTGTGACACTCTTGGTCAACTTTAATTTGCAGTTTCATGTTTGATTTTGAAGAAAGAAAAAAATGGGACTAACACACGCTTTTTTATTTAATATATAGAATATAATAATATATGTTATCGTTTATAATAAAGTATTATAATGTGCATATTTTTATCTTCATATAATTATTTCGTCTTCGAGTTTTCAAAGTTAGTGACATCTTTTATGTTGCTAATAATTTTAAAACTGAAGTTCTAATCATAGTCAACGATGAACTTAGTTACAAGTAATGATCTATTTTTATGTTTGGCAATGGAATCAATTTGTTTGTGTTTTATTTTTATGTTCCACTCTTTTTTTATTATTCCATTTTTTTTCAATCAGATTCTATTTTCATTAATGTTATGAAGATAACATGAAATAAAATAAAATAAATATTAAATAATATAACATAATCATAATATTTTTTTAATGTTAAGTCTTTTATCCGATGTCTTAGTTTAATTTAATTTATTTTAAACTGGATTTATTAATTTAATTTAATTTGCCTAATCTATTTAAAAATTGGTACATTATTTTAAAATGATTAAATTTTAGTTAATTTAAGATAAAATTAAAAAATTTCATGATAAAATCTATAAAATAAAATAAAATCATTAAATTTTTTGTCGACCCAATTTTAATAAAAAATTTAAAATCATATTTTCTAATATATTTTTTTATAAAAAATATATATCTTAAATTTTTTTATATTAATTACGTTAATTTAAAATAATAAATATTTGTATCTTATTTTTATATTTTTTTAATATATTTTATATTTAATATTTATTGTAACTTATGATTACTTGTATCAATTTTTATTATACTTTTATAAATAAATATTGATATTAATAAATTTATTATATAATTCTCTTCTATTTTAAAAATATTATTTAACACATATTCTATTTTGTGTTATAAATTAAAATACAAATTTAATCATTTTTCATCTAACTTAATAATACTCTACCATAACCATAAAAGAAATATTTCAGATATCAAAACAAAAATACAAAAATTTTAGTAACTCTTAACTGCATTTATTAGAACTATTAATGAAATATTAACCAATTCAACTGTTAATTAATTAGAATGTTAATTAATTCATCAATTATTTTACTTTTAATTCATTTTAATAGTGAATAAGATATTAATAACTCTCTAGAGTAATTATCTTATACGTCTTCTCTTATGTTTGGCCCTTTATCATTCAATATTTTTCTTTGTATACAAAAGATATCCATTACTATATAAATGCCACTTTAGTTTACAAACTTAGAAAAATTCTTCAAATATTTTATTTATGAGAAATATTCAACATAGTCCAAAATCTCATTTTCTAAAGATTTAAGTTAGAAATTATTATTATTAAAAACTAAAAACAATATTATCATTTCTATTCATACAATCGATTTGTTCAGTACAAACAGTGGCTGAAGAAAAATGTTGAAGGTAAAAAAATCAATAAACTCTTCATAATAGTTAACTATGTTATTTATCTCTTAAAATTGGGATAAACACGTTTTATCTTCTATTTTTCAAACTAAACAAACCATTTAATTCCTTGAATATTAGAAAAAAAAGATTTAGTCCATTAAATTTATCATTTAGTAGTTTAAAATATTATTTTATTTAATACTTAAGTATATTTTATTTTAAACTAAGAAATTGGAATATTTTTCTATAGGAACAAAATATATTTATCTCAAAATTTTTGGATTATAAAGTAAATTAAATAAAATAATCATAATTAATTTTGTTTTTTATATATATTTTAGTATTTATATTTAGAGTAAATAATTAATGTAGTTTATAAATTATGTTTTTGTATTATTTTGCTTCCTAAAATAATTAAAAAAATAAGTAAGTTTTTGAAATGTTTTAAATTAAATTTGATAAATTAACCTTTTTCTTATTGTTTGTTCAATGGTCTAAATAATAATAATATTAATAAAAAATCTTTATTGAATAAAAGTTAATTCAGTAAAATAAATGAAACCTTAAAATATTTAAATGTTATAAATAAATTATGTTTTTTTTTATATAACGTTATTTCTTAAAGCTTTAGTTATTAGCAACTTTTGCTATATATTTTAAGATTTATATATATACAAAAAATCAAAATAAAAACAGGGGAAAAGGATAACACTGAAGACAGCGTTACTTGAACAAAACACAAAACACGAAACCGAACATAAACCCTAAACTAAACCCTCTGCAACTGCGTGCAAAGTCCATGGCGAAATCATCAAAACGCAGCAGCAACAGCGGTGGCAGCAGCACCCACTCGAAGAAGAAGAAGAAGAACAAGAAATCAGGTCCCGAAGGCGTGGCCATGAAAATGAAGGCCAACAGCAACAAGAACAATGGAGGCGCCGGGAGCAATCCGTTCGAGTCGATTTGGTCGCGACGGAAATTCGACGTGCTGGGCCAGAAGCGGAAGGGCGAGGCCCGCCGGATGGGCCTCGCTCGTTCTCTGGCGATCCAGAAGCGGAACAACACTCTCCTGAAGGAGTACCAGCAGAGCGCCAAGTCCTCGCTCTTCGTCGACAAGCGAATTGGAGAGAACGACCACGCGCTTGACGAGTTCGGGAAAGCTATCTTGCGATCCCAACGCGAACGCCAGGTTCTCGATCATTCATTTTTAGTGAAAATATTTGTTGCAAATTTATGATATTTCTTTTAGTTTTTAGTGTAATTTTCGCACGGACTGATTTGACAAATATCACCGGATTTTGAAGTAGTTATGGTTAAAGTTAATAACTTTAGCATTAGAGGGTTGTTAGCAACCCTCTGGTTAAAATTTATTGCAACAAGACTCGATAAAATAACTTGGAGACTCGTAAAAAACTGTGATTTAGCTTAGCTTTTACCCAGTGTAGACTATATCAACCCATTAAAATCACTGGCTTTTAAAGTAGTTATGGTACAAGTCGAGAGCCTTAGCATTGGAGGAGTGCTAGCAGCATATTTTGGTTAAAATTCATTCAAGCAAGACTTTTTAAATAAGTGAGAGACTCAAAAGATTTTGATTTTCAATGAATTTGTACTAATGAGAGAATGTGTGTTTAAGTGGGGGTTGTTGAAGAGTGGGTTGGAAGAATTTTTTTCTTCAGCATAAATAGTCGGATAATGTTGTAAAAAAGTTTTGAGGTGTTCTAGTAATATACTCTGGTTAATGTTCATTCAAGTAAGACTTTTTTAATAAGAAGTTAGAGAGACAAAAATTTGTTATTTTCGAGAAATTTCAACTAATGACAGAAAATGAGTTGGAGATTGTGTTGCAATAATTTTTCTTTTGCATACATGATCAAATGACAGTGTAAAAAAGTTTTCAGGAGTTTTACTAACACTTCTAACAAACTCTGTTACTATTGGTTAAAGTTGATTGGAAATTACAAAACAATATGTACATCTTATTAAATAAGAAGTTAGGCCCTACCAATATTTGTAATTTTCAAGAAATGTTCAATCAATTAAGAAGAATGTCTTCAAAATAGTATGTCAGAGAGTTAGTGTTAGCATTTGTCAAATGTTTTATACTTTTCATTGTATTTACTTTAATTTTATGTAAATTTATTTTAGAATAAATAGTGTATGCAATGGCAATGGATTACAATTTCTTCCAATCACAAACTGCCTATATGTTGTAAGTTTGTTGGTGTTTATGATAATTAGATTAATAGTCATGCCATTGATGAATTTTGATTAGTTGAAACTGAAAAACCTAGTTATTTTATTTTAACTCGTTTTTTCCTGATAGCTATATCTTATTCTGAAGTTCTTTGGGTGTTTGTAGTTGAACTTGAAGCTGAGCAAGAAAAGCAAGTATCACTTGTCTGATGGAGAGGAAGATGACTTTGACGGAATTGATTCTCTTGGAAGAGATGATTTTGAGGAAGAGATGCTTCCTGATGATGTTGATGCTGAGAGTCATGGTATGTTAACTATGTTTGGTAGTTAGGTGATTTATGTAATTTTTTTTTTCTTGTGAGACTGCTGAATTGATGGCTTATTTGTTAGCATTCTGCTTCAATTGTAATGAATGACTTAGTAAGCTGCTTGTGCTATTTTTTGTATTTGGGGTTTATGTTGAGTGCTGATTTTTGCAGAGAAATTAGATTTGGTTCGGAGTAGCTTGCGCATACCAGGGGAAATCAATGCAGTTGACAGGGAGGAAAATGTAAGGCCTGTTGTACTATCACTGTTGGTACCCTTACCTTTTGTTTTCCTGTTATGGTTGCATTTTGCCTACACGATATGTTATATGATGTATGGATTTTTAATCTGCAAGTGATTTCTCATGTGGTGATTATCAGAAATATTAATATCCTGTCTGTGCTAAACTATTGCAATTGTTGCTCAATTTCTGAAATACTTTGAAGTTGGTTCTTAAATGTGACATTTTCTGCAGGGACACAAAACCAAAAAGGAAGTGATGGAAGAAATCATCACAAAAAGCAAATTTTACAGGGTGAGGAAATATTTATCTTTAATTAGGGTTAAAGTGATTTATTTGTCTTCTATATTTGTTGACATTTTTTTTCACTCCAATATTTTCCAGGCTCAAAAAGCTAGAGATAAGGAAGAAAATGAACACTTGGTGGAAGAATTGGACAAGGACTTCACTTCCTTGGTTCACTCTGAGGCCTTGTTATCTTTGACTGAACCCAATAAGATGAAAGCTTTGAAGGCTCTAGTGAACTCAAATGAACAAAGTAATAAGGACCCCATACCTGCCAGTCACACAATGGAAAACACTTTGCAGGTACCATTAATCCTTGAGTTTTCTTCTTGGTCTTGTAACTTCCTCTTATTATAAGAATATGCTATATTCTAACTTTCTCTTTATGGCAGGACAAACCTGATGACTATGACAAACTTGTCAAACAAATGGGATTGGAAATGCGAGCTCGCCCTTCAGACAGGACAAAGGCACCAGAAGAGATTGCTCAGGAGGAAAAAGACCGACTAGAGCAGTTGGAGGTATGATTACTTGACTTTTAACCATAGTTTATTATTATACAATTAGTAAATTACTGTTACATATTAAGAAGCATTTTCTACCTTTTTTTGACAATAAAGCTCTGATCTTAGCTTTATAACTGAGCTACATTTTAAAACGGTTTAGGCTGTTGCAATGGCTGAAGTGGAGGGATGGGATGGTGGTAAACTAAATTCACATATCATGACTAATGTTTATATCTAGTATAATATTTTGTTTTTGGGGGTAAGTGAACCTGGCAGTTCATAAGGTTGCTGCCTTATGTTAACCTGTGGTTGTGGATTTGAATTGTATACTAATTTCACTAGGTAAAGTTGTATATATCTTTATTTTTTTTAGTAAGCTAATGGGTCCTGTTATTCATTATTTAAGGAAGAGCGGCAGAAGAGGATGGTTGCTGCTGAAGATTCAAGTGATGAAGACAGTGATGATTCTGAAAAGCCATCTGAACAGAAATCAAGATCTATCTCTGGTGATGATCTAGGTGATTCCTTCTCTGTCAATGAACAGATTATGACTAAGAAGGGATGGGTTGATGAGATTCTTGAAAGAAAAGATGAGGAAGATTCTGTTAGTGAAGATGATGATGATGATGATGAAAATTCTGATGATTCTGGAAGCTCTGAAGATGCTGAAGAATCAAATGGGGGACTTGAAGATGATGAGAAGAATCTTTCATTAAAAGATTGGGAACAAAGTGATGATGATGATGATTTTGGCGCAGATTTAGAAGATGGAAACGAAGATGATAGTGATGAGGACAGAGAAACAGCTGTAGAAGACCTTGATGAGGTAGAAGGATTAGATGTTGCTGTTCATAAAAGGACATCGACACATAAAAAGACAAAGGGAGACAATTCTGTTAAAAGTTTGAAAAGAGATAAGGATTCTTCAAATGGCAAGATAGATTTTGGAGGAAGACAGTCAAAAGAGTCAGACATTCCTTATATAATTCAAGCTCCCAATACCTTTGAAGAATTATGTTCACTGGTAGATAAATGCTCAAATTCCAACATTATTTTGATTATCAATAGGATCCGGAAAAGTAATCCCATCACACTTGCTGCAGAAAATCGAAAGAAAATGCAAGTATGAAACTCATTCCTTTTATTTTTACTTCTTGTCAAGACTCTGATATTCTTTTCATGCTTCTTGTATATCTGTGTACTGAATCCATAATTGTTTTATCAGAAAAGGGCAATCCATTGGATGATTTCAACTTGGATATGATGTTTTCTTTTCTATGAACTTCCGCAGTTGTATTGACAACTAATGAAAAGTGTATATCAATTACTAAAAATACTTCCCTCAACTGTGTAAATATTGGTTATTACAGATGTCATATATATATGCAAGTGCCTTTATGTCTATATTTTGTTATAACTTTTTAATTATTCCTTCATTTAAATTTAAACATTTTGCTCTTGAATACAATTCATGAGGATGTAACTCTTTTATTATTCCCTTTGTTAGTTGAGCATGAAGGTCTAGTTTGAATTTCCATTTATGGGGATGAAATGAATAGGTATTTTGAATAGCCCCTTATGTATTTCAAGTTTGTTTACAGTTAGGAGCCTAGGGTGAAATTTGTAGTACTTAATAGAAACTGAGAAAAGAATTGTCTTAGAGATATATGACACAAGCCAACAGAGTGCCAGTCTGCTGGTTAACAGTCAAGAAAAATAGTGTCTGTAATGAAGAACATCTGAACAATTCTCTTAATATAGGTTTGAAATCTAATTTAAACACATCCTAACCTTTCAAATTGATCTAATCCTAAAAAGTAGGTGGAAGGTTGAAATAAAATATCAACTAAGAATGTTACAATGGAATGGACTGTATGTAGCTATAAAACATGCACAATAAAATATAATGGCATGATTATGGAACTGTAACTTAATCCTCTTTCTCCTCTCCTCTCTTTTCACTGTTAACTGCTACTGCACAAAAGATAGTTAATCAAGATAGTTTTTGTTGCCATTGATTTAGCAAATTAGTTTGCCTGATGGTTGTTTTTGTTCCTTTTGAAGTATACCAGATTGCCCTAGCACTATTTTTTGATGTAACATTTGACACTTGCATTCTGTTTCTAAATTTCTTATGAGGATATTGTGATTATTATATGTCTAACTGTATGGGAGGTGTTTATATTATATCTTCTCTTTCCAGGTATTCTATGGAATATTGTTGCAATTTTTTGCTGTTCTGGCAAATAAGAAACCATTGAATGTTGAGTTACTCAATCTGCTGGTAAAACCATTGATGGAGATGAGTATGGAAATCCCGTACTTTGCTGCAATATGTGCTCGCCGCAGAATAGAAAGTACTAGGAAGCAATTCATTGAGAGTATCAAGAAATCAGGTCAAAATTAAATTTAGTTGAATAGTTGCATTGTCTAAGTTAACTGTTGTTGAGAACTATGATTTGTTAGATGTTTTGGTAACTGTCTGTAAATTATTCACTTGCCACAGAAAATAGCGCTTGGCCTTCTTCAAAAACATTGTGCCTCTTGCGTTTGTGGTCCATGATATTTCCATGCTCTGACTTTAGGCATCCAGTTATGACCCCTGTGATATTGTTGATGTGTGAATATCTGATGCATTGCCCTATCATATCTGGTCGGGATATTGCCATCGGCTCTTTCTTATGTTCTATGCTTCTCTCAGTAAGTACTATACTTTATTTGGTTTATTCTGTCTAACTTGTATGCTTATAGTCTGGCATCACCAATAATGAATTCTGAAGGACTATATTTGAATTCTATCATTGAATATGGTGGGAACTTATGCAGTCAAAATGGAAAAATTCATGAGTGGTGTATTTTCCACAAACGAGTTTTGCTTTTGGGTGATTTACGTACTAAGATATTTATTGCATTGCAGAACTTAAATTTTCCCTTTTTTTCCTGTGTTAAATTTGCTGCTTTCTTATATACTTAATATAAAATACCAGGTATTTAGACAGTCTAGAAAATTCTGTCCCGAAGCAATAATGTTTCTTCGAACTTCTCTGTTGGCCACCATTGAAAGTAAACATATTTCAGATGAAGATTCCCAGGTATGACTATTTTCATTGGTCATCTGTAGTCTGAGTCATATTAGTGGTGGGTGCATGCATGCTTGTGTGTATGTATATGGTTATTTACTATGTATAGGGACCACTAGCCTCATCACTTGTGCTATTGGCCTCCTCCATTCTTCTTTGAACATAAAGACAAATTTATATATTTTAGTTCTTTGTTAGAAAACCGAAGTCCTGATGAGAATTTTCAATATTGTTGTCTACTCTTTCCGTTTAGACTGTAGCTTCATTTTCTTTTAAACAGTTTCTTTGGATACTGCAAATTTACTTGAGAAAATAAGTGCATTCAGGCAGTTGCTGTACATTTTTTTGGGCTTTTGTTCTGATGCCCTATACCTTAACATTTTGTCTTTTTCCTAGTTTACAATTCGAAGGCTAAATTATGTGGCTTTATTACTCTTGACATGTTAAATATGGAAAAGGACCTTTTTTCTTTTATTAGTTCATTACTATACTTTTTAACATAATAAAGAGAAGAAGAACGGTTGATGGAGGATTATTATGATATCCTAGCACTCAAGTAAATCCATAATCTTGTTAGATCCTGCATTTGGTGTAAATATTGAGAATGTGGTGCTGTTCTTTATGGTTGTACTGCAGTTTCATGTTTGGACAATGAAATGGCCATATAATTTGTTTTATGCCAGTTATATCATCTTATGGAACTGAAAGCTCTCAAGCCTCTTCTTTGCATACATGAGACAGTGAATGAGATTAGCCCTCTGAATTTCTTCGACATAATAGACATGCCAGAACACTCCTCTTTCTTCACTTCTGATGGTTTCAGGTAACCAATAGTTAAAGAAAAAGGGTTACCTCCACGTTGTTATTATGTTGACTGTCTTTATTTTGAATGGGGTTTTTAAACTGGGAGATTGTTGAATGAATACTGGATAATATTCACTTGAGTTGCATTGTCATGAACTAGTCATTTAGATTGTGTTATAGCTAGAGTCTTGATAATTAATTCTGGATGCTGCTCTTAATTTTGAAGACTGCTGAGAGTATTCATTGTTGATTTCGTGTTGAAGTTTTGTGGTTTTCATATATCTTGGCTAATTATGATTCACTGATTACAGGGCTAGTGTATTAGCTGTAGTTGTTGAAACTCTGAAAGGATATGTTAAAGTCTTTGAAGGCTTAAGTTCATTTCCTGAAATATTCTTACCAATTTTGAGATTATTAAATGAGATAGAAGAACAGAAAAATATGCCAAATGCATTACGAGATAAAATTAAAGATGTGGCTGAGCTTATTAAATTGAAAGTGGATGAACATCACACTTTGAGGCGACCACTTCAAATGCGGAAACAAAAGCCAGTACCAATCAAACTACTGAATCCCAAGTTTGAGGAAAAGTTAGTCCCTCCTTTTCCCTTGCTTGCATTTGATAACATGTTTCATTAGTCACGTGAATCATAAAATGAACATTAAGTGTCATATTTGTTTGTTCTGCAGCTATGTCAAGGGTAGAGATTATGATCCTGATCGTGAACGAGCTGAAATGAGAAAATTGAAGAAGCAGTTGAAGCGTGAAGCTAAAGGGGCTGCACGAGAATTGCGCAAAGACAATTACTTCTTGCTTGACGTGAAGGAAAAAGAGAAGTCTTTACAGAAAAAAGATAGAGCAGAGAAGTATGGAAGAGCTAAAGCTTTTCTTCAAGAGCAAGAGAATGCCTTCAAATCTGGACAACTTGGTAAAGGGAGGAAAAGGAGGAGATAAAAACTTGCTCATTTTTCTGTTTTTAAACACGAAGCGTTTTTACCTTAATATTAATCAAGCTCCAGGGGTGGCTTTTGTGCAGCCTAGCTTACAGAGTAGATATATCATGAACATGCTCGGAAGAATATTTATTTATGGTGGTTAGAGAATAAGTTAGGCCTTAATTTCCCCACACTGTTAAAAGTTTAGCCAAATGGTAGTGATGAGAGAGGGTATAAAGATCTTAGATCTTTATTTTGACAAATGCCTTTACCTTCCCAACTTCAACTTCTGGGGAGAAAGGTGTGTTACTCACGTTTTCAAATTTTGGGATTAGGAGGTGCAGCCTCATCTAAGTTCTCTGTAACCAATCACAGCCACAATGTTTGAACCAAGGTAAAGTTTTGCCAATGAATTTTCAATCTAATTTGTACACTATTTCCTTCTACAATGATATGGATTCAAAATTCACTCATGACGTAAGGATTTTGTTAGTAAGCAATTTGTAAGGACTTTCACAAGTACGGAGTTTTGATGCATATCTTGACCATGAACTTCTAAATTCTAACTCGTCTAATTTTTTAATATATAGCATAAAAAGATAACATCATTGTTAAAGTTATTTTGATTTCATGAGAAGTTTTTTTATTAATCCTACCAAGTGGTCATGTGTAAATTTGTGAAAGAATTACTCTAAAGAATTGCTTGAAATTTGATTTTTTTTTTCTAGTATTTTTTTCTTAAAAAATAAACTTGGTAGTGGAGCATCTCCTTCATGTATTTTTAAATGTTATTTAAGATAATGATATGTAATTAGTATTTTCATAGTGAAAATTCTAATTATTATCCTTGAAGCATTTAAATGATTAGATGTTATACTAAAAACACAAATTGATTAGAGAATGAATTTGTGGGGGTAGAAATGAGTGAATTTGAAGAAAAAGAAAAATTAAGTTAGAATTGATTGAATTAAGTAAAATTTATTAGAAATAAAAAGGAATGAGATAAAAATTTATAAAATAATATAATTAATGTAATAAATTAAAAGATTAAAATCTAATTGATAAAATGATTAAATTATAATTTTGTCCTTGATTTGAATAAATATTTGAAAATAAAATATAAGTTAAAAAAATAATATTTAAATTAAATGTGATATATTATTTAAAATGTATAAAAATTTAAATATATGAATTTTATTATCAAATAAAATATATAATTTAAAAATTATTATAATAATAATAATTATTATTTTTTATTATTAGTATTATTCTCTCGTAAATAAATAAAAAAATTTAATCAACACAAACTTCAATCTCTTCAAATAACAACAACATAGTGCTAAATTTATAATCATATTGCACTTCAATCTCTGGGAATATCATAAACATAGTGTCACACAACAACAACAACATATTTACGACCAAAACATCAAATCACATGTAATACCAGATAAACGTCAAGCATGCACCATACAAACACGAACAAGCCTTAATATAATAAGTTTATTTTTTTCATGTCTAAGACGTAAAAGCTACTAATTTGACGTACGTCAACACATTCAAAATTTCAAACCAATAACCCATTTCGTTCATCGTTATGCAAATTACGAAAATAAGCTGCAGGATTACGTTCAAAGTCGGCCCTTAAAATGCGACGGTTCCTCCCTGGAGCCTTCATTGTCCTCCTTCTTCCGCAACAACATCTGAAAATGACCCCAATCATCTTCCAAATAACCCAGATAAGAGCAATAGCTACCAGTGCCACACCAACGGCACCACCAACGGCACCACAAATTTGCACCAACATTTTTCCATCAATTCCAGTTTCATCACAAGAGTCATCCTTAACGTTGAATGTATACCCAGTCAATTTTTCAAGCATTGGATTAATCTTTGTCCCTAAACAACTCACCAGGGTCACCAACCTGAAACATAGATACTTAATATCAGTATTATAATACTAAATATCATTCATAAAATGACTAAATATTAATTTATTGAAACAAAAATGACACAAATATAAAAAAGACATTAAAAAAATATTTAGTCCAGATTTGAATTCTCATCTATCCACTTATCTAATAAAGATATTTTTTTTAACAATACATAAATACTTTAAAATGATACTCCTGTCACGGATCTTCATCATTTGAGGAAAAATATATATATTATTTATTAATAATAAAAAAATATAAAACGTGAAATAATATGAAAGAGTAAATATATAAAATTATAGATATACAAATAACTATATAAAATGATCATTAAGTTTAAAGAGTAAAATAGAGTTACGAAAATAAAAAAAGATTAAAAAAATAAAATTATAAATATATAAGTAAATATATTATTAAAATTATAAATTATATAATAGTTATAAAACTTTTGAAAGCATGACCCTTTTATTTCCAATAAGAGATCCGTTAGTGCTGTTCGTGTCTCTATTGATTCGAAATGTAAAAATCCTTATATTATTACTCCAAGACCAATTAACATGAGCTAAATAGAGTAATGAATTTAAGATAATTACATGATCTCACGAGTTGATGACACAATTCATGGTAATTTGAAAATTGTGAAAATTTGAAAACTGTGAAAAATGTTGGAGGCCTTGAGAAGGAACATAAACAAGCTCTTGATGATGTAAATACAAAAGAAAACAAATGAATGTTATTTTTTTTAACATAATTAGAGTGCAAAAGTAATGTTTCTTCTGTCTCATCTAATATGGTAAATTTGTTTACCTACTACTATGATACGTGTGATAAAATTGAAGAAAAATTAAGAAGCTAAAATTATAAATATATTAAATAATCATTAAAACTAAGAGATCAAAATCATAAATTATAAGAAAATTCTATAAATTTGGGAGTCACATCCCAATAAGAATGTCCAGTAATATGTATTTGTTGATTCGAAATATGAGAATCCTTATATTATTACTCAGGATAAATTAACACGAGCTACATAAAGTAGTTAATTAAGATAATTACATGATGTAGAATCAATAAAATGGATACAATCTCACCTTTTGATGACACAATTCATGATGATTTGAAAATTGTAAAAAAAGTTGAAGACCCTCAAAAGGAACATAAACAAGCTCTTGGTGATTTAAACACAGAACAAAACAAATGAATATTATTTTAATGAACATAATTAGAGTGCAAAAGTAATGTTTTAGAGGGCAAAATCTAATATGATAAATTTGTTCATGATACTCACATGATTTATGATTCAACTAAAAAAAATATTAGTTTTGGTTCATTTTTGTCTTTCAAATTAAAAAAATAAATTTATTTAAAATTACACGACTAACAACATCATGAACCGAAAAATAAAAATCTGTAACTGCATGAAAAAATAACTTAAAAAAAATCTCTATCATCTGGAATCATGGACAGGGCATAATCTTACCAACTGGTGAAACTATCCATGGTGGGTTGAGACTCGAACCCTAACCGTGTAGACGCTTGGAGAAGAAAGTGTGAACCCCTGAAATATGAACTTAGGATATTTTTTTCACTGAGAAAATCTTGGATTGATCCAAATCATAAAAATGTTTATACTGCGTGAGAAAATTAATGGAGGAAAAGAAAATAATTTGATAAGAAGGAGAAGTGGAATGTTATGTACCTATTGATGACAGGATCCATGGAGAAGAAATGGTGAAGCCCTGAATATGAAGAAGAAGAAGAATTTGGATGGATGGTGTTAAAGTAGAGAAAGGGTCATTTTCTGTGTTGACTCGGAAAATGCAAGGAAAAGAGAAAGAAACAAGGGTTGGTGGAGATAAAGTGAAAGCAACAACAGTGAGTGACTTAGTGAAAAATATAAAGTTGCAGACATGCCTTGTTCTTTAAGAAAAGTAGGCACATGATTAGCACTACTACATCATTATGTGTAAGTTATCCAAATTTACCTCTTGGGTTTCACCATTATTATTACCCAAATTTAATTGATTACAATTAATATAAGAAAGTAACTTCAAATTAATAACTTATGACTGGCTTGCAAAAAAATTATGACAAATTAATAATAACATAAGGGAAATGCATAAAAAATAAAAAAATAAGAATACATAAGGGAATATGGAAAAGTATATTATGATATAATTATTATATATTATTAGTGGAAATTCTGTCTATAATTTTTTTAAATATTATTTTAACTTTTTTTTTCATTTTCTCTCTTTTTAAATATATTTTAAGTTATTTTTTAATTATTATACAGAATAATTTTTTCTCTCATTATATTTTGATTAAAAAAGGAATTTTTTATATATATATATATATAATATAATTTAAAAAATTATTTAATTCATTTCTTTCTCTTCTTTTTGTACATATCTTATATATTTTTTCTACTAATTATGTATGATATATATTTTTTTTATACATTGACACTTAATTATATAAAAGAAATTCTTTTTATATGTAAATACTGAAAAAACAGCATTTTTAATGCCTATATCCATATTTTATGTATAAATATGTTCTAAAAAATTGTGTTCTTTTTTATCTCTCTATTTTATAAATGTATCCACTAATTATATATTATATTTTTTTATTCCATATATTTTTTTATTTTTAAATATATAAATTATAATAATTATTTTTTCTCCAAATTATAATATTTTTATTTTTCTCTTCCCAGTAAAAATATTTACATAAGTATTAATAAAGAAATATAAAGTATTGTATCAGTTATACAACGGAAAAAGTATAATTTATAATAATGAAATTATAAGTGAATGATCTATTAATTATTGAAATAATCACTAGTGGAAAAATAGCTTTTTATGATGGGTTTTTATCACGGTCGTAATCCACCCGTCATAGTATGTGGCGCGGTGGCAATTTTGTAATAAAATCATAAATTTTCTATGTCGGATAAGTTTTAACCGACATAGTAAGTGGAAATGTCACTTTCTACGTCGGTTAAAATTTACCCGACATAGAAAGTTAACTTTCTATGTCGGGTAACATTTACCCGACGTAGAAAATGAACTTTCTATGTCGGGTAAATTTTAATCGACGTAGAAAGTGTCTTTGATGACGGGTGTTAGAGGCAACCGACATAGTATCTTCTGTTTTGCCCGCGCTCCATTTCATTTCATCACTTCCCCCCACTCCATTTCATTTCATCACTTCCCCCCATAGCGAGCTCCCCTGTACATTTCTCCCTACGCTCCATTTCCTTTCATCGGCTCACCCATACCAGAGCTCCCCGTTCGCTTGTATACGTTTCTCCGCACCCACATTTGCTCGTCACGCCACCCGCCAACGCTTCGTGCCGCCGCTCGCTACCGGTGCCCGTCGCCTTGGATACGTTTCTCCCCACCCGGCTCCGCACGTCACGCCACCCGCCACCTCTCGTAGGTCTTCAAGAGGTAAGTTTTCGTGCTTGCTTTAGCCAATGTAGGTTTACAGTATTGAATCTAGTAAGTAATAATGCTGTCAAGAGAGGGAAACATCACAGGTGCCTTTAGCTAATTTAGAGATGTATTGTAAGTAGTTTAGTCATTTGAATGTGTTTCTGTCGGCATTCTTTCGTGATTTTGATTTTGAACATTAGATTTGTATTATAATGTAGTTATTTTGAGAGTGGAGTTGGATTTCGTGTAGGCATTATAATGTAGTTATTTCGTGTTTCTGTAGCTAATTTGATTTTGAAAATTAGATTTGTAACAATGGATCGGAGTTGGATCAATTACAGACGAACAACAAATGAATATGAGAGTGGAGTAGAACAATTCCTTGAATTTGCTAAGATGAATGTTCCGGATAATGATGGAAGATTCTATTGCCCTTGTGTTAACTGCTTGAATGAGCGAAGATAGTCGTATTAAAGATGGTCAGTTGAGGCATCCGGCAGATGGATTGCAATGGAAAAAAATTGATTCCATCTTCCAGAATTTTGGTAATGATCCAAGAAACATTAGGTTTGGACTTGCTACAGATGGAATGAATCCATATGGAAATTTAAGCAGTAAACATAGTTCATGGCCTGTGGTGTTAGTTATTTACAACTTACCTCCGTGGTTGTGTATGAAACGTAAGTACTTGATGCTATCTTTGATGATCTCGGGTCCCAGACAACCTGGAAATGACATTGATGTTTTTTTAAGCCCATTGGTTGAAGAGTTGAAGATGTTGTGGGAGGAACGTGTTGATGTGTTTGATGGGTACACAGGTGACTTATTCAAGTTGCGTGCAATGTTATTTTGTACAATTAATGACTTTCCAAAGCATATGGTAATTTGAGTGGCTACAGCGACAAAGGGACATAAAGCTTGTCCGATATGTGAAGAAGACACATGTCACTATCAACTACAACATGGAAGGAAAATAGTGTACCTTGGACACCGAAGATTTCTTCCTTCAAACCATTCATATCGTAAATTAAAAAAATCATTTAACGGGTGTCAAGAAAATGATGCAGCCCCAACACCTTTAAGTGGGGAAGAAGTATATCAACGAGTAAGTGCAATTTCGTGTGAGTTTGGAAAGACGCAAAAGAAAGCCACAGGTATATGGAAGAAAATGTCAATCCTTTTTGTTCTTCCATATTGGAGGGTTCTTGATGTGAGGCATTGTATAAATGTCATGCATGTAGAGAAAAATGTGTGTGACAGTATCATCGGAACGCTCCTTAACATTCAAGGAAAAACAAAAGATGGTGTCAATGCTCGTTTGGACATGGTTGAAATGGGTATAAGATAACAATTAGCTCCTCAACCTCATGGTAACCGAACATACTTGCCTCCAGCATGTCACACACTGTCTAAAAAAGAGAAAAAAAGTTTTTGTGAGTTTTTACGAGGTGTGAAGGTTCTATTTGGTTACTCTTCCAATGTGAAGAGACTTGTATCTATGAAAGATCTCAAATTACTTGGGTTAAAATCTCATGATTGTCATGTATTGATGCAACAACTTCTACCTGTGGCTATTCGAGGTATCTTACTAGACAATGTTAGATATTCCTTAACTCGATTATGCTTTTTTTTTAATGCCATATGTAGTAAAGTTATGGACCCGGATGTTTTGGATCAGTTAGAGAATGAGGCTGCAGTAATATTATGTCAATTTGAGATGTACTTTCCTCCATCATTTTTTGATATTATGGTTCACTTGATTGTTCATCTAGCCAGGGAAGTTAGAATCTGTGGTCCAGTTTTCTTACGATGGATGTACCCTTTTGAGCGATACATGAAAATATTAAAAGGGTATGTGAAGAACCAATATCGTCCCGAAGCATCAATTGTTCAAAGATATATTGCGAGAGGAAGCTATTGAGTTTTGCACAAACTACTTATCGAAGTTGAAGCTATAGGGTTACCTAAGACTCGTTACCATGGAATAGGTCTTGGCGGAGGAACTCGAGGTGCAAAAGTTGTGACAATGTGTCGAGATGAAGTACTTCAAGCGCATTTGTACATATTGAATAACAATGAAGAAGTCATCCCCTACTTAAGTGCTCAAAAAGAGATTGTGAAGCGAAATAATCCACGTATGCCTAAAAAGTAGGTGATCACCGAACACAACAAGAGCTTTTTGAAGTGGTTTAAACAACAAGTTGAAGGTGACAATACAGCTTCGATACACTAAAGTGGCTAGCATGTGAGCCAAACTTTGATGTGATATGTTGGGGTGGGTATGATATAAATAACTATTCATTTTATACAAAGGGAGAAGATGAAATAAGCACAATGCAAAATAGTGGAGTCATGGTGGTGGCTGAATCAATGCATTTCTCGAGTTCAAAGGATAAATATCCGATAAGGGCGTCAATGGGCTACTTTGGTGTAATTGAAGAGATTTGGGTAATAGATTACACGATATTCGGAGTACCTATTTTTAAATGCAAGTGGGTTGATTTTAATACCGGCATCTTCACCGATGATTTTGGATTTACCTTGGTTAACCTTGAAAATACTCGTTATACCGAAGAACCATTTATCATGGCATCTCGTGCAAAACAAGTGTTTTATGTCACTGATCCCGCTAACAAAGGATGGTCAGTGGTTCTACAAGGAAAACCCATGTATACTTCGATGAGAATGATGAATTAGTACTTGATATACCCGAGACACCATGTTTCTCTTCAAATATGCCAAACTTGAGTGTTAATGTAGAAATAGATGATGTGCATGCCATCCGTTATGACCATATGGAAGGATTTTGGGAGAATGCTCCAACTTGATAGGAAATTTAAGCATTCAATCTTCATAGGAAATTTAACTTGTAACAATTTAGATAGAATTGATTTAAGTTAGGAAATTTACATTCGTTTAAGTAAATGAACTGTCTGGAACTCGGATCTGTCTGTACATATATTCATTTCAATGTGTTTCATATGTACATATCTCGTCTGCAATCGAATCTGTCTGCATCGGATATATATCTCGTAGCAAATTTATATATGAACTGTGCATATCTCGTCCATACTCGGATATGTGGTTATTTGTCTGGAACCGTGATGAATAGGCAGTGTCTACTCGAAGAAAGGTAGCATCTCGTAAATAAAATGCGGGTATTTTAAAAAATAACACTTTCTACGTCGGTTATGTCATTACCCGACGTAGAAAGTACTTTCTATGTCGGTTATAATTTTAACCGACATATAAAGTATATGACCGATCGTAACCAAGTAT